CCCTAACCCTAACCCTAACCCTAACCAAAAAACTTCAACCGAAGCTGCAAGGGTGTCGCGCCGAAGCGCACCTTCGGAGAGATCGCCGACTGGGTCCCGCTTTCGAAGACGGACGCCGAGGCCAAGATCGACGAACTCACCCGTCACTGGGTCAGGGGTCGGTGGGAGGACATCGTCTCTATCTTCCATCACCACAACACCTTTCACCACCTCGTCTTCCCCGCCTGATGCTTGCCGAACTTTGTACACCTACCCAAAACTAAATGTACTCTTCGTGAAACGCCGCTTCTCTCTCTCTCGTCGTGAGCTCTTCAAGCTTGATCTCCCATCGGTTGCTTCAGCTGCGAACTTGCAAATCATGCCGTGTTCAGCGAGAACCCACGAGAGACGGTCAAGAACATCGGAGACACGGCGTCTTCGGTCAATCCTCGAACTGCCTTTCCTCCTCTACCGGACTTCCTCTCTCTCTCTCTCAGTTATGGGCTGACAACCGCACCCTTACCATCCCAAACCTCCCTCCTCAGACGTCGGTATCACCTGAATACGCCTCGTTTACGTGCTGGTCTGGCTCCTTCCGGCTGTCTCGACGACCCTTTTCCACCTCGTTCTTGGCCTGTTTTCCGCCAAAAGCCCCGTTTCAAACTACTAACCCTAAGTACCGACCCTTCCCTTAGTATAATGACACGCACCAGGCTCGAAAGATCCGGCAAACGCTCCATCACGCCCGAAGACTGGCCCTCGCGCGAGTCCGCCGCCTTCTCATTGCCGCCCCCGCCAGCCGCTAGTGCAAGTGTGTCTACTCCTTCAACGAGCGACCACGAGATCTGGCCAGCGTTCGTGTCGGAGAGCTGGGCGACCGAGATGAAGGCAAGAGCGACAATGCACGACCGTAAGAGTCCAGGGCAAGACGTCTGCGCCCCTACTCCGCCCTCAGCACTTCTCCAATCCTGCAGCGACGTTTGCGGCGGTCCCGCAAGCGTGTTCGCCGAGTAAAGTCCTTCGAGTCGAGCGAGTACTGATGAAGCCGAGGAGAGGGGAACCCGGCTCAGGATGGCGCGAGGGGAGCGTATATAGCGAGTAGAGCACGGTTAATGAGCCCAGTCCTCTCAAAAGCCAGCCAGAGCGGGAGCGAGAGCGTGATTGTCACCCAACCTCCTCGTCGAGACCCTCTCCCTTCGACACCTCGCTCGTACCGCTCAGACCGCACGCTGGCACACTATGACTGGCCAGAGACTTCCACTCGAGCTCGTCGCACGCATCCTCCGCCTCGCCGCTCCGCCCCGCACCCTCTCTAGCCTCGGCGAACACACCCGCCCCTTCAAGCGCCTCTCCCTCGTCCATCGTTCTTGGACGAGGCTCGCGCAGCGTGAGTTACGTCGACACGTCTGTCTCGACTTTGCAGAGGGCGGCGGAACCTGCAGCGCTTCGGAGGTGATCCGGTCGGCCGACTTCCGTGCGGGCATCGAACGCCTCGACATCTCGACTGGACTGTACGAGGACATGCGATTCTACACCTCAACGATACTGGCGCTAGGATCGAGTCCGATTCTGGTGGAGCTGGGCTTCTGGAGGTCGAGGGAGAAGTTGCAGCGGAACACGTGCCGAGGTGCGGACTCTCGCCTTTTTCCATTCGAGGTTACGCTTATATGAAGGTGACACAGAGCTTGGATGGTACTTTGAACGCACCCGCTCTGCTCCCTCCCCTGTCCCGCCCTTCCACTCCGTCGGTCCCTCGTTGCGCTACCTGTGCATCGACCACCACACGCTCGAAGGCTGGGAGCTCGAACACTTCCCAGCCCTGCAAGTCCTCCTTTTCACCAACACTCGGACAGGTCTCCGCGTCGAGTCTATCCTTGACACGCCCTCGTCCGACTTGCGCATCTTAGGCTTCAAGGCTCCGACTTACCTCCGCAGCAACCACTTTCCGCGTCTTCCTCCAAAACTGACGCATCTCGCGATTATCGACACGTCGATTCGCTTCAGCGCCGAATTCTACTTTCAGCAGGCGGACTTGCGCGAGTGCTCGAATCTGAGGACCTTCACGTTGGGCATCTGCCCTTCCTCGGACCTCCAATTGCCTCGTCTGCACGAGCAGTGCATCGCAACCGATGTGACGGCAGACACGAGCATCTGCGGGGACCTCGGACCTCTCGAGGCTTTCGATCTGGAGGAATGGGCGCTCCGTGTGGGCGCATGAAGCTGGAAAGGCGAAGGCGAAGGCTTGTCAAGTGGTTGCAAAGCATCGGATACTTGCGCACTCGCAGGTCATGCGCGGGAGAGGCGACCGAACCTCGGGGAGCGAGAGAACCGATACGGAAAGGAGAACTCGACACTTGCAATTCTACGGATCCTGGCACTCGCTCAGATCCTGCTCGCTCCGACTGCCCGTCACACCTGCTGATACCTTCCCTTCCTCTCCTTCCTCCTCTCCTCATACCGCTGCTGCTCCTCGCCATCCGACTCCTCCAGCCCGTCGTCCCCCGAACTCTCCGACAAACTCGAGCTGCGCCTCCGTCCCTGGCCCTCGTCGGCATCGAATAGAACGCCTTGTTCGGCTGGTAGCGTGTCGGAGTGCGCAGGGAGCGAGTCGTCGTGATGCGAGACCGAAATGAGCGGGATGTTTCCCGTGCCTCCTGCTCCTCCTGCTCGCGCGTTTCGCCCGCTCCACCTCCCACTCCACCCTCCACCGCCTCCAGACCGAGCAGGCATCCACCGCTTCGCCAGCGACTGCAACTTGGCCACCGCCGGCTGAGCGTACGGATAGGCGGCCATCATCGGTTGCTGGACAGGCGCAGGGGCGGGAAGGCCGGCGGTTTCGTTGTAGTGGACGTTGAAGTGGAAGCTGTGAGGCGGCGAGGAGGTCAGCGAGGGATGTGGGGAGGAGGGACTAGGGAGACGGACACGAAAAGCATGATGATGAGGCGGACTGTGCGAGTTGGGCGGTCAGCATATCGTCGAGGACGCGAGAGAAGCGTGACAGTGCACGCACAGAGGGCGTAGAAGCCGAGGAAAACGCAGAAAGCGATTGAGATGCCTTTCCTCGAGCAAGAACCGCCGTCGTCTCCGCTGCGCCCCGAACGACCGGTCATTTTCGAGCGCGGCCAACCCAGCGAGACTCCCCACGCACCACAGTCCACCAAAGCCGTGCCTCGACGCCATCAACGTGAACCACCACGAATCAAACACGATCGAGGCGATGCCGAAGGTGATCCACAAGCCCGAGGAGATTGAGCGCGAGGCGACGAAGAGCGAGTGCCAGGTGAGGACTGATTGTGCGGCGAAGAGGGCGTGGAAGATCTGTGCGCGGGAGCGAATGAGCGAGGTCTCCAGGGGAGGGCACACGGCAAATGCACCATCGCAAAGACGCGGATGACCTTGGTAAAGTTGGTGGGCGAGGGCCATGACCGCGAGATGCTCCACGCGTAGTAGAAAGTCGACAGTCTGCGCGGCGGGACCGACGTCAGCTTGGCGGGAGACGAGGGGCGACCGGACACACGTCGCGAAGAGAAACCCGACGAGGACGCTCAGGTGAGTGACGAGGCGACTTCGCAGGAACCAGCCCATGTTGCAGGCAGACGAGGGAAAAGAGCAAGAAAGGCCGCAAGAGGACGAGGGACGAACTCCGCGGACCCTCCGGCGCAGGACTTGGACGACGAGCGAGCAGCACGACATTTTGCAGCGTTTCCTCATGCCACCCGAACCCGCCGCAAGTCTCCCAACCGCGCTGTCGCCGTCTCCAGCCTCATCGAACCGCTCCACGTCGAAGGCGAGTTGGCGGCGGCGTCAGGCGATGCGGGCAGGCGGAACAAGCACAGGCGAGAAGTCATAGCATCAGACAGCCTGTAAAAGACCACAGCAAGCGACCCGAAGCAAGCGAGCGCAGTGGAAGAGCGTAAGTCTCCACCGTCACCTCTTCTCGCTTCGACACCGCTGCGATGCTCGTTCTCCCCGCCTCTGTCGCCCTGCTGGCAGCCACAGTCGTACGAGCAGCGTCATCTGAACCATGGACGCCGCCCGAGAACCTGCACTACGAGGCGGAGCACTCGTGGCGAGGACTCACCGCGGACGGCAAGGTTGGCACAGGGTTCGACGTCTCGGGGCACGCGTAGGTCGCACAAGGGACCGCGAGGAAGACGACCACTGACACTCTCTCGCACAGCTCCGTCCTGCCGGGCGTCCACGACTTTCTTCGCCTCGTCCCCGTCCGTCTCGCTCTCTTCGCTCAACACCTATCTTGACTCGCACTCACCAGCTCGTTTGCACGCAGTCTGTCCCGCTCGCACACGGCGCAGTGTTCTCCCGCAAACCGCTCACATCGAAAGAGTGGATCGTCGAGGTTGCGTTCCGGGTTCATGGCCCGCCGACGACTGGACTGACGGAGACGGGAGAGGACGGCAAGGTCAAGCGGTTGCACAAGGGTGGACGAGGACTCGCGTTCTGGTACACCAAGGTGCGCCGAAGAGCGAGTCGCGAGGAGCCAGACTCGAGGGAACTAACCACATCCTCGACACTTGCGCACAGTCCGGCCTGCCTGGACCCGCCGTCATCTCGTCCGATCCCAAAACGAAGGTCGCTCCGCCGCCTCCCGTCGTTCCCGAAACCCCGCGTGATCCGCACGACCACGAGCTCTCCCTCTTCGGCTCGCGCGTCTCGTTCGACGGCCTCGGAATCGTCTTTGACGCCTCGCCCAACGCGCCCGTCTGGCGACGATCCGACCAGCGCAACTACGTCCATGCGGGAGGGGACGAGCCGAGCTGGGGAGTCGGAACGACGGGAGTCGTGAGCGGGATCATTGACGACGGCACGCAGAAGTGGCTTGATGCGGACGGCAAGGCGCCGCAGGGCGAAGAGGAGGCTGCGTACCTTGGAAAGGCGGTGGGAGAGTGCGAGGCGGCGTTCAGGAACGCGCAGGGGCTGCTGTGGGCGAGGATTGCGCATTTCAACCACACTCTGCGGGTGCGCTCACTCTCTCCTTCTTCCATCGCTCGCTCGCTCACGCTCGTTCACGCAGGTCGACCTCGACTTGGGCCCGCACACGACCCTCGCGAAAGCAGGCCGTCACTACGAGGTGCGTCCGTCTCACCTCTCGCTATAAGAGCGCAACTCACGTCTCGCTCGCAGCACAACTGCTTCAACCTCGAGGGCATCAACCTCCCCGCCAACTCGTACGTCGGTATCTCGGGCTTGGCGAGCGGGAATACCGAGCCGGACGTCGTCGATGTCTACGCGGTGCGTTCCATTTTTCGTCCTTTCCTTTCCATCTTGTCGAGGCTAATCGGGTTTCGCGTGCGCAGATGGACGTCTTCGAGATCTTGCAAGACGTGCGTCACCCCCCCAGCTCGCCATCGATAGCGGAAAGAGCTGACCCCGCCCTTTGCGCGCAGTACGACCCGAATCACCACGTCGAGACGGAAGAGCCGCCTGAAGACTCGACGCCTCTGCCGCTCGAGGGGACGTCGGATGATGCGGTGAGTGCGACGGTCCTGTGCTTCGTGGGAGGGGCGCAAACTGACGAATCCCTGCGGGTGCGCAGGTCTCGACGCTCACGCACGAGATGTTCCTGTTCGTCCCGCGCCTGCTTCCCCTCCGCTTGACTCGACGAGCTGACGTCTATACGTACAGCTCGCAAGCCAAAATGGTCGAGGCGATCGACGACCTCGCTCGTAAAGTCGAGAGTGTCTCTAACCTCGTCAGCGAGCTGGCGCGACATGGCGGTGCGGGCGTAGGGCGTGGGCCACCTCCTACGACGGGTGCGGGTGCTGGAGCTGGGTCGGAAATGTGCGTTCGCTTCCTTTCTCGCTTCAGCTTTCCCCGAGGGTATCAAGTGCGGAAGCTCATGAGAAGTTCGTGAATCACAGCCCCGACGCCCGCCTCTCCGCCCTCGAATCCCACCTTCGAGACCTCGTCGCGATGGGCCAAGCGCGGGACCACGAGTCGTTCGACCAGCGGGACGCGCTGACGCACGTCAAGCAGTTGAGCGACCGGATCTTGGTGGAGGTTCAGGGCGTCGCGCGCAGGGTCGATGAGGGCAAGGTGCGTCGCTTGTCTTCTTGCGGTCTCTCGCGCTCGCTTGTGGACCGGAAGACTGATAGCAGAACGGGACCGACACGCAGGCCCAACACTCGGCCACGCTCTCCTCGCTCTCGACGCGCCTGTCGGACCTCTCCTCGACGCTCCTCTCCTCGCTCTCCTCCTCGACCCCCTACTCATCCTGGATCTACGGCGGGGTCGGAGCTGTACTCGGAGGATTGTTGGTCGGAGCGGTAGGGAGGAGAAGGGCGACGGATGACCCGTGGGCGCAGGCGAGGAAGTTGATTTAGCGCGGCGGTGGAGAGGGGAGTAGAAGGAGATGTCAGGAGTCGCAACTTGCTCGCATTGTTTTCTCGTTTGCGCTCTCGAGGAGGGACTCGCTGCGACGCAGAGGAGAACGACGACGAAAGGGTTGCTAGGGCTACGACATACGGGGAGAAACGAGAATGCGAGGAGATGCGATGGGATAAAGTCGGGGTGGCGAACGACAAGAGAGATCCGACGAAGAACGAGGACAAGTAGGACAAAGACGACAGGAGTGAGGCGAATCTACGACAGAAGGAGAGAGGGGGAAGAGACCTATGTACACCGCCCACTGCGCGCGCTACTCGAGCTTGCGCATGCGCATCCACTGATTCGCGCCCATCCTGGCGTTGTACCCTCGTTCTTCCCACCACCTCGTGACGGCCTCCCTATCGCCAACACAATCCTCAATCGCCTCCTCGATATCAAAGAACCTATACTCGATCTCGACGCCCGACTCCAACCACCACTGCAAGACGCGAGTTTGTCCGAACCGGGTGGCGATGGTGAGGACTTCTTTGTCGAACGAGAGGGGGAAGCGCGAGCGGAGCCACCAGGTTAGGAGGGGGATGTTGCCGGTTTTGGAGAGCGTGTAGAGGGCCGCTTTGGAGTAGCGGCAGGGGAGACCCGAGTTGGCCCACCAGTCGAGGCAAACTGCCGAACGAGCGGGCGTCAGATTCGCGCGAGCGGCAGCGAGGACATGCGAACGTACCGGTCGAGCCCTCCATCGACGCAAAGTCGAGCTGTGCATGTCGAACCAAAGAAGGAGCGAGTCAGCTTCCCGTCCCACGACGAAAACCCTCGCACTTCGCTCGGGACGCGGAACGCACCACATTCCCAATCTTCAACGGCAGCCCACTGTTCTTCCACCACTCGAGCGTGCGGACCTGGCGCTTGAAAGTCGCGGAGAGGAGGGCGGCGTCGGAGTAGTCTGCACGCGAGAGGCAAAGACGTCAGCCGCTAAAGGATGGGCATCGAGAGAAGGGAACGCACGGAGTGGAAGACCCGAGTTGAGCCAAAAGTCAAGCACTGTGTGCAAGTAGCAAAGTCAGCACAAGAAGCAGGAATGGTTGCGAGACGAGGGGACTCACTCTCGACCTGGCCGTGCCGGCTCGCCTCGTCGATGGCGTCGGCGGTTGTCTGCGGGCTGGGTCGCAGTCCGAATGCGCTGTCTTTGGCCCACTCGAGGACCGCAAGCCTGCCCCACGCGCTCGCAACGACGGGCAACAAGTCGGTGCACTCTTCGCGGAACTGTCGCTCGTCGGCTTGGAAGAGAAAGTCGAGGACGTGGACGAGGCTGAACCGGATCATGACGCGTGCGCCCCACTGCGTGAACTTGGTGTGTCCCTGCGCGAGGGCGTACTTGACGGGCGTGAGGGAGGCGGACGAGCGGAGGATGGCGCGGTCGAGCGGGGTGGCGAATTCTTGCCATGGCGCGGGTGTGGGTAGGCGTGAGACGGGTGTCGGGCGCACTGCAAGCGTGCGGCAGAGCTCCCAGTCGTCTGTGAGGGTGAGGATGGTCGAGACGAGTTCGGGAGGGAGGCGGAGCGAGGCAGCGTCGCGCGGCGGCTTCTTCGCGGGTGGCGAGCGTTCGCCGTGGGTCTGCAGCACCGTCACCATCGTCGTCGTCGGCGTGGACACAGCCCAGCGAGAGTAAAGTGAACGAGCGAGGCGCAGCGAGGCGATTACAACACGTGCGCCCGTTGTAATGCAAACGAATACAACTTGCCATTTGTATTCAGTTGTATTCCAATACAAACTCATTACAACTCGCAATCGTAATCAGTCGAGATTAGCGATGATGGCGTGACACCCTCTCGTCCGCTCACCGCTCTGCTGCGCTGTTGACTCGCTAGGCGTGCTGTCTAACGCTCTGACACCCGCCTGACCCGGCCCAGCTGCCCGCCCAGCGCCGCGTTCCCTCCCGGACTTCCCATCGCTATCTCTCATCAATCCCGCCCTCACCACCACGACACGCCCGTTCGAGCGCCGTGAGCAGCGCAGAAACACCAACAAACGATGGACGGACCGTACACGTTCCCGACGCACCGCCTCGCGCGGCTCGAAGGCGAGTCCCACCTCCCGTCCCCTTCCGCTGCGCTCGCTCGCTCGGTCACGCCAGCATCGCACGCCAGTGCGACCTGATGCAGACGATAGACTCCCTCGCCGACCCGGTATACTAACCGAGACTTTGATCCGAGCAGGCGCCAACGCCGACAAGACTCCCTTGGTCCTCGTCGCCTGCGGGTCCTACTCGCCGGTGACCTTTCTCCACCTGCGACTGTTCGAGATGGCCCGCGACGATGCGCACTTCAACACCTCGTTCCACGTCGTCGGCGGGTACCTCTCTCCCGTCAACGACAAGTACAACAAGCTCGGTCTCGCGTCGGCCAAACACCGCGTCGCCATGTGCGACCAGGCCGTGAGCGACACGAGCGATTGGTTGATGGTCGATCCGTGGGAGGCCAGGCAGCCGCGGTACCTGCCCACGGCGCAGGTGCTGGACCACTTTGACCACGAGTTGAATACGGTCCGGGGAGGAGCGGACGTCGTCGTCAGGGACGCACGGACGGGCGAGACGCGTGTCGAGAAGAGGAGGGTCAGGATCATGTTGCTGGCGGGGAGCGACTTGATCTTGACCATGTCGGAGCCGGGCGTCTGGGCCGAGAAGGATGTGCGTGCACCCGCGCTTTCCCTCGCGAGATCCGACTGACCCGCTTCGTCGCGCAGTTGCACCACATCCTCGGCATCTACGGCTGCTACATCATCGAGCGATCCGAGTCGGAGCTCGACCAGTCGATCTTCTCGTCGTCGTCCGTCCACTCGCGTTCGCCGCTCGCGCTGTACCGGCACAACATCCACATGGTGCGTGTGCCCACTATCTTCACGTTACAGACACCCAGTTGACGAGGTTGGGAGTGCAGGTCGAGCAAACAGTCCGGAACGACGTCTCGTCGACCAAAGTCCGCCTGTTCATCCGCAAGGGCATGAGCGTCAAGTACCTGATCCCGAGCGTCGTGATCCGGTACATCAACCGACACGGGCTGTGAGTCCCGGCTCCTGATTCCAAAGTGGCGCGAGACCTCGAGCTGACGAGGAGACGAGCGCAGGTACCGCACCGCCGACCGCCGACGATCTTCCCTCGCGCAAGTCGCGCCCACCGCTTCTCCCTCGCTCGTGCCTACCCTCCGCGAGTCTGGCGCACCAGCGGACGACAGTGCGGTCGTGTTTGAGGACGATGAGGGCGACGAGGCGGAGAAGGAGCGGGAGAAGGAGCGGAGGGTGGAGAGGCAGAGAAGGGAGGGGGCGAGTGGGAGCCCTGAGCACGCGCAGCAGCAGGAGGGGCAAGGGGACGTCGAGATGGTTGCTTCGACGTCCGCCTCATGAGCGCCTCGCCCTCGAGATTGTTTCGCTTTCCGCAGAGACCCGCGTTGTTTTATCACCCCCCTGTTCCCCCTCCATCCCGCCTCGCATCCCCACCCAACCACCTGATTCGTCTTTCCGGGCTCGCCGTCCTCGTTTCTTTCCCACCCGCAGCAGAAGTTTCCCTCAGTCGTCGTTTTTGTGCAGTTCCGTCCGCGTGTCGCGCGCGCGTTGTAGCATTTGTGATCTCTACACGCTTTCCAAAAAGATGCAACAGGCCACTCCTTTCGTTGCACAGTTCCGTTGTCAGCCCGCGAGGAGGAACGCTTCCCTGACTTTGACCACTCGCTTCGCTTCTCGCTTGTATGCTTCGCGCTTCGTTACTCGGCTAGGTACTGCTCTGTACTCGACGCCAACGCTCGAAGGACTGGCCGCACGGCGAGGAGTGGTGAACAGAGGTGCGTCTTGGGAGTCGATCAACTCGGGTCGCTCGACTAGGACGCCTCTTGCATGTGGGACGCTGCGGCGGAGCTTGATGGGTCTTTCGATGCTAGAAGGGTAGTCTGGCCTTATCGGGCAGAGCTCAGACGAGGAGGGTCCACGAGGGTCAGTGGGGGATGATGAGGAGCGATGAGAGGTGGATGGACGGATGTAGCCCTTTGAGGCGGGCTGGAGCATGCTTGACTCGCTCAATGGACTGTACCAACTACGTCGCCGAAGCCTCGGCTATACCCTGTCGCTGACACGCACTCCCTCGCTCTCACAGTCCCCTCACGCCTTCAACCATGTCAACCCGGCTCGTCTTCTCGCGCACTCTCCCATCAAACGCACTCCCACGACCGCGCACACGCCGTCCCTCTCACGCTCTCGCCCTCGCCCAACCACGCTCATTCGCAACTTCTCCATGCCCGCGGGAGGGGAAACACGGCTCGACGCGCAAGATGCGCCCGCGGGACCGATTACAGTTCCTGATGGAGAACGAGAAGGATGGGACTATACCTGCGGAAGAGGGGGAGGAAACGACTGTGTTGCCTGCGGCCTCGGAACAGCCTGTCGATCCTCCGACTCCTGCGACGGCGACTCCTGCGCCTGATACGGCATCACACGCGTCCAATGCTGCGCCTTCGACGTCTTCCTCCTCTGCGCAACCACAACCGCCGCCTCCACCGCCTTCGCCTCCGGCCGCATCAGAAGGCGAACTGATCCTCCCCCCACCAATGCCCGGTCTGCCTCCCTTGACGTCGCACCAACTCCCCCTCACTCGCCTCCCCTTCTCCTCTCAACAATTCGTGAAGCGCCTCGAGGGCGCGGGGCTGAAGAGAGGAGTGGCGACCGAGTTGATGAAGTTGACGAAGGGGTTGTTGGGGAGGGAGGAACAGCGGGCGCAGCGGGAGATCTTGAACAAGCAGGACTTGGAGAACGTGCGTCGTCGCTCTTCTCGCTTCACTCCCAGAGTGTTAGCTGACGACGAAGCGCGCAGGAATCCTACCTCTTCACCGCGGCCCTGGCCGAACTGAAAGCCGGCTCGCAAATCAAGAGCCGGAACGACGGGATCACGCTGCGCAGCTTGACGGCCAACTTGCAGCGCGAGACGGACGGGTTGGACCAGAAGTTGAAGGAGGACATGAGGAGGTTGTCGAGCGACATTCAGGTGCGTGCGAGGGACAGTTCTGTTTGGCTTCTTTCCGCAGAGACGGGACTGGGCTGATACTCAAGGTCCTTTTGCCACGGGTAGCTCGACATGAACAACCGGAAGGAGGAGAGTAGCCAGGAGTTGCAGGCGCTCGACAAGAGGGTCATGGTGCGCCAGCGTTCATCTACGCCTCACAGACCCACACTCACGCGGACTCCTCGTCGCAGGACCTGAACAGCAAATTCACGGTGATCCTCGGCGAGGTGCGGACAGAAGCCGAGTCGACGCGGTGGATCAGCACTCGTGCGTTTTTCCCTCCGCAACTCACAACCGAGTCGTAGCTAAACGAGTGACGCCCCGCAGGCCGCGCCATCGTCGCTATCGCTGTCTTTGTCGTGTACACCGTCGCCGCCTGGTCGTGGGAGAAGAAGCGACCTCCACCTCCGCCTTCGATCGAGGAACTGGGCGTCAAGGTTCCTGTCGGCGAGGAGGACGAGGCGCTGCAAACGGACGCCGCTGCGGGGGACTCGCAGCGGGGTTGGTCGTTCTGGGGACTCGTCGGGCCGACAGAGGGCAAACGAGTCGGCGGCGACGAAGACGAGGCGTGATCGCACGGCGCGTGGTTCGCTCTCCTAGATTTCTCTCCTTCGCATCGTCGTCCTCTAGCTGTTGCAACGCGCTTATATCGACTTGTACGCGGAGATAACGTCCGGATTGCGAGTGTTGCCGCGGTCAACTTTCGCTTTTGACTTGTTCGCTGCTGTCGTCGCTCGCCTGAACGCTCAGAGTGAGTCTCGCTGGGCTCGTACGAAGCACTCGAAGCTACGACGACCACCCGCACCGCGCCCGACCCGCCTACTCCGCCGCCATCTCCCCTCCGACTTGATCCTGTCGCTGGCTATCTCTCGACGCCCTCACACCCCGCGCTGACCTGCACGCCCTCCAGACTCGTCCGTCATGGCCATGCAAGCACTCCGCGAGTCGGCAAAGACCCTCCGCATCGGTGTCATCGGCGGAGACGGCGTTGGTCCGGTTGTCCTCCAGGCGAGTCCCTCTCTCGAGCTGGCATCACTCGCTTGATGGGCCAACTAGGACAACGAGCTGACTTTGTCATCGTGGCTGAGTTGCGCAGGCCGCCCAGCGCGTCCTCGAGGCGGTCCCGGGCATCCCCAAGCCCTCGTTCGTCCCTCTCCAAGCCGGCTTCGAGCACTTCCAGAAGACGGGCACCGCTCTTCCCCGCGAGACCGTCGACGCTCTCAAGTCCGAATGCACGGCAGCCATGTTTGGCGCCGTCTCGTCGCCCTCGCACAAGGTCGCGGGGTACTCGAGCCCGATTGTCGCGCTCAGGAAGGAGATGGACTTGTATGCCAATGTCCGGCCGGTCAAGAGCGTCGAGGGACACGACCCGCGCGTGGTCGACATGACCATCGTCCGCGAGAACACTGAATGCCTTGTGCGTTCTCCCTATCCCCCTCGCACCTTCATCTCTCGCTCACTCACCTCGCACTTGCGCGCAGTACGTCAAGCAAGAAACGATCGAGGACACTGCCACAGGCCGCGTTGCCCGCGCGACCCGTCAGATCTCGGAGCGGGCGTCGACGAGGATCGGACGGATGGCGTTCGAGATTGCGCTCGCGGCGGCGGAGGTCAAGAAGCAGCGCGGGGGGTCGTACGGTTGGACTGTGAGCCCTGTCGTCTAGCTTCTGGCGTATCAAGCCATGCCCGGTCTTGCGGGTCTAGCTTAGCGCTCAAACGTGGCGTCAATCGACTGACTGACCGCTCTCATTTCACAGGGTGCTCCCACCGTTACCATCGTGCACAAGTCGAATGTCCTCTCTGTCACCGACGGCCTCTTCCGCGAGTCGGTCCGCGCCGTCGCCAAGGAGTACCCGACCGTTGAGGTCAACGAGCAAATCGTCGATTCGCTCGTCTACCGGTGCGTTGCTACATTCTCCGGCTATTCTGTTACCTCTTCCTGACTGCGACTGACGTATGGTGGAGTTGCTTACGCATTGCAGCCTCTTCCGCGAGCCGGAGAAGCTCTCGACGCTCGTCTGCCCGAACCTTTACGGCGACATCGTCTCGTGCGTGGCTTCCTCCTCCAGTCTCTCTGTCTCTCTCTCCCTCAAGCGCTCGATTGACTCGGTATGTGCGCACAGTGACGGCGCCGCTGCTCTCGTCGGCTCGCTCGGTCTCGTGCCCTCTGTCAACGTCGGCGACTCGTTCATCATGGGTGCGTTCGCGAGAGCCCGCTCGCAGGCAAATCGACTTGCTAACTGTGTACGTGGACTCGCAGGCGAGCCCGTCCACGGCTCGGCGCCCGACATCGCCGACCGCGTCCCGTCCATCGCCAACCCGCTCGCCTCGATCCGTTCCGCCGCGCTCATGCTGGAATTCATGGGCTACGTCGAGCCCGCAGCCAAGATCTACGACGCAGTCGACGAGTCGATCAGGCAGGGCAAGGTCACGCCTGACTTGGGAGGCAAGTTGAGCACGGAGGAGGTCACCGAGGTGGTTCGCAAGCAGCTGTAAGTGGGTGGCGGTGGTGCGGCAGTGTGAAGGGAAAATGGGCCTTGTATTGCAGGTCTTGCAGCATTCTGGCACGGCGAGGTCGAGCAGAGGCGGCGTTGTCCTTGTTCTTCGACGCGAACTTATCCTTTCTCGCTCCGCTCTGCTTCCTTCGTTTCGCTGTTTGCACACTCTGCTTGTGAGCCCATTCTCGAGGCAGTCCATCGCCCTTTGGAAGCGCCCGTCCAGCTCGACACCGGGCATCTCGTCCTCGCTCGCTCTTCTCACTCTTCCTCGTCGCCGTCGCCGACTTTCTCCCCGCTCGAGCGGTCTGGACGAGCTTGACTGGCTGCTGCGTGCTCTCTCTTGGGTTTATCGACTAGCGCCTGTTTCCCCGTGCGTTCCCTTTCTTCTTCTTCGACCTCATCACCCAGAAATCCCCACCGTCGATTTGCTCGCTCGGCAACGCTCGCCGGGCTGTGCGACTCTGCTGCAGTGCTGCTTGTGAGACTATAGACGATTGTTAACACCCGCTCGCACGCGCAGACCCGCCTCGGCACTCGCACGCGAAATCACCGGTGAAACGTGATCAGACAGAGAAGCCCGACGTAGCGTCTTTCGAGCAGTACAACCGCACGAAGGCCAGCAGAGACCACTTCTCTTGACGCCACGCCTTGTCCGACCCCGCCCGTCAGCCGCGACAAACCCCGTTCTCCTCCCTGAACCCACCCACCCCGACTCTTTCGCACCCGAGCCGACTTGTCCACAAGAGCGCACCCCTCGCCGCCCCCGAGGTCTCCACCCACCTGCGGATGCCCTCGCCCTTGTCCCGGTGGCTCCCCGTCATCGCATTCTGGACGTTCCCCCTCCTCGCCATGCTCAGTGTCTCTCCCTCGCTACGCACATTCCTCCTCTCCCGCCCAACACTCACCTACGCGCTCGCCTCGGTCCTACCAACAATCATGCTGTCCCGCTTCGTCGCACCGATAAGGTATTACCTCCGCCTGACGACTTTCCTCGTCGGACTCGCGGCAAACGCCATGTTTGGCGCGATCATGGCTCTCCCGATGAGTCTCGTGGGCAAGGGAAAGGACAACCAGTGGCTCGTCGCGAGGAGCTTTGTCAATACTGTTGCGCCCCTCGTGGGAGTCAAGTTCCGCGTCGAGGGGAGGGAGAATTTGGACAAGGCGAACCCGGCGGTGCTTGTCGGGAACCACCAGACCATGGTTGACATCCTCTGTGCGTGTGCGGCACTCTCCTTCCCCAACTTGCGGTGCTGACCCGTCGATCGTGCGCAGACCTCGGCGCCGTCTTCCCCAAGGGCACGTCAGTCATGGCCAAGCGCGAGTTGCAGTGGACGCCAATCCTCGGCCAGTGGATGACGCTCTCCAAGGCGGTGTTTGTCAACCGCGCCAAGCGCGAGGACGCAGTCAAGGTGTTTGCCAAGGTCGCCGCAAAGATGAAGAAGAACAGCGTGCGCGCGGGAACCCATTCTTCAACTCGCTCTCGCTGACGCTTGTTATTTGCGCGCACCCAGCTCTCGCTCTGGATCTTTGCCGAGGGCACCCGCTCGGCCTCCCCGACCCCCTCGCTCCTCCCGTTCAAAAAGGGCGCGTTCCACCTCGCCGTCCAGGCAGGCTTGCCCGTCGTGCCAATCGTGTGCGAGAACTATGCGCATGTGTATCATGCCAAGGCGAGGAGGTTCAACGACGGAGAGATTGTCGTCCGGGGTGCGTTCCCTTCCTCTTGGGCTCTCTCGCTGGACGTGCGAGCTGATGAGCTTCTCCGGCGCAGTTCTCGAACCCATCTCGACCGAGGGCTACACCTCGTCGTCGGCCGACATCGCGCACCTGACAGAGCTCACGCGCGACCGGATGCTCGAGGCGATCGAAGACCTCGGTCGCAAGCGGCAGGAGCAGTTGCGGCTCGCCGGTCACGGCCAAGGCCAAGGGCAGGGCGAGCGAGAGGCACTCCTCGCGGGACGGGAGAGTACGAGCGGCGAGACGGCGAGTGCGAGGATTGAGGCGCCGTCCGAATAAGTGGGCGGTTGGAACGGCGGCGGGTCGTCGGAGCTTTTAGAGTCGTGATCGTTTCGTGCGTTGTCGGTAGTCGTTTGTGCCGCGTATTCGAGCCCTGTTTGAACCCGTTTCGAGGCCGTCGTCGGTCGTGAAGAGAATGTCGGCGAGTGCGAAGTTGGCTTGGTCAGCTTTGTCGTGAGCGACTCGCGCCAGACGAGGCAAGCGCTATCAGGACAGCTTCACAGACGTCTACTGACCACGGCCATGCACGCAGAAACCCCCGCAATGGCCGCCGCCGCTTCTCCCAATCCTCATCTCCTCACGCCCGTTGAGGACGCCCTCCTCGCCCTCGCACCCGCGCCAGAGGGCAGTTCGGCAGTCGTACGAAGCGCATGTACAGCTGAGCCAACAGACGCACTCACCTCCCCGCTCGCACGCCGCCTCTTCCACCTCGAACGCGACCCTTCCTCTCACAAGCTCAGTGTCGGCGTGCGGTATCCGGCGGAAGGATGGGCAGCGGAGGAACAGGTGGACGTGCTGGCAGCTGCTGTGGCGGCGCTCCATGCGTACGCCCAGGTCAATTGGACGGGACCCTCGCTCGCCCTCTCCCCTCTCGAGCTGTTCTCTCCCGACGAGGTCGCGGCGACAGGCGCGACAGACGCCGAGCTGAACGACCGAGCGATCGACGAGCTTGCGCTGGGCGGCGAACCGGTCTACCACTTGTCGAAGAAGACGACGTTCGCCTACCTCGCCCTGCAACTCTTCGGACTCGTCCCTTCGCCTTTCTCGCTCTCATCCGCCTCGTCTTCCGCCGCGAAACCCCACGGACCCGCATGGACGCTCGAGAGCGTCAAGATCTGGCGGCTGCGAGCCGGGATCATGTGGCTCCGGATCCTCGACGAACCCGTCCCTCTCCCCTCGTTCATCCAATCCGACGCCCACGCCCTCCGACACACTCTTCCCGCCCATTCCCCGGCCCGCGCCAGCCTCACTCTCACCCTCTCGCTCCTCGCTAGCTTACTGAGCCGGTCTAGCCCGCACTCGACGGCGCAGAAGGAGGCGACGGTGTTTGCGAAAGAGGCGGCGAAGGATGCGGGATTGGAGTGGGAGTTGACGGGCAGGATGGGCAAGCGGACCAAGTGGCAGATTGACGAGAAGACGCAGTTGGTCGTCCTTGCGAGGGATGCAACGTCCGCATCGAAGAAGAAGGAGGACAAGGAGGTGGATGCGACGGCGGCCAGGATCCCCGAGATGCTTGCGCTGAACGACGACACTTTGCTCGAGCGGACGTCCTACACCGACGCAGCACCCGCCACCTCGTCCGACTTGGCCGCCCTCGACCCGTCCGACCAGCCGTCCATCTCTCCCTTCTCGCAATCCGTCCTCCTCTCGCTCTCGCTCGCCACCCTGCCCGCCCCAACCTCCCTTATGCACCTCTCCTCCGACGTCCTCTCGACCTCGCAAATCTCCGCCTTTGTCGACCGCGTCCTCGGCGACCCGCAAAACTGGTCCGTCCACTCGATGGCGCTCCTCCTCCGCTGCCGAGCCGAAGCAGGCCGGTCGCGCACCGTCGAGCGCGGAGTCCTCCAGATGCAGGCGCTCGTCGACCAGCTCAAGGACGGCTCGCCGACCGAGGTGTCGGCCATCTCGTCGGCCGTCAAAGCCGAAGACATGGCTTCGGCGCGGGACCGGCTCGCGCAGTTCCATGCCCTTGCGCTCCCCCCTGCATGGGAGATGGAGCGCGAGCTCGCCGTACGATACATGTCGCTCGGGATCGTCAAGTCCGCACTCGAGATCTTTACCCGCCTCGAGATGTGGGAGGAAGTCGCGCGGTGCTGGATGACGCTTGAGCGGCCGGACCGCGGAGTCGACATCATTCGCGAGTTGCTCGAGGGACGCAAGGCCGAGTCGGACGTCGTGATGAACGACCGCAAGGGCGATGGGGCGCGCAGGTTCAAGGGCGGCGAGAAGCGCGAGGCCAAGCTTTGGTGCACGCTGGGCGAGCTCGAGCGCAAGCCCGAGCACTACGAGAAGGCGTGGGAGGTTTCGGGTCACTCGTCGAGCCGCGCACAGCGGTCGCTCGGCGCCGTCTACTTCTCGCGCAACGAGTACGACAAGGCGCGCGAGTCGTTGCGGCTCGCACTCGCCATCAACCCGCTCTTCCCGCGCACGTGGTTCATGCTCGGGTGCTGCGAGATGCGCCTCGAGGACTGGAAGGGCGCGCAGGAGGCCTTCTCGCGATGTGTCGGGCTCGATGGCGAAGACGCCGAGAGCTGGTCGAACCTCGCGAGCTGCCACTTGCGGCGGGGCGAGATTGAAGGTGACAAGCGGGCGGACGGCGAGGCGGACGAGGAGCAGGACGATGCGGGACTCGACGAGGAGGAGGACCAGCGGGATGACGGAGAGCGTGAGGCGGTCGTCAAGCTGCCGTTCTCGCGGAAACGCACGGCGTTCCAGTGCCTGCGCCAAGCGATCAAGTACTCGTACGACTCGTGGCGCCTGTGGTACAACTACATGGTCGTGGCGATGGATGTTGGCGAGCTGAGCGAGGCGTGCCGCGCGCTCGACCGGATGGTGGTCATGCGGATCGAGAAGGACGGCGAAGCGGCTGTCGACCTCGAGGTGTTGGAGAAGCTCGTCGACGCCGTCACCCGCGCCGACTCTGAGGCGACCATCGACGCGGGCGAGCGTGCCGTCAATCCGAACGAGGGCAAGGGACTGTACCGACCCGTCGAGCACCTCTTGACGCACACGATCCTCCCGCACGTCTCAAACTCGCCTCGAGTATTCCTCGCACACGCACGGCTGCTCCTCTGGGCGCAAGACTACGCCGGCGCGCTCGATGCACACTTGAAGGCCTACCGCGCAGCAGTGGTCAACAACCCGAATGTCGCGCACGACCGGACGGCGTTCCGCGAGGCGGTCGAGCAGGTCGAGACGGTCGTGTCGATGCTGGAGAACCTCGGGCCGAAGGACGGCAAGGATGGCGCGGTCGTCGCCAAGGACTGGAAGTTCCAGGCGCGGTCGCTCGTGCGGACGTTCTTGGGACGGACGAGGGAGTCGTTCGAGGATGAGCCAGAGTATGCGCGATTGAAGGAGCTGCAGCAGGAGTTGCGGTAGACTCGGCGGGATCTCACACTAGAACGCAATGCTAGACTTGTTGCGACATTCTCAGGGCTCTATTGCGTCTAGTCCGGTGTCTACTTCCTCCGCGCGATGAAGAGATCGGTCGTGTAGTCGTACTCGAAGGTGCCGGCCTTCTCGTCGACCCACTTCTTGCCCTCGCCGCGCTTCAGGATCTCGCGCAGCTTCGTCTCAAACTTGGCGCGCTCGTCGTCCGACAAGGCGGTGATGTAGCTCTTGCTGTGAGACACGCGAGACAGCGGTCGTCAGCCGCCGAGGACGACCAACGAAAGCGAAAAGCGCGCGCCCGACTCACCTGAACACCCTATCGATGGCCCCCTGCTCCGTGACCTCCTTCATCCACTTGTACTCCCTCTTGGTCATCTCGCCAAACATCTCCCAGTACGAAGGCTCGTCCCACATCGATTTCCAGAGGCCCAGACGATATTGAGGACTCCCCGCTTCGAATTGCTCGTACGCGTCGCGCAGTTGAGCGATCCAGGGGACGGAGCGGTCTTCGAGGTTCCAGATCAAGCACCAGGGGGCGGAGGGGCGGAGGATGCGTGCGATGGAGCGCACGGCGGGGAGCGGGTTCGAGCCGGTCCAGTGGAAGGCCTGCAGTGCGAGAGGTCAGCGAAGAGCTGCGAGAGCAGTGAGACTGAGCGAACCTGCGCGCAGACGACCTGCCAAGCGCAAAACAACGTCAGTCTCAGCGGAAGGACAGTCCCCGAAGAGCGCGACGCACCATATCCGCCGCTCCGCTCTCAACCGGCACATCCTCAAACGTCCCGTCCACACACTCGACCTCCACTCCTCCCTCGTCCACCTTCTCGCCCTTCCCAGCCCACTCAAACGCCCCGCCAAGCGTCGCCTTCTCGAAGCCCTCTCTCATCCCCTCACTCGGCTCGACACACACAACCTTCTTCACTTTCGCCGGGGTGTCAGGGTGCGAGAGCAAGGCGCGAGTGAAGAGTCCTGTTCCGGCGCCTAGTTCGACGATGGTTGCGCGGTCCGACGGCGAAGAGGGAGTCGGCAGGGTCGAGAGGATGTCTGAAATTGCGGCGGGTGGGTAGGAAGGGCGGGCGCGGTCGTAGAGACCTGAGGCGCCTGTGTGGCCGAACGTATAGCGTTAGCTAGAGTTGAGCGTGGTGGAGAGGATGAGGGGAGGGAGACGGACCGGATTTGGAGAAGTTCTCCTTGGCAAAGGTCGTGTGGGCCGGTTCGCTCGCTGCGGTAGATGACATACTTCTCTGTGCTAGTCTGTACGTCGTCGCTATGCCTCGCGAGAGCTGTGTACGAGCAGGGAGGATAGCCGAAGATGAGAAAGTGGGGAGGAGCGGACGGCGTGCGAGGACTGCGAGCGAGCGTGCGGCGGGTCCAGTCGTGCGTAGCATGCACAGACTGAAGCTCTGGAGCGGGAGAGAGAGCAAAGGACGAGGTGAAGCGACGAGGAGGAGGACAACCAGCAACGACTCGTTCGACTTGCTCTCGGCCGACTCAAAGTTGACTCACGGAAGTAAAGTGGGACGCATTCTATTCGTAGCAACAAACCACGCCATCGTACAAGTCCACGCGCTGCCTTGATCCCGCAAGCTGCGGCCGCAAACTCACCGCAAGACGACGCCCATCCCGCGCAGTGCGAGGTAGGCTTGTACGACTGCCGGCTGGAACGAGGGCGAGCGGATGAGTTCGAAGATCGAGGGGGAGTGGTAGCGCAGGAGGGTGCGTGGGTCGACGTATTTCGCCTGTGGGAGCGAGGACGGGGGTACGGAGAAGTGGGTCAGCGTTCCTCCAAACGAATCGGTCGAGCGAGGGGTGTCAGGGAGAGTTCACGACGTCTCCCTTCGCAGAAATCGAGCCGGAGGAAACGCACCTCGAGACCAGTGATGTCGCAGTACCGCTTCTGCGGCATCAGCGACGGAGTCGCTTCGATTGAGACGACTGCATGGACGACCCGTCAGCGCGATCAACTTCAGCTGCCGTCAAGCCCATGCGCTCGCAGCCTAGGCGCAAGCGAAAGAACGAGACGAAGGAAAAGCAGTCGCGCGAACGCACAGCTGACCACCTCGTCCTCTCGCTCCTCGTCTTCCGCATCCGTCTCTGCCGCCGTCTCTCCCCTCTCCTGCCGTAGCCGTCTGCGCTCCTCCCTCTGCTCCCTCCGCTTGCGCACCTCCTCATCCACCCTCTCCCTCTCGAGCGTCAAAATCTGCTTGAGCGTCTTGTTTCGCTTACCGGGTCCGCCGGGCGCACTGTGACGCGTGTAGTGGGGGTTCTTGAAGGGTTTTGGAGTCGAGGCGAAGGAGAATTGGGTGGCCGTGTACTGTGAGACGAGGAGGACGAGTCAGTGTCTAGAGCGCACTCGCAAACTTGGACGGTTCCAGCGATGCAAGAGTGCTCCACAGTCACACTGAAGCCACTCGCACGGCGCCCTGAGCGAGCGAGCGGGCGCAAGACTGACTTGACCGGCTAGGGAAGATGAGGACGACTGCTGCGACGTCGACGCCGTGAGCGGGTACGACCTGCATAGTGGGTGATCCAGAGTCAGTTGTGAGTCTACTCCAGCAAGAACGAGCCCGACTCGCATGGTTGAGTGCGTGGTTCGTGGTCGAGTTGCTCCTCTCCCTCGTCGCAATGGCTCACCTCGACCCTCTGCCGCACGAGCTCGCCCAGCTAGCCTCGAAGCAGTCACTCGCACTCTCGCACGACCTCGCAACCCTCGACGAGCTCATCGCGCGCCTCTCGCGCGCCAGAGACCGCCTCGACCCCCACTCGTCACCCGACGACGCACACTCGCTCGCAGAGAGCACCGTGGCGGATGAGCTGTTGCAGTTGAGCTCGTATGTCAAGAACACGGCGTACAGGGACGCGGACAAGGCCCACAAGGAGTGGAGCAGCGCCGTGAGCAGGCTCGGAAAGACTGTCGACAAGGTGCGTCCGCGAGGCGTGCCGCTGGGCATCTGCGGGCTGTTGCACGGTCACAGCGTGATCATCTGACATCCACTCCACGCCCGCAGAAATTCAGCGGCCCGCCCGCTCCACTGTTCCCGCCCGCACCCGTTCCCGCAACTCCCTCTCCCTCGACTTTCTCTCCTTTCTCCTCCTTCCCTCACTTCGCTGCCTCCTCCACCACACCGACACCCGTCTCCTCCACCCCATCCGACCCGACGCCCTTCGCCTCTCCCTCAGCGCACTCCGCCCTAAACTCCACAATCGCAACACACCTCGCTCGCTCCGGCTCGTTCGAGACGCTCGATACGTTCCTCCGTGAGTCGGGGACAGCAAGACCGCCTGAGTTGAGCGACGAGGTCGTGCAGAATTTGAAGGAGCTGAGAGAGGTCGTGGAGGATGTGAGGAGGGGGAAAGTGCAACGGGCGTTGGAGTGGGTTGCGAAGGCTCAGGCGGAGGAGGAGGCACGCGAGGGTGGAGGAGTACCTGGCGAAGCGGACGGGCTGGAGGAACTGGAGTACCGCTTGCGGAAGGAGGAGTTTGTGCGTATCGTGTTGGCGGGGGAGGCGGAGGCTGCGACGAAGCGCGAGGCTGCGATGGTGGGCGAGCCAGAACACGCCGGTGACGCGGCGATGGACACGGACGAGGCGCCTCCACCTGCTGGCTTCGGTCGCCGCAAGTCGTCCGTCCTCTCGACCACATCGTCCCTCTCGCTCGTCCGGCAACCTCCCTCTGCCCTTCCCGGTCCCGCGCCCCCTACGCACGTTCAACACGCACTCTCCAACGGCGGCCTTCACTTCCGGCGCTTTATCGCCTCCTCCTCTCACCCCTCGCGCGCAACCGAAATCTGCGCCCTCTTCACCAGCACGATGTACCTGCCGCTCTCTCGTCTCGCCTCGACGCCCTACGCACCCATCTACGCTCCTTACCTCCTCCCTCCTCCCGCCGTTCCAAGTCCAACTGAATCCTTGCTCGCGCTCTTTACATCCCTCTTCCTCGCCCGCCTGCCACACAAACTCCCTCGCGACGGTCCGCTCAAGGTCGTTACGGACGTGGGTGGGTCAGGAGCGTTGGCGAAGATTATGAAAGTGCGAGCGGTGATGAAGGAGAAGAAGACCGAGTGGAGCGCGGTGGGCGAACTTCCCGTGCGTCCTGTCCCTCATTTTCCCTCTCCTCGCTGACGCTCGCCCCTGGCGCAGGTCGAGATCCCCCTCCCCCTCTCCTACCGCTTCCACTCGATCTTCTCGTGCCCCGTCTCGAAAGAACAGTCGACGCCGCAGAACCCGCCGATGCTCCTTCCGTGCGGACACGTCATTGCGAGGGAGAGCCTGGTCAGGCTCGCGAGGGGGACGCCGTGAGTCCAACTTCCTGGTCGCTTGGGCAGTGTTCGCCGGGAACGGCGCGGAGCTGGTCATGGTTAGCTTCGAGACCATGAACTGACAACTTTGCCCGTTCGCTCGCTCACTTGCAGAACCCTCAAATGCCCCTACTGCCCGGTGGTCTCACACTTCAACTCGTGCGTGCGCGTCTACTTCTGATGCAGCCTCTCGCCCGCCCACTCGATCCCTTGTACCGATTCTCTTGCATTTGGCTTTCCTGCCCGTGTCGTACTTCTCCGCACTTTTGCATTGTCCACGTCTCTATCGCACAACAACAACAGGACTACCCGTTCAGAGACACGATGAGGCAGGGGCCTAGTGGTCCTCCTCCGCTTCGCCCGGACAGTTTGCCTCGAGGTCGGCTCGGTCGTCGTACTGGCAGCCGCACCAGAGGCAGTAGCTGCGCACAAACGGTAGGGTCAGTACGAGGTGCGTAAGTGAAAGAACGGGGATGACGGACTTGTACTTGTTGCGGAGGTAGGTGAGCGTGAGGGCGAGGCGGGTGCGGACCTGCGCGTCCCCGCGTCAGCGAACACAGAGAAGGATAGACTGAGAGCGCACGCACATCGTAGGAGAACCACTCGGCCTCTTCCTCGACATCCTGCACCGTCCGCTCGCCTGCGGGAACCTGCTGCCTCGCCGCACTCTCCGCCTCCTCGTCCTCCGTCTCGACAACCGTCGCGCTGACGCCCGTCTCGTACGCCAAGTCTCCCCTTCCCTTCTTGCCCCTCGGCACCTCGTCCTCCACCTTGGCGCCAAACAAGCTCTCCGCCTTCTTCACATCCTCCTCGTCGCTTTCAACCTCCTTGTCGACCCTCTCAAACAGCCTCCTCCTGTTCTTCCTCTCCTCGTCGCGCTCCACCTCCTCCGGGTCCCTCCACATCGGACTATCCTCGATCCCGGCTCTCCGATCCAATTCCTCGCATGTCCTCCGCGCAGAACGCAAGAGCCCGAATGCGCGGCGGTCGTCCATTGTTGAGCGGAGGCGAGAGAGGTAGCCTTCTAGGTCTGGGAGCGGGAGGGAAGCGTAGTGCGCGTCTCGTGCGTAGGTTGCAGCGGCGGAGGAGGAGGAGGGCGCGGAGAGGTAGGGGAGGAAGCGCTTTGGCTGGGGGACGCCGAGTCCGGTGCGGCCTGTCATTGAGAGCATTAGTGTGAGGGACTCGTCGTGCAAGAGAGAGGAGCAGCGCACCTGTCCGCATCTCAAACTTGATCGGTTCCGTTCGTGCGGTCGAGGTCGACGGAGCGGGACTCCCTTCCGCGCTCGAGCCCGTCTCAGCTCCGACAGGCGTGAAAGCAGCCTTTGTGAAGCCCAGCCCTCCCCGCGAGCCCGTCGAGCCGATGCCTCCTCCTCCTGACGCAACTTCGTCGGGAGTCGAGGTGCCAGAGTCGCTCTTCCTGCCCAGCGCCTCGCCCGGCTTGAAGCCCATCTTGCTGTGAGCACACAAGAGAGTCAGTGAGGTCCCACGAGAGCCAACGCAGGCAGACGGACCTCATCATCCTGAACGCCTTGCTCTCCCCTCCTCGCTCCTCGTCCTCCTTCGCGCGCTGGATCAAGTCCGTCCTGAGCCCAACCTCGCGCTTCTCCTCCTCCAGCTGCTTGCGACTCTTCGCGCGCCCCTTCTCCTCCGACTCGATGAGCTTGCGCTTCCGACGGTCTTGGTACGAGAGCGGGGCTGATGAAGTCGAGGGCGTGTCGACGAGGAAGCGCGGGTCGTCGAAGTCGACGTCAGAGTCGGACAAGGACATGGTGAGGAGCGCTGGCGGGGCGAGCGGAGCCAAGGAAGCGGAAGTGGAGTGAAGAGTGGGAGGAAGAGCCTCTCGTGGCTGTGAGGAAGGTTTGCTGTCGGACACTCTCGCAGGAAGGGGGTTCGAGGGGACCCGGGACGGTCTCAGTGACGTTCTTACGAGGTCTATTGCGACGGAAACCCGAAAGACCGCCTCAGCCGTACCGAACCTCGCGATCCTCCTCGCGGAACCAGCTGCGGGCGATACTTCCTTCGTCAGTCCCCTCCTCTTCCAGCTCGGGGAAGCGCGCACGCACTCATCCATAGTCCTATTCTCCTCTTCTGTCGCAAAATTGACGATGACGCTCTTGCTCTGCGTGTACGAACGATACGCCTCGTGGCCGTTCTCGCGGCCGACGCCAGAGTTCTTGTAGCCGCCCCAGGGAGACGAGGGGTCGTTGCGGTGGTGCGTGTTGACCTGCAAGAGTTACGTCAGCAGAGAAGGGAGAGAAAGCGGAGAGCGAACCGCACCCAGACGAGGCCATGCTCGAGAGCGTTCGAGACGCGGATCGCCTGTGCGCCGTCGCGAGTCCAGATGGCGCTGCCTGTGGTGAGATCGATAACAGCTATCAGCTCTGTCTCGCTCGATGAAGACAACAGCCGAACAGCCTGCGAGAGCACGACGCACCCAGCCCATACTCTGAATCGTTCGCCAGCTTGATTGCCTCTCCCTCCGTTTCGAACGGGACAATGACGAGTACCGGACCGAAAGCTTCTTCGCGCCATATCCGCAGCTTGGCCGCGTCGACAGTCGAAGTTCCGGTGATCAGCGTGGCAGGGTAGAAGTAGCTGCGACGGCGTCAAGAGGCGTCAGCTCCGTCGGAACATCGAGAGACCGACTCGTCAGACGCACCCCGCGGACAGGTCATGTCCATCCAGCCCGCTCTTCCCCTTCATCCTCTTTCCTCCGCAGACGATCCTCGCGCCCTCCTCCTTCGCCGACTCTACCAACTCCTCCACGATCCCGAGTTGTTTCGCCGAGATGATTGGACCCATCATCGACGACTTGTTGAAAGGCGAGCCGATGCGGGAGGTGATGCTTGCGCATTTGGCGGAGAGGAGCGAGAGGAACGAGTCAAAGATGGGTTGCTGGACGATGATGCGGGTGCCTGCGTAGGTGTACTCGTCAGCTCGCTCCTACACTGCCAACGAGAGCGTTTTGATGGAAGAGAATTCAGCGAAGCGCAATGTCGTGAAGAGGCGGAACTGACCTGCGACGCAAGTCTGGCCCGAGGCGATAAACGAAGCGAAGGCGACGCCGTTCACCGCGATCTCAAGATCCGTGTTGGCTGCGTGGCACCGCGATGGTCAACAGCTCAGTCGCCGCGACCGAGACGCTCGACAACAAGCCAGTTCCGCTCGACGACGCACCGAAGACGACGATCGGCGCCTTCCCGCCCAGCTCAGCCGTATAGCTCGTCAAGTTCCGTCCGACAATCTCGCCGATAGCCCGCCCGCCTGTCGTCCCGCCTGTCAAGTCGACCTTCTTGATGCGCGGATCCGAGACGAGCGCTTTGCCGGTTGTGAGGCCGTAGCCGGGCAGAACGGAGAGGACGCCGTCGGGGACTGTGCGGAAGGCGTCAGCGGAAGCAGGGGAGAGCGAAGGAGGAAGAGGAGCGCACGACCGGCGGACTGGGCGATTTTGGCGAGCTCAAGCGTGCTGAGCGGCGCGAGTTCCGAGGGCTTGAGGATGACTGCGGATCGTGAACAGCGTCAGTGTCGTCTCCTCTGTCGTGGGAAAGAGCGAGTCTAACCCGAGTTGCCAGCCGCAAGTGCGAACGCTGCAAAGCGCCATTGTCAGCGTCCAGTCGCAACTTGTTGCCAGCGGACCGCGTTACGCACCAAGCTTCTTGATCGAGATGAGCAGCGGGTGGTTGAACGACGAGACGAGCGCGCAGACGCCGAGCGGTTCGCGCCGAACGTAGTTGAGGAGGTTCCCTCGAACAGGTTGCGTCGAGCCTTCTTCCGTTCGTGCGAGTGCGGCGGCGTAGTCGAACCACTCGTGCAAACGGCCGAGCTGGGTCGACATCTCGCGATAGGGTCTGAACACGCCAAGATTCAGTTAACGGTCAAGGTCGACGAGGACGGGCAGGCTCACCGCCCTGTCTGCTTGCTCTCCAGCACCGCCAGGTCCTTCACCTTTGCCTGGAACTGCCTCGAGATCTCCGAGAGCTGCGCAACGCGAAAGTGAGCAAGTCCTCCGCTCCGCAAGCAGACGAAGCGGTACCCACGACAGCCGCCCTGTCCGCCGGCGCCTTCCGACTCCATGTGCCAGCGTCGAACACTCTCTGCGCCTCCGTGATGGCCTCTGCGACCTGCTCGGGCGAGGCGGCGTCGCAGTGGGCGATGATCTCGCCTGTCGCCGGGTCCTCGATGGGGATGCTGGGTCATCGGGAGTGGCGGGGGCGGCCAAGGTGAAAGATCGGAGCATGTGTGTAGCGTCGAGCACATCTAGAAGGTCAGCGCAGATGCTAAAACCGCGGGATGAGGACGACAAGGTCAAGTGGGGGGAAACGCACCGCTCCGCCTGTCCCTGCACTTCCTTGCCCGCCAGCCAGATGGGATAGCTCTCCTTGACGGTGTACGACATGCTGTAGTAGCAGCTAGGCCTGCGAAGGCGTGAGCGAGAGAGGAGGACGAGGGAAAGAGAGATACGGCCGAGCCGAGATAGCGGGCGACGCATGCAGGCAGCGGAACGGCCATTTGAGGTCGAAATGATGCGATACAGACTGCAAACGACGGGAGGAACTACGACCGAGAGGGAGGAGAGAGGAAATCCCAGAGTTGAATCGGAAAGACAACAAGAGTTGAGCGGAACCACGAGGACGGAGGCATTCTAGAGACGCTGGAGAGGACGCCGTCTACTTGGGGACGGGAGGGTAGTCGATCTCGTCGAGGTAGTAGGCTGCGGGAGGAGCGGGAGTCAGCCGAGCTCGAAAAAGTCGGGGACGAGGATTCCGCTTACCAGTGTCGCCGCCCTCGAGCTCCGTCTTGCTCCAGCCATTGCCGAGCCACGCTGTGGAAATACGCAGGCGTCAGCGGAATGCGAAGCGGAAGAACGGAGGATGCGACGCACCGAGGCGGTTCTTGTTCGAGCGCGTGTACTCGAAGTCTTCCCACCGCGGGTTTTCGATCGTCTTGATGGCATGCAACGCCGACCCAGGCCATAATGCTGTTACGGGTCCCTCTTTTTTGAGGAGCGCGCGAACAGGCGCCATAACGTCAGCGGAAGGTTGGGAGCGTCGCAGGCGAGGAAAACGCACCCTCCAAGCCCCGCTTGTACCATGAGCGGCCTGAGAACGCGGGACGGGCATCAGTTCAGTCTCTTCAATGTGCAACGAGCGCGAGAGCAACGCGGATTGACGTTGGAACGAAGGTGTACAGCGGAATGAGGAGAGGAAGCGGAGGAGAGGACTATTGACTCACACTTCGTCGAGAACACGGTCTTCTGGAAGTAGGTGTGGACGTATTCCTGCCAGTCTGCGGACATTCACAGCGTTAGCCGTCGGTGAAGCGAAGGGAGCATCCAAGCGGAACATACCGTTAACAGCCTCTTGCTTCGCGGCCATTGTAATAACGTTCTCACAGACCATCTTGCCGAGACACTTGACGATGTAGTCAACCTCTTTCTCAAACACGACGAGGAGCGAGCCCGACCCTGCAAGGACGGAAGGATCAGCTATGACACCTGCCGCTTGAAGCCAAGCAGTTCTGCACGTACCGAGCGAGCTGTTCGGGCCATTGATGATGAACTGTGGGCGAGCACACAAGTCAGCAAGCTAGAAGCAATCAATGCGAAGCGAAGACGAGACTCACGTAGTTGGGGTGGTCGGGTCCGATAAACATCGACAGATACGACGAGGGAATGTCCTCCCACAGGTCTCGGACGTCGCTGCCATTCTTGCCGACAATCGGGACGCGCGGGCGGAACGACGTGTCGAAACTGTCCGAGCACAGGCGGAGAACGAGGTCAGCCTCAAATCTTCGCAGGAGGGGAAGGAAAGCGGAACGCACCCAGTAGCCGAGACGATCGTGTCGTACTCGCGGTGCTTGCCGTCGGTGGTCTCGATGCCAGTCTCGGTGATGCGCTTGATGCCGGTCGAGACAAAGTCGACGTTGTCGCTCGTGAGCGCCTCGAGGTAGCCTGGTCCGGGGGTCAAGCTGTGCGACGACGAAGGCAAGGCTCAGCGCTTCACGTGAGGTAGACGAGACTCGGGATGAAGGCCCGATGAGAAGGCTCCGAGACGCACCGACGGCAGCCAACCGCGAAAGTCGGGATGAAGACCTTGGCGATCTCGGGCTTGGTCTCGAGCTTCTTCTCCACTGCAAAGCGTACAGATCGTCAGCGCTGCCATGCGAGCATACCGAGGCGAGAGAAGCATGAACGCACTGAGCTCGCGGAAGGCGGCAACGGCGCCAGTCTGCAACTCGCTGCCCTTGAGGGTAACGCCGTGGACCGCATTAAGCTGCGACGAGACGAACAAATCGTCAGCAAAACACTCGCACGCGAAGAAGCACACCGCAACGCACCTCCTTCTCCATCGACTTGCGGAACTCGTGGTAGTAAGCCGGGTCCTTCTCGAACCGCTCCTTCTCCTCCTCGGTGAAGGTGTAGTTGTTCGCGTCAGGCTTGCGCTTGAGGAGCTCGGTCGAGGCGAAAGGCGTGGCGATCCAGGCGGAACCGCGGACGTAGTTGTCGACACGCTTGGCGTGAGGCTGGAGGGCGGGGACGATCTGGATCGCGGAGGATCCCTGCGAGTCGCGACGAGGAGCATGAATGCGTGCTACGAGGCCTCGACCAAGCGAGTCGAACGCACCGAGCCGATCACAGCAACCGTCTTGTCCTTCTCGTCCTCGGCCTTGGTCTCGTAAGCCGCCGAGTGAAGGAGCCGGCCCTGTACATCGGTCGGCATCGTTAGCTTCAAGTCCATGGACAGAGCAAGAAGACCAGCACGCACCTTGAACTCCTTGATGCCCGGAATGTTGGGCCAGTCCCACCTCGACAGACCACCCATTCCCTGAATGACCGCATCGACAACCGCCTCCTTCTCGCCGACCTTGTTCTCCTTCTCGTCGACAATGTCGAACGAGAGGTGCCACTGAGAGGTCTTGTGGTTCCACTTGGCGGCGGTGAGCTTGTGACCGAAGCGGAGGAAGCGCTCGAGCTTGTACTTGGCCGAGACGCGCTGGAGGTAGGCGAGGATCTCGCGGCCTGAGGCGTAGAAGTTGGTCCAGCGGTGCTGCGTGGGGAAGAGTGTGAGCGGCAGGCGCGAGAAGTCTCGGAAGAGAGGCGAGCGTACGTTGGGCTCAAAGGTCAAGCTGTAGCAGTGTGCGGGGATCTGCGAGAGCAACAGAGCGTTAGTCACGCGCGTTCATGAACGTACGAAAGCGCCGAGCGGAACGGACGTCGCAGCAAAGGCCAGGGTAGCTGCAAAGTGCGGAGGAAGCCATGTCAGCGCTCCGCGCTGCAAACGGCTGGAGTCTCGCGCGAAGAAGTGAACGCACTTGTTCTCAAACCAGGTACCGCCGACGCTGTGGTTCTTCTCAAAGATGTCGAGCTCGACGTGGTCCTTGAGGTGTTGGTCGATGCGGATACCGGCGATGATGCCTGAGAAGCCCGCTCCGACTGCGCACACGCACCACGGAGTCAGTTCATGCGTTAAAGGAGGAAAAGTCGCGCGCCAACGCACTCATGGCGACCTTCAACTTGCGACCCGACTCGCCGACCGGGTGGTCCTCGAGGACGAACGGGGCAGAGTCGAGTCCGCGCGGGAGACCGGTGAGGGGGTCGAGGTCGATGCTGATCCTGCATGGGAGCGAAGGAGGGTGAGCGATGCGTAGTGGCCGCGCAAAGGCGGAGCGGAGGAGAGGAAGATGGGTGGGGGAGAGTCAAGCGTACATGGTGTGCGTGTAGGATCAGGCAAGGTGAGGATGAAGCGAGGGAACAAGAGGAGAGAAGAGAGCGAGCGCAGACGCGGGGTGAGCGAGCAACGAGGGCGGAAGTTGGACGGTCGGGTGGAGTGCGATGGCCCTCGACGGCGGAAGTTGATGCTCCGGGGACCCGCGGCGGCGACGCGCGCGAGGTCCCGGCCTCCGCGATAGAACCGACTCGTTCACAGACGTCGCCAAAAGGCAGGTCCCCCTTCAAGCGGATGCTCATGTCGTGTACATCTGCAGCACCTGCGAAAGGCCAGCGAAGGAGCGAACGGCGAGCGCGACGAGGCAAACTTGTCGAAAGAGGAAGGTCAAACCGTCGAAGTTGTCTTCCTCTTGTTGGTCCTCCTTCTCGTCGCCGTTCCTCCTTCCGCCTGGACAGCCTCGCCGTTCTTCTGCGTGCGTCGTCGACGAGGGGGGATGCCGATCGCGCACTTGTCCCGACCGCAAGAAGCGGAGCCGGATTTGGGCGGAAGATGCGCTCCGTCCATGCGCAACAAAGCGCTGTCACAATCCGCGAACATAGTCGATGGGAACCGCGAGGTAGCCCACCCTTCAAGTAATGATGAGCGGAAGGAAGCTCGTCTTGACGTTGTCGGCGACGAGGTTGGCCGACGAGGTAGGTTTTGGACAGTTGAGGGCTTGGGGTGTTTGAGAGGCGTAGCAGTGTTAAAGGGGAGGACGACGGCACACCAAGGGATGGCGTGAAGCGGTCTGTACGCGAGAAGGGATGAGGTAGCGGATCCGACGGATTGCAGCGTAAAAGATGGCAACGACACAGAGTAGTATGATACAGCAGGCTTCCAAGCAACAGACGAAAGCCACGCTCACAGATTGATCGCCATGTCGACAGCGTACCCGCGAACGCGCATGAGGACGCACAGGCGGTAGTGCCACCTGCACAGCTCGGTATCCGGATAGTCGCTCTCGTCGTCTTCCTTCGAGACGCGCATGTCCGCGCGTGCGTACGACTTGCCGTGGAGTTGAGCAGCCTCGTCATCCATGTAGTCGAAGCAGTGGAAGAAGTAGCGGCCGTTCTGTAGCCAGTCGTTAAAGGTCAACGTCCCTTCCCTCCTCGCAGCCGATGCCAGATGTCGCAGACTCACCTGGTAGTGCATCGACCAGACGTAGCGGTCTGACCTGTGCAGGTTGGGCGAGAGGAGCAGACCGAAGGCGACTTCGTACGGTGCGGCGGTACCGAGCAGCTTTTCGTACACCTGGAGAGGAAAACTCGGGTCAGTACAGCCATAGCGGGCAATCCTGACAGCAACAAACATCGGTGCGGGCGGCGGGAACGAGGTGTGCGGCATCGCAATTTTCTCCGCGCTTGAAGCTGAACGGGCAGAACCCGTCGCGGATCAAAAGCCTCTCGCGGAAGTTGCTCTGCAAGCGGCGGGACGTGGTCAGTTGGCAGTTCCTCTGGCGATCAGGACTTCGTCGAACAACTCGCCTGGTCATCCGTTTGGCGAGAGGGCTCACTCTCTGTCTGGTCATCCAAGTCGACGTAGCCTGGCGGTGCGCTGCCAGGCGAGTGCACGCTTTCGGGACCACGCGCCTCCTTGAAGGCAACTCCAGGGTTGGCTGTATGGTCAGGCCGGGGTAGTCAGCACAAAGTGGACGGACGAGCGCAGCCTGAACGCACCTGGAACGAAGCGGTACAGCGCCTCTTTCGGCTCCTTCTCGAGATCGAGCGCCTCGTCGATATTGGCCGAATCGCGCAAAACTCCTTCTCCTTCGACAAGCATCTGCGCGACCTCCTGCACGAAGCGCAAGGTGTTGTCGCCGCCGAGACGGATGAAGTCGAGCGGGATCTTGATCTGGAGGGCGAGCTCGTCCGGGAACGAGACCGTGAGGCATTCCTGACGCGGCCAGAGCCTCCACAGGGGCACGTAGACCTCCTCGTTAGCGTCGGGCGCCATGGACAGCGAGGTCGACGAGGTGGTCGTCGTCAGACAGTGGGCAAGTGTGCGACGGCGCCGGAGCTTCGTGCGAGCGCGCCAGCAAGGTTATGCGGACAGCAGACACTTGTCCCAGCAGAGCAAAGCAGCCCAAGTGCACACAGAGCGGTGAGGGCGTTGTGGAAGGACGGAAGATTAGATGGCAGACCTGATTAGGCCTGATTAGCACGTAACCGCAAGCTGCCGCCCCCGATAGCCAACTCTCTTCCAAGCTGTTGTTCTCAAGCGGCGCAGCGAATCTTTACAATGTCCCATCATCGCTACTACGCGCCTAGTCCGTCTCCATCCGCGCCTCACCCTGCGCCTCACCCTCCGCCGCTCCTTCGCCAGCAACAGCCGTCGCCTGCCTCGCCGGTGCCGCCGCTTCGTCCTTCGGCTCCAGCCTGCTCAAGTACGGCTCGAGCGCGTCGCCTTCGAGGATGTGGAACGTCGTCAGCGCGGGCTTCTTGCCGCCTGTCGCGGTCGACGCGGGGAGGACGCTGGTCGTAGGAGGAGGTGCGTCGCTCGTCTGCTGGTCATCGCCGGACGACGCAGCCGAGGTTGTCGGAGCGAGTCCGACGATTCCCACACTCGTATTCAACCCACTCAACTCCTTGTCCTGCTGCAACGTCTCCCTAAGCGCCCTCAGTCCGTGTATGACGAGTTCGTCGAGCGAGGCGGAGGGGAAAGTCTCAAAATTGGCTTCGAGGTAGGTCTTGGCGGATTGGGAGCGCGCGCCGATCGAGAGGGCGTGGTAAGAGAGGCAGGAGCCTGACGGGGTGAACTCGTACAGGTGAGGGCCTTGGTCCTGCGCGAAAGCGAGCGTCAGCGAGTACTGATCGTCTACCACGACGCCACATCTTGCTGAAAGGCAGCACGAGAAGGTCGCGAAGGGCGAGCGAGACTCACATCGTAACCGGCGACAAGCAATCCAACACCATACGGCCTCTTCCCGTAGTGCTGCGTGTTGATCTGCGCCTCTACACTCGTCCCACTCGTCAACACCGGGAGAGGAGAATGCCGGAGAGAGGGGACGCACTGTCCGCGATCGAGCTGACGATGCGCGAGATGGGCAGGGGACGGTTGTAGAGCATGCGGGAGGACATGGCTTGCGTGCGCATGAAGTTGCTGTGCGCAGGACATTCCACATCAGTGAGCACGTGTTCTCGCCTGAGCGAGAACAGAGCGCCAGAAGGGAAACGGGGGGACGCACGAGAGGACCCTCGCGTCGGACGTCAATCCCGCAATCGCGACACCGATATGGTCATCGATGCGAATCAGCTTCTTTTGATAACTCGCCAACTCGCCCGTCGAACGCTGTTTCCACCAAGCCGTCAGCCGGGAATTGCGAGCTGGAAGGAGAGGGAAACGCACCTTGAGACCGAGGAGGACGACATGGGTGTCTGATCGCAGGCCGACGCAGGCTGAGCCTTGCTTGACTGCTTCGAGGGCGTACTCGACCTGTATGTCCGGGTTGACGCGTCAGCTCGCCGTGCGGAGGGAAGAGGAGGTTGAGGGCGGACGAACCTGGTGCAGCCGGCCTTGCGGCGAGAAGGTCGAGTTGTCGTTGTCGTAGGTGTTGCGGTGCATAGTTCACGACAGGCGGGAGAAAGATGGAGAGAAGGGAAAGGGAGCTGCCGTGATGAGAAGGGGAGAACAAGGTCAGCAGCGAGTTCTGGGACCGCGTGGCAGCCTGCGTGCGCTCCAGACGCCTGCAAAGAACACCTCGAGCGAGCTATTTAATGCTCCAACAGCCCTCGTTCCTTCGCTCTCCTCGACACCTCCCCGCCTCATCATCGCCAGTCCTCCCAACCGAACCGCCCGCTCCAGCGCCGCCCCATCGCCTCCACCTTTAGCCTTCCATCACAGCTATTGCATGCACAGCGCGCGAGCTTACCAGGCGCGGGTTGAGGGAGCGAAGTCGGAGGTGTGGTGCGCTGACGACGAGTTGGGCGGGTGAAGCGAGACAACGAAGCAATGCGGCGAGTTCAGGCGGAGTGTGCTAGTCCCGTTGACAAGCTAGAAGTATCCTGGGCCTGTTCTGCAGCGAAGGCGAGCGGTGAGGTTTCGTGAGCGCGAGAGCGAGATGAGGAGGAGCTGGTCCGCTCAACTCGCACCAAGTAAGGCTTGGACGGTCTAGTAAATCACGTTACACACTAATACATCGCTCTAGTCAGCTCACGCCTCGTCCCGAGCGAAAGGCAGCGACCTTCCCTCGTCGCTCTCATCTCTCCAAGCTCACTCTCCCACTCTCCGCTCCTCACAGCTAGACAGAGCCCACGATGCGCCCGCTCACCGAATCAGAAACCAAAGCGCTCTTCAGCAAACTCGCCAACTACCTCGGGCCCAACCTAGTCCACCTGGTCGACACTCCGGACGATGTGCGTTCCGACTCAATTCTCGCGCTTGGGGCTTGATGGTTGGGTTGTTGGGCGTGGCATACGGGTAGAGGGGACTGCGGGACTTGGTCTGGGTGCTGGCGGGCAGCCTGGGTGCGGTAGGGACGGAGGACGGGTCGTTGAGCGAGGTCGAGGCTGTGCTCAGCTCGAGACGGGCGGCGGGGAGGGACATGACGGGCCGGGTCAGCGCGACTCACAGGCGTAGTTCGAACCGGGCTAGAAGGAGCGGCGACCTTGACTTGGTCAACGGGGGAAAGGGCGGGACTTTCTTCAAGGAAGGGCGGGTTGCGTTCTTGCGCTTCAGGGACATATGACAGATGGTGCGGCAGGGTGAAGATGAGCGGTATGCGTGGAAGAGTCCTTCGCCAGATCGGGATGAGCGGGATGAGGACAGCTTTCGGGGCGGCATTTCTCGCTGGCTTAAGAGGAATCGCTTCAGGGTGCTCTTCCTGAGCCTTCGGCCGACGTTGGGACGGTTCACCTTCTGTTTGAGGGGGAGTACGACTCCTGGCGCTTTTTAGCAAATTCGCTTCTAAAGCAGCTCGACCCGCAGGTCATTTCCCTTCATCCAAAAAATGTACTAACACCCGTCTCCCTCCCCCTCACAGCCCCACGTCTTCCGCCTTCACCGCTCTCGCGTCTACTACATCCGCGAATCCCTCATCCGACACGCGATCTCGGTCCCTCGCGCAAACCTTATCTCGCTCGGCGTGTGTCTGGGAAAGTTTAGCAAGACGGAGAAGTTTAGGTTGCATGTGACGGCGCTGGATGTGCTTGGGCGGTGGGCGAAACATAAGGTGCGTTCAGTGGTGTACTCGGTTCGAGGCGACGAGAACTGAGGATTTCCTTCTCCCCTTTCTTGACTCCTCATCGTACGTTCGCCCGCCCGCCTGCTTCGTCCGCATCGCTTCTCCATCGCTTCGTCTCGCCTTCACCTTCTCCCCGCTCCGGACTGCACCTGCGCCTATATCTTTCGATTCTCCCGCCGACTTGCCGACTCTCCGCCGTCCTCCCTTATTCCCCGTCGACTCACTCGCTCCACTTCCACCGTCTCTTTCTCTCCCTGGTGCCTCGAACGCCCTCCCGGGACGCAGGTCTGGATCAAGCCGAACGGCGAGATGCCCTTCCTCTACGGCAACCACGTCGTCAAAGCGCACATCGGCAAGACCTCTGAAGACATCACAGAGCACCAAGGCGTCGTCATCTACTCGATGAACGACATCCCGCTCGGTTTCGGAGTGACGGCGAGGAGCACGGTTGATACGAGGAAGGTCGACCCGACTAGTATTGTCGTCTTCAACCAGGCGTGAGTCCCGGAATTTTCGCGTTGTCGTGACAGCTCATTGCACGTTGAGCATTGGCGCTGACGTTCATTGCGCATCCGACTCGCAGCGATGTCGGAGAGTACTTGCGTGACGAGGTACGCTCAGCCCTTCTCGTTCTCGCACTGAGGGCGTTCTCGCAACATCTCGCTGACGCGCACTTGGTATGCGCCCGCAGGACACCCTCTTCTAGACATCCCGCTCTCCTCCTTCGCCTCTCGCTCTCGGTCACCTCCCTCTCCCGTCGCTTCCCGGGTTCCTCTCGGTCTGGTTGCTCGTATCGCACGCACACCCATGTTGTCACTTCATAGCTCCTCCCTCTCCTGGTCGCTGCTGCAACCCTTCCATCGAGCGTACGCGATCCCTCCGTGAGCGGCCTCTCGTCCGCGCGAGCCGTTCGACTGCTCCGCTCTTCGGGCGCGATATCAGGGAGCTGAGACGACGCGCGTGGGTACTGTCGTGGATGGTGGTACGGCAGGAGTCGGGATGAGGTCGACGGAGGCGAGGCCAGGCGGATCAGGCGGGCCGGTTTGGCTAGGTCTGGCTCGAGGAGGGTCAGTCTCTTCTGCTGATAACCGCAAGCACGCAAAGAGGATAACGCACCGCTTCGATTCCCCAATCTCGTGCACTTCAGCAGCGGCTCGTCGGGGGAAGCTGGCTTGCGGTTGTCGAGGCGTTGTTTTCGTCGAACTTCGGCAGGGAAGGGCGACTTGAGTGAAGACTTCTGTCGTCGGAGGGGTCTCACGAGGTCGCAAGCGAGTACTGTAGACGCTGCGGTCCAAAAAGGTCAGGCTGGACGCAGAAACTCGACAGCGAGCGGACGGGCGACGCACCTGGGCAGATTGCTCTCTTCAAGCATTCGTCGCGCACTCCGCTCACACGAACCCACCCACCTCGCCCTCCGCAAACCTCGCTCCCTCCTCGCCCGTCTCAAACCCCTCGAACCCTGCCAGTCCCTCGTCAAACCCCGTCTCGCGACCGCCCAACCCCTCAACCTGCCACCGCTCAATATTGAACGCCCTATCCGTCCACCCCCTCTCCACATCCAGCGCATCACGTCCAACCGCCTCCCGACCCGCCAACCTCGACTCCTCAACCCCTACAGCCCGGGGCGGTCCAAACACAGCCGGCGTCTCGTACATCCATTCGTCGCGTTCTGCTTCGTCAAGCATCTTGCGGAGGTAGTCGATCGCCCGTGATTGGGCTTCGTCGACGTCGATGTCGACGTCGGTTGGAGGGACTGGTGCGCGAATTCGAGAGGGGATGTCTTTCCACCCGAATCCTGGATCCGGCGTCGTGCTCGGCGGCGAAGCAGAGAGGAACTCTAGTGCTCGCGCCTCTACGTCTGCGTACGGAGCGCCCGCGAGCGAGTCGACGACGGAAGAGGAGGTGGTGCTGCTTGCTCCGGGGGAGGGAGGGTGCGCGAAGGAGGGGTCGAAGGGATCTAGTGGGTCTGCAGAGGCGGAGAGGGCTGGCGAGGCGCCGGGCGAGAAGTACGAGTTGGCTTCGAGCGGGTTGGGTGATGAGGGGTCGTGGTGAGACGGGTCGGGTGTGGACATGGTGTGGGTGCGTGTGTAACTTTGTGAGGTCTACCGACCCAGCAGCGGCACCAGCAGAGCCCAGGAGACACGGTGAGCTGAAGAGGGAGAGCGTCAAGAGCAGTTCGCAGGCGACGACAGCAAAGAGGCCGCTCTCAGCTCGAGCAGCCTGGCGTGTGCTGGCTGGAACGTAGACACCTCAGCAGAACCGGACTCGCGAGAGGAGCTGAGTGCGAAGTGAAGTTGCAGGAGTGCGAGAGAGCGAGGAGGAGAGGAGAAGTGATTCGAAGAGCTGCCAGATGTGGAGTAAGGGAGAGGGGGCGCTAGTCGGTGTGTAGAGCTCGAGGGTGTGTCGACGCGAAAAGAGGAGAGGCGAGGGGTGTGAAGGGAAGGGGAAGAGCACAACGAGCGAAGAAGTAATGACAGACAAGGACCTGCGCGACTCATGAGAGCGCAGAGGGGTGGGATAAGAGGTAAGGAAGAAGATGGTGATACAACGAACGGAACCGTTTCAACGAGTTCAGACAAGGACAGCCTAGAAGGGCATCTCGTTCTCCGACCCGAGGGTCGACGACTGTCCGAGTCCCGAGGGCTTCTTCTGCGCCGCGCCGTTGCCGGACTGTTGTTGCTGCTGCTGCTGGGCTTGGAAGGACGACGAGAGCGAGAGAGGCTTGCCCCTGTGCGCGCGTAGAGGACTTGTCAGTTCCGCTCGCTCGCATTATCGACCTCGACGCGCGGCGACTCGGCAATGCGCCTTGTGATCGCACGTCGGAAAAGCAAGGAGAGAGCGAAGCGGGGGAACGCACTTGGTAAAGTGCCGCTGCTTGCTCTGCGCGAGCTTCTTGGTGCAGGGCGAGACCATGGCGTCCGTGGGGGAGTGGAAGGCGCCGCTGTTGGGTGCGCCGAGTGCCATTCAAGGTAGAGGGTGGGGGGAAATTGCGGAGATCCACATAGCAGAGGCGGCGAAGTTCGGAGGGACGACGAGGAAGGTGACGAGGAGGCGAAGGTCGGTGGGCGTGACGAAGGTGGTGGGGACACAGAACAAGCACAGACCGATCGAATTGCGGCGTCGGAGAGGGACGGGCGTGCAAGGAGCGCAGGAAACGACGTTGGTCAGCCGCAATTCACCAAGTTGAACGATCCGTCCTCGCCGACCTGCGCGCGCCCACACCACCACGAGACGAAGCGCGCACTCACCCAGCCTGTGCCATCTTCTTCATGAGGAAGCTCTTTGCGCCGAGCGGCTGCTGCTGGTTTTGGTTGGGTTGCTGCTGGTGCATGGGCTGGATGGACTCGGTGGACGCGGTCGAGTGCGACGAGTGCGCGGGCGAGGCGGTGGTGATCTCGAAGGTGGGTGCAGACATGGCTGTGTGTGTTTTGTGAGCGTCTAGAAGCGTGAAGAGCAGAAGGGAGAGGAAAGTTGAATGAAGGTTCGCCCAGCGAAAGGCAAAGACGAAGAGTCCCCCTGTCAGCAGCCGCCTTCTCTCGCTTGCGGCCATCCTGCACGACTGATTGGACTTCGCAAGGCATTCATCAAGCTCTGCAAGCCCTTGTCGCTGCGCCAGTCCAGCTTCAAGCGAGGGAGACCGCCTCGTCGTCGAGCAAGCAACAGCTCTTGCACTCGTCCACTCCGCTCACACCGCCAGGACCTGCTGTGACTGGGCTCGATAGACTGCTACAGACCGATTAGAGTCCCAACAGAGGCCGCACCGCTTCCCGTCGCCGCCACCTCGAACTCCACACGCTCTCATCCTCATCAACCCACGCCTCTCTCGCCATGCCCCGCCCCCGCCTGAACGCCCTCCGTTCCCGGTCCGACTCTACCCACCGCCCTTATCCCTTACCCAGCCCCGCTCCCTCAACAACCGACTCCGACCCCATTCCTTCCACCTCAACCGCCCCTCCCTTCGATCCCGACCGCAAACTCGCGTGCTTGCCCAACTTGCCGCCCGAGTTGAAGGCGCTGATCGTGAGGAAGGTTGCGGAGGTGGATATGGAGGCGAGGGAAGATGATTGGGAGGATGACAGTGAGAGCGAGGAGGAGGACGGGAGTACGATCAGTGATGAGGAGCCGAGCGAGGACGAGGCGAGTGGCAGGTGGAGGGAGAAGGCGCTCAAGCAGGTGCGGAGGGACAAAGCAGCGTGGAAGAACTTGCAGGAGCAGGTCGATGCCGACTTGGACGAGACCGGAAACCCGACGCTAGCCTCGCTCGAAAAGATGCGCGACCATCTCATGGAGGTCGGCGCGGCGCAGGGATACGAGTCGGGTATCGTCGCGCTCTCGCTCGTCAGCCGCGAGTTCAACGAGCTCGCGAACCCGTTCATGTGGGAGGTGCGTGCGATCATCCTCCGTCTTACTCGCAGAGAATTGACGAGCCTTGCTCCGAGCAGGCCATCGACTTTGAAGACCGGTCGAACGAGTCCATCATCGACTGCATCAACCTGATCCTACCCAAGCACGCGCGGCACGTCAAGGTCCTCGAGTTTGGCCAGGCCGACGACCGGATGCTGCGGTTCGACCCGGAAGGTCCAGGGTTCGGCTCTCACGACCCATTCCGCCCCATCTCGCGAATTCACCGCCGCGTTGTTGAGGAAGCCGAGCGGATTGGCGGCGTCGGCACGACGGACGTGGAGGGCCGCCCGCTCTTGCCGGGCATTCGCGAGTTGCGCACGAGGAGTCTCTTACTCGCCGAAGTCGTGCGGCTCTGCCCGAACGTCATCGAGCTCAACTGCGAGACGTGCCCCAGGTCGTACCCGGAGTGGGCGTCCGGTCTGGACGGACTTGCCGCGCAGGAGGACCTCGAGAAGCTCCTCTACATCACGGACCACGCCCTCGAAGCGGTCAAGAAGCACCTCGCGCACCAGCTCGTTGACCTGACGCTCGTCGTCAACGGCGAAGACGAAGGCTACACGACAGAAGGCGACCTCGCCTCGATCCTCGCTGTGTGCCCGAACCTCGTCCGACTCCACGTCGACTGTTTCGCCCCGACCGGCACGTACGACATGCGACGTGACCTCTTCCGCGCGTTCGAGCGGCTCGACAAACTCGAGATACTCACGCTTCAAGAGGGGACCTTTGTCAATGACGAGTTTGCCGCGCTTGACTGGCGGTGCCCGTTGCGGGTTCTCGCCCTCGCTTCAGCCGAAGACCTCTCGTTCCCATCCTTCTGGGACCTCATTCACAAGTTCTCCTCGACTCTCGAATGCCTCGACATCGACGAAGTTCCGCACACGAACGTCGAGCAGGACAACAAAAAGTATGTCGGTCGTCACGTCTCCCTCCCTCGTCTCGACACGCTCGTCATCTCGACGCAACACGAGTCGGCCTTCCTCCTCGAATCGTTCGTCCAGTGCCCGATCCGCACCTTCGGACTCGGATTCTGCCCCGCCGTCTCCTACGCCGACATCGAGCGCTTCGTCGCCCTCCACGGGCAGACGCTCAAGCGCGTCGAAGTCAAGCACGATGCGGCGCTCACTGAGGCGCAGGTGGAGAGCTTGGAGGTGTACTGCCATGCGAAGGGGATCGAATGCGAGTTGCTCGAGGACGAGGGGACGGACTCCGAGGAGGAGGACGACCCGAGCGAGTGGGGGGACGAGGATGCGCTGGATCATGATGCATGGACGGAGGAGGACGAGGACGGCGGGAGCGACTGGGGTTCGGACGTTGGGCTTTGAGCGGTTCGATTTACTCGACGGGCGGGACGGAGCTGTCGTCGCCACTTTCTCTCGCAACGTCGCGACGTCGCAACCAAGACTCGACTGGAGCCACCCATGCTTGAAGTACCGCCTGCTCTCGTCAGTCGTCGCGCTCGTCAGGCCTCGCTTGTTATTTAGATTCCCTTCGACACCGCCTCTTCGACTCCTCTTTATCGCCTCCGACGGACTTGCCGTCCTTCTTCCTACCCCCCTCTCGGGCCCGAGTTCGAGAACACGACGGTCCGCGGATTTCTTGGAGCGCTCGCACCTCGAGTTCGACTGTCTCTTCCTTCTCGCTCTCTTCCTTCCTTTGCTCCCCGGTATTACACTCGTGCTACCCGTTTCCGTGGAATGTCCCACTATCCGCACTGGGCGAACAATTTCGACGACATTGCACGCATCAGCCGGGCGCGCCAGCAGGAGCTCGAAGGTGAGTTCGCCCGCATCTCCTTTTGCTCGAGACCTCACGACTCACTCGCGACGTGGGCAGATGCGCCGGTGCACGAAGCGGCTCCCGTTCCGTTGCAGATGGCACTCACGGCTGGCGAGGCCTCTCCACCGGTCGCTATGACTCCCGACCAGTTGTTGCATCGGCGCTTGCCGAACCTCGTCTGGCAGTACCTGAGGTGCTGGCAGACGGTCGTGTGCAGGCTCGGGGAACCGGAGAAGCCTAAGGGACTGGTTACGATGACCCGTATGGCGCCAGGTGACGGCATGACCGGTGCGCGGGACAGGCTGAAGGACGCAAACCTGGCTGTGCTGACACTTGCCCTTGCGCAGAACGGTCCGCGCACCTCTTCACCGTATCGCCCATGTTGACGAACAAGATCTACCTTGTCGACAACGGTCCGCGCCATCGCTTCAACCTCCCCAACGCCGGCCCGCTCATCTGGATCGCCAAGGATCCTGCCAACGTCGGGACGCCGAGTCACGGAACCGCGGACGTCTCCGCCCCTTACCCCAGGCTCGACTTTCTTTTTGGGCACGACGCGCAGACGGGCCAACGGCGGGGAGTCCTTCACAAGCAGTATGCGGAGTGGGCGAACGGACGGTATGGCGCAGCGCCCGAGTATACGCAACGCTGGACAATCGATTCGGACAGTCCGCACCGTGAGCGGGTTCCCTACCTCTCTCTCTGTGCGTATGTCGCGGACTGATATTCTTTCTTCTCCTCCTTGTACAGTGACCGAGGCGCAACGAAACCCTCTCAAAGGACCATTCCAGCGCGTCGCTTGGCGTATGATGGGTCCGTTCGATGCGCACGGTGTCGAGCAGGACCCCTCAGTGCTCGTCGAGCACGGCGAAATCTGGCACCCGACCAGTACTTTCCACCTCCTCAAGGTCTGGCACGCCTCAGCACCACTCCCCGTCCACTTTGGCATCAAGGTCCTGGGACTTCATGAGCCCGGATCGAGGGCCGCAGGCGAGTCGGCCGCGGTGTTGAGGTAGACGCGTGAGGGAGGGGCGGGAGGCGGAGACGTACTTGCGCACTTTGGTCGACCTTCTCAAGTCTGTTTTCTCCCTTCGTCTTGCGTGCTCGAGAGTGCTTCGCAATCGCAAAGCAAGCAGCAAGATCGCTCTATGTGGCGAGGCTACAGAGCGTACGGCTGTCAACCGCTGTGTCGCCGTATGTCGTCCTCCGCCCCCTCATCTCCCTTCATCGCGTCGCCTTCTCCGCTGCGGGCTTTCCTTGACAAGCGAGGCTGTGCTGTCGGAGCTTGTCTTCCTCGCTGTCCGCGGACTTGCCGCCCTCCCGCTTGGGGTCGTTCTCGGTTCTCACTCCTCTCTCTCTTTCCTTCTCACACAAGCGCCGTGAACTGAGCGTCTGTGCTACGCGACCGATGGATGACGAAGACATCTTTGCTGCGTTCACGCACCTGAGCCCCGGCCGCGAGGCTTACGAAGTACACGAAGGTGCGTCTCTTCCATTCTCCAGTGCTTCCGCAAAGCTGTTGCCCAAGGCTTGGCTGACAACGCGTCCGGTGCCCCTTGCCACAGAGGAGGACACGATGCCGACGCTCAACTCGCCCGTCCACCCCGTCCCCGTCGCGCAGACGCCCGGCAACTTTGTCCGACAGAACTTTCCCGACGTCGTGCACAGGTACATGCGCTTCTGGCACACGGTCCTGTGCGGAAAGCACGAGATCGACTTCATGCATTGGTTCGAGCCCGAGGTAAAGCTTCTCGCTCGTGGTTCCGGCAGGACAGGTGCGCTCTTCGCTTCGCAATAATTGTATCCGGCTCTCTCGCTGATGTTCTTCACGTTCTATACGGAAGCTCGCGACCCGCTCTTCTGCACCGCTTCGCCTATGACGACTCCGCTGTTCCTCATCGACAACTACTACGTCCAGGGCGCCGGACCGCAGATTTGGGTCAACGATCCGGCGGTCTCACCGGTCCACCAGTCGACAGAAGTCTCGGGGCCGTTCCCCGAGCTACAGTGGAGCAGCACGCACCAACAGATCTACGTAAGGGCATACGAGGACTGGCGAAGCGGAAGGTATGGCGGCGGGCAACCCTGGACGGTCGACTCGGCAAGTGATCGCTGTGAGTCTCTCGCGCATCATTGACACAGCCTAAGTCTGAGAATGGCACGCCCTTCACAGTAAGCGACAGCAACTCGTTCACGCTCAAGGGCCACTTCCATCGGGTCATTTGGCGGATGCTGGGACCGTTCGAAGAGACTCGGCACGGCAGGGTTCGGCACGACCCGTCTGCACTTGTCGAGCACGGCGACAAATGGCGCCCAACCTACACGATCCACATCCTCACGCTCTATCACGGCTCCAATCTGAACACGCCCTTCCACTTCGCCATCAAGTTTCTCTCGCCACACGAACCGACCAGTCGCAGCACAGTTGTAGAGCCGCATATGCTCTTCAGGCAGCAGTAGACTTTGGCGCAGCGCAGTATGGCGTTACACGACTTCCCTTCCTCCTGCATTCCCAAGTCACCTTTTCCCTTCCTCGCTGTGACTGTTCGCGCTGCGCAATTCACCCGTCTGAATGAGAGGGAGGACGAGAGAGAGAGAAAGAGAGAGAGAGAGCAGACGAGGCGCAAGACGGTTGCCAACGATGCGAGATGCGATAGTTACTAGTCCGAGCCTTCCCAAGCTCCGTGTCGCCTACTCACCGCACACTCAGCCCCTCTCCGTCGTCATCCTCGTCAAATCCGCCTTTCCGCCGCCGCTCATCGTCGTCGGACCGGTCTTCCTCGTCGTCCTCCACGCTGTCTAGCTCGAAGACGCTCCGGGGACTCTCGGCCAACCAGATTCCCTCGCTCCCTCTCCTACCGCCTGATGTGCCTCGTCCGCCAAGTCCAACGTAACCACTCCGCGCTCGCCGTCGCTTCAACCACCTCCAGACGACGAAGCCGGTACCAGCGCCGCCAGCACTGAGGACGGTCGCCCAAAACGTCCCTCGACTCTCGCTCTCCCGCTGTTCCCGCTGCCGCTGCTCCCACGCCCGCTCCATCACTTCGCGTCCGAGTGCCGCGTAGTGTCCGCCAGCGACGGGTCGACTGAGGAAACCGACGCTCCAGCCTTCCTGCGGCGTGATTGAATCGCCAAAGACTGCGTTCTTCGATTGGCGGAAGTAGCGGGCGAGGGCGGAGTGGAGAAGCGAGCGCGACTGTGAGGAGCGAGGGAAGAGTGCGGCGGTCCAGGCGAGCCAGTCGGTCTTTGTTCGAGTCTTGAAGCGGGAGTCGAGTGGTGGACCGAAGGGTTCTGCGGGCGGATTCTTCGGGTCAGCCTGGGCTGCCGAGGTGAGGTGGATGAGCGCACCGGCGACGGTCGGGTAGAAGCGGTCCTGCATCTCGTAGATCTCCTCAGAGAAGACGTAGTCGTTCGTGAAGAGGAGGCGATCGAAGTATAGGTTGTACTGCGATGCGAGTGCGTCAGCGTGTCGTATTCGGGCCTCCGCCAACACTTCGGTCGCGAGATAAGCGAGATACGCAGCTCGAGACGAACAGAGCGATGCGACTCACGTGCATCACCCAGCTGCTCTGATTGTTGTACTGGCCGAGCAGGTGCGACTTGTCGGCCGAGACGGCAAGTTCGAGGAACTGCTCGCGGAATCGCTCCGACACGCTCTGCGCAACGCGAAGAAGGGGTCAATCGTACGCTCCGGGATTGCGTGAAGGCGATACGCTCGCTGGTGGCGTTGATTGCATAGCAGTGACGAGAGCAGGAGGATCCGACTCACCTTGAAGTGATCGCGGTCTGCGTACTCGCCCAAGTTGTGCGCAATCTCGCTCATCGACCTCAAGCCGACGATGCCCTTGATGACCTGCCAACATAACTTTGAGTCAATCCCGTGCATGAGAGGAATACGAAGCGCGAGAACAAGAGCGTACGAGCGACGTCTGGTTCGGAGCGGCGCCGAAAACTGCGAGGGGGAGGATTAGCAGGGTGTAAGCAGAAGCGAGGCGAGCTGGGCCTTACAATCGTCCGTCGTGCCTGCAGGACCGCAAATCGAAACATCAGCAAGCACTCCTATCGGCGGAAGCGGGAATGCGGAACGCACGCTGGTTGCCTGGGAACAAGCTGTTCTCCTCGAGGTACTGCGCCCACCGCTTCAGGAGCGGATAGTACTCCCTCGCCTGCGCCCATGCCATCCTCGCTCCCTCTCTGCGATGATCCCGCCCAACTCCGACCTCCGCTTCCCAGCCAACGGGCGGTCGAGCATCCGAACCGACGCCGTCCCACCAGTGCAGCAGGCGCTGGTGCACTGCGAGTGGCGCGATGGACGGTCGCGAGACCCGCATACCTGCGAGAGCGAGGGCAAGCATGTTGCCTGCTTCTTCGATCGGAAGGCCGGGGTAGAGGAAGTCGTTGTGACCAGTCGCGTTTGGGTAGTGGTCGCCGAGGTCGTGCGCTGGCGGGGTGGGCATGTACAGACCGGTCGACATGTACCGGTAGATCGGCTCGAGCAGGAGAGGGAGGAGCGTCGGCGAGGAGTAGAGGAGGAAGGGAAGGAAGGGCGTGATCACGTCGACTGTCTGGACGTTGCCGTTCGAGCTGATCTCCTTCAGCATGACTGCGTGATGGGATGTCGTTAGTCAAGCGTGACACGAGCGAGTGCAGCGTCAACGCACCCATCGCAGGAATCGGCTCGCCCGTGATCGGACTCCACGCAACCAAGCCCGCCTCCGTGCTCCCCGACTCGTCCCAGACCGGCTCAAGTGCCATGAAGACCTGCCGCGTACTGATAGCGACAACATGCCCGTACTCCTGGTCCTCGACCGCTCGTGCATCGGCGTAGAGCTTCGAATTGTACGCGTCGCTCATATCTTTCGCGGTTGAGTAGTCGTCGAGGAACCAGCTGAGGAGGTGTTCGACTGTGTGGAAGGTCGATGCCCAGAGCGGGCGGAGGTGGAGAAGGCGAGGAGAGTCGGCGGTGCCGGCCATGTAGCGGACGAGAGGGTCGCGGACATGGCCAATGGCGAGAAGGGCGGAGCGATGTGAGGTGGGCGTCGAGGGAGAGACACGGCCGAACGTGTGAGAAAAGGCGAAGACGGGTTCGTCAATGATGAGGGAGGAGTTGCTCGACGATCGAGACCGAATAGGTCGGGGCGAAGTCGAATTGCTGGTGGCGGGAAAACCGCCGGTCTGCGCGAATGTCCGCCGAGTCTGCTTCGCGTCGCCGCCAGCAGAGAAGGTCGTCCGTATGGGCGACGCAGCGGGCGTCTTCGCCGCGTACCAAACGTCGCCCTGCAAGATCCGATCCGTCGAGACCAACTCGCCTGAAAACGGATCCTTCTTATACGCCTCCTCAAATATCCGCTGATTCCGTAGACGTGAGCGCAGACCCGTCCAGCCCTCCTGCTTTCGCTCGACTGCCTCCCACTCGATCTGCTCGTCCTCCTCGTCTGCCAGCCACAGACCGTTGATCTCGCTGTACGCCTCGACTTCATGCGGCTGGCCATCGAGCGACTCGACGGTGAGGTGGAGGTACGAGAACGGGACGGATTGGCGGAAGATGTCGGCGGGAGTGACGGGAGAGAGGAAAGAAGCGTGCAGGGCGACGGTAGGAGGGTCATTCGTCAGGGTGAAAGCGGTCTCGGCGGCCGTATGTCGTACAGATGCGTTAACAGCAGCAGGCCCTGCCAGTTCAAGGTAAGCGAATTTGTCTCAACGAGGGAGGACAGGACGAACAGTCTGTCAAGTTGCCCATCCAGTTCCACGTCTCGCCATCCACCCGCAGCAAACCCTTCCAGCCGAGCGGCATCGTCGTCCAGAACTGCGGGTGGCAAGGTGAGCAAGGAATGGCGCAAGCGAAGGAGACGAGACGAACATGCGGGTCCATCGTTGCGAGGTTCTTGTCCTGCCGACCAGTCAAGTACGCTCCGACGTAGGGCGACCGTACTGCTAGTGGAACGACCTGTGAGCATCGTTGAAAGCTCGTCAGCATGCGCAACGACCAGAGGACTCGCCAGAGGACGCACGATCGGTGTGTAGTCCGTCTCGTCCGGCAGAGCGGGCGCGGTGGCCGCCGCGAGCACGAGGGCGGTCAGCGCTCGCAGCAGCATCCTCACAGAAGCAGCAGCAAGAGCGGGCGAGCTTCGAGCGGAGGGGAAAGAGGCCAAGCGAGATGAGAACCGGAACTTGCTGCGCGTCGCGACGCCAGCGGAAGGCGGAGACGAGCAAGATGAACGGAGTTGGCGAGTACGACGCCTAGCGACAAGAGCAGCTCCTCGAGACGACAGCCAGCAAGAGCAATGCGTTGAGCGAGCGGTCGCAGGGTGAGCGAGAGCGCTGGCGAGGAGGAGAGCCATCGCAAGAGCCTTTTCGCAGGAAAGCAACTCGCCATGGACTCGAGGTGTGCTAGATACTGCTTTGTTTCAGTACAAGGTGGTAGGGGAGTCGCTACAACACCACCGAGGAGGGGTAAACCATGTCGGCGCGAAGGAGCGGGTGTCGAGGTGGAGCGTTTACTCCTCGTCGTCGCCAGTCTTGGCACCGCCGCGCTTGCCCATCTCCGAGGCGCGCTCGCGGTCACCGCCGAAGCCGTGCCCCGAGTTCATGCGCTTGTCGGGCTCGCCGCTGTGGGAGAAGAGGGTCGAGGTCAGCCAAGGCTCGGAGGCGACGACGGTGAAGGGAGTGAACGCACTTCTTCTTGAGGCCGCCGTGCTCCGAGGGCTTGTAGACCTCGTCGGGCTGGGTCGAGCCGCCCTTCTTGCCCATCTCCGACGCGAACTCGCGGTCGCCGCCGAAACCGTGCTCAGAAGACTTGCGGGCGTCGCCGTCAGACTAATGGGCGAGTTAGCCGATGAAGGTGAGGAGGAAGGAGGCGAGGCGAGGGATGAGAGGAGAGGCGGAGGGGAGGAGGAGGAGAGGAGGAGAAGGCGGAGTCGAGGGCGGAAGAAGACCGAGGCAGTCAGCTTCTGATGGATGCGAGCAGAGAAGGGGAATGAGCGCACCATATTGATTGATTAGTTGGGTGGTGGGGTGGGTGTGGTCGAGTGAAGTGCGAGTGTGGTGAAGGAGAGAGAGAGAAGCGAAACGAGCGGGGCGGGCTTCTTGTACCCACGGACTGACATCACCAGCTTTCGAAGAGCAGGTCACAAGGTAACGCTTTCAATCAGCGATAGCGTCAAGAGGCAGCGACTCGCGAGCATCGAGAGAAGGGTTTCCCGTCCGGCAAACGCCGTCCCCATCGAACCGCTTCGCGATTCCTTGCCTCGCAGATCGTCCTGCGCAATGCAGGAAACGTCAGCCCAGGCTAGACTTCATCGAGAGAGAGGGCAGCCAGGCGTACGATCACGATTCGCGGAGGTTAGGAAGGTCATCGGAGGAGGACGCAATGGCTCGCGAGGCGAAGTTCGCAACGTCAAGTCGCATGTATTCGGCTGAGGATCGCTTGATGAAGTGCGGAAGCCAAAGCGGTAGCGGGAAGCTCGTTCAACCGCGGCGAAGAGGGAGAGAGCAGCAGACGACGAAGATGGAGCGAGCGGCCCACGACGGCAGACCAGGTTGAAGAGGCGAAAGATCGATAATTACTGGCAACAAGGAAAGGATGCAAAACGATAGCAGAAGACAAGGGCGAACGGGACGACTCGCCTGCGAGACCGCTCCTCGAAGTCGCCTCACGACCCACCGCTGCTGGACCCGTTGTCCGAGCCGTTTTGGCTGAACGTCGCCCGCGTTGGCGTCTGCTGGCTGGCGGCGAGAGCGTCGGGGTCGCGGATGAAACCGTGCTGGAGGAGCTCTTTCGCGGAAGGGCGATCGGTGTGCTCGATTTCGAAGGTTTGCTCGAGGAAGTCGTCGGCTTCGGATGAGATGTCGTCGGGTACGGTTGGTCGGACGGATGAGCCGATCTGCGGGACGTCTACGGTCAGCGAAAGATGCGGCGCGAGTGGGTGAAGGCGCGGCGACGCACTCGGAAGATGGCCTGCATTTGCGTCAGGTTCGCCCATGGGTGCGCGCCCGTAAGCATCTCGACGACGAGGCAGCCGAGCGACCAGATGTCGGCCTTGCTCGTATACGCCGTCTGCTTGACGACCTCGGGAGCCATCCAATAGACGGAACCCTGCAGCGACGGGCGGTGAACCTTGGCGCCGGTGAGAAGGGCTGCGCGCGCGCGGTGTCAGCCACTGCGAGTTGTCAGGAGCACGAGCGCAACGCACTGTCTTCGACCTTCTTCGAAATGCCAAAGTCGGAGATCTTGATGTTGCCCTTGTTGTCGACGAGAATGTTCGCGCCCTTGATGTCGCGGTGGATGATCTCGCGCTCGTGGAGGTAGTCGAGACCCGTGAGGATCTGTCGCACGAACTTGCTGACCAGCGCTTCTTCGAAGGCGCCGTAGTTCTGGAGGAGCGCGGCGACGGATCCGCCGGGGACGTATTCGAGGAAAATGTTGAGATGCTGGCCGTCCATCGACGAATCGAGGTACTGCACGATGTCTGCGGAGGGTCCCGTTAGCGGGACGCCGAACGGAAAGCTGTGGAAGCGGACTCGCTCTCGTGCTGCAAGTCCTTGAGCAGCTCGATCTCCCGCTCGAGCGCCTCGAGCATGCCCTTCTTCCGCTCCTCGTTGTGCGTCTTGCCCGTCGGGAGCTCGACTTGCTTGACGGCCATGAGCGAGCCCGTCATCGGGTTCATGCCGAGGTAGACGGAGCCGAACGAGCCGGCGCCGATGAGCGCGCCCTTGATCCACTTCATGCCCTTGGCTGCGGGTCGAGAAGCCGTCAGCATTGCGTGAGGAGCGTAATGAGAGCCGCGAAACGCACACTCGGGCTTGGCGGTTCCGGGCTCGTCCTCCTCCTCGCTCGTCTCGTCGTCCTCCACCTCGTCGCTCAAGTCACCCTCGTCACTCAGGCCCGCGTCAAAGTCGCTCGCCTCGTCATCGCTGGCGTCGCTGTCACTGTCGCCGGCCTGACCCGCCTTGCGCCAGCTGACGCCGCTCGCCCGCCTCGTCTCGAGTTCGGCAGTGACCTCGTCGACGGTGATGATGCTCGCCGCGTCGCTGTCCTTGCTGCGGCGCTCCCACAAGCTCTGCGCACCGACGCTGAGGCGAGAGGAAGCCGACATGCGGGACATGCGGCGTGAGAGGCGGCGGCTGCCGATAGTCGGCGCGGCGAGGGACGATGCGAGCGAGCGAGTGTCGGCTTGATCGGTCGCCGAGGTGGACGTCGAAGTCGACGACGCGGACGAGTTGAGCGCGAGCATCGAGGTCGACCCGGGCGACTGGCTGAGCCCGGCGTCCTCGGCCGCCTCGTCTGGCGGGTCGAGCATGCTGCCGCTCGAGCTGCGTGGCGACCGCCCGCCCGTCCTGACTGACGCGCTCGAGCTCGCAGCGAGTCCAGCGGGCAACGACGAGCTCGTGATGTGCACCTCGCTGGCCGGCGACCCATTCGAGCCGTTCGACGACCCGCTGAACCGGCTCGTGGCGGTCGTAGGCGTCGCGACCTCCTCAGCCAGCTCCTTGATCGGCGCGTCCTTTTCCCGCTCCCAGGATGTCTCGCCTGGGACCGCAGGCGGCGGCGACGACCCGTGCGGCTGCAACCGACTGCGCGTCCTGCTGACCCTGCTCGCCAGACTCGCGTTCGAGTAGCGCCTGCCGATCCCGCCCGAGCCGGGAACGAGCACCCCTCCCGCTGCAGCCGACATGCTCTTCCTGATACTTGCCCTGACCTGCTTGCTGAGCAACCTCCGCTCGCTCTTGTCCCCTTGACCGCCCCGCAGGCCGAGCGGGAAGTACTCGGTCAAGTGCGTCGTGATGAGTTCCGACGGCGGGCGCTGGCCGAAGAAGTTGCGCAGCTTGCGCGTCGAGTCGGGCAGTAACGAGCTGCGTCCTTCGTTCGGGTTGATGGTACTCGTTGGTCGGACGGCGGGAGGCGGAACTTCGCGCGCTGGGCGGGCGACCTGCGCAGCAACCGATACGGCGTCGGAGGGAACGAACGTCGGAGGCGGGATCCTCCTCGAACTCGTCCGCTGCGGCGGCGAGTAAGGCGACTTCTCCTGTCCTCCTCTCCTGAGAGGATACGCATCGCGCTCCTTCTCCGGCGACGAAGCCGGGTCAAGCCCGCGCTCTCCAGCGCCGTAGTAATCCCTGGCCCAGTCCGGCGCCTCAAGTCCACTCATGACGCTGACCGTACTGGCGCGGTTGAGCTTCGTCTTGCCCCTCGCATCCGCCTTGCCCGCGCCCGTCCCGTCAGCGATGACAAGCACCTCAGCCTCGTCGTCGTCCTCCTCATACGCATCGTACTCGTCCCCACTCGCAGGCTCGATTCCCATCCTCGGAATCTCGATCCCGAGATAGTTGGGGCTCGTCGGACTCGCACCGCGCGAAGAGGGGAAGGCGGCGGTCCCGCCTGGACGGGACGAGTCGGCCGTCACGGCGTGCGACTCTCCAAAGACCCACTGGAGTTTTCGACCGCGTTTGTTGGCAAGTGCAGCGGACTGGGAGGGGGAGAAAGTCGAGAAGGAAGGCTGGGAGGGTGAGGAGGGCGTGGAGGGGAATGTGCCGGTTGGCGGCGAAGTCGAGAGGGTGATCGAGGTCGAGGAGGCGGGCGGGAGCGTGTGGTGGCGCCGGACGATCAGGCCGCGCGTCCGCTCGGGCGCCGAGGCGTTCTGGCAGATCTGGTACAGCTCGTGTTCCGTCAACAGGCGGGCTGTGCGGCCGGTCCCAGCGAAGTATATCAGCTTCTCCTCTTCTCCTCCGGCGAAAACGAAAGCCGAGCTCGAGACAAACGCGAACGCACCCGCCCCGCTGACCTCCGTAGTCCACACCCCCCACCCCTCTACATCCTCGCCCTCCCTCGCCCCAAACTTCCTCATGACCCTCCCAAGCACCTCCCTCCCATCTTTCGCATCCGCGACAGCAAGGACGCGGGTGGTGACTCCATCGGCGGAAGTGAACTTGACTGCTTTTCGCATCATTTCGAGGTTGGAAAGAGGGGCGGAGGGGTGGGTAGTCGTAGGTAGTGCGGGAGTCGTAGCGGATCGAGAAGGAAGTGGGATAGCCGAAGGAAGAAGGGTAGGACCGGTTCCTGAACCTGAACCTGAAGCGGCGTAAGGGTGTCCAGCATACGACGACGCTGCCGGCACGTCTTGAACCGGCTGCTGGACCGGATGAACCTGCGGTCTTCCCCCGACTCCGCCAACACCCGCAGACGAACTCGCCTTGCGATGGCCGTACGTCGCGGGCCCCCGCGAGCCCAACGAAAGTGAGCTTGTGCTCGCTGAGCTGGTGAGGGTCGTCGGGCTCGGCGGGATCGTCCCTCGCGTCGTTGCCGATCCGGACGAGCTGGACCCCACTCCACGCGCTTGGTTGAGCGACGTAGGCGGCAGGAAAGTCGCGCTTCTCGGACTGGTCGCTATCGTCCTCGGCGCCGTGGAGGTAGTAGTGGCAGACGACGACCCAGTCGAAGGCGGACTGCGCTGTACCGCGAGTCTCGTTCCAGTCGTGACCGTGTTGGACTGCGCGAGGTGCAAGGGAGGGGGGATGCGGTTCCCGACGCTGATTGAGCGGGCGGAGTACGAGAGCGATGCGGAGCCAGGTCTTCGTGCGGGCGAGGTCGCAGAGGAGAATGAAGAGGGCGGAGCGGGGGAAGTGGCTGTTGAAGGGGCGGAGTGTGCGTGACCAGCTGTCGCTGTCGAGGGCGGCGAAGGTTGTACGAGCATCGGGGACGAGAGGGTCGAGGAAGGGACGAGCGGACTGGTTGGTCTCGTCGCACTCGAGCGCGCAAGCACACTCGGTCTCCTGCCCACCCCTCCCGCACGAGTCGCAGCCGCAACCCTCCCCCTCAGCCCTTTGACCGCCACACAAATCTTCACTCTATCGCCCACACTCCTCACCCCCATCTCCTTCAGCGCTTGCTGGTCGACCTCGAGTAGCACATTCCCTCGAATATCGTTCGAAGCGAAGAGCGGGGCGTAGGTGTGACTGATTGATGGAGGGAGGGTCGTGGAAAGCCAGAGAGAGACGTGCGAGTCGTCCCACGAGGCTAGGGACGCATAGTCTAGTCCTGCTGAGCCTGAGGAGGAGGGAGTCGACACCGCCCCCGTGAGAGTCGGATCAGGCGAAGCCGTCCCTCCCGCGCCTGTCCGTCCCAGCGCAGACTCGACACCCCTCCCCGCTGCGCCAGCCGAGCCCGCACCCAGCGCCTGGTGAGGGAACGAAGGCGACGAAGGCGAGTTGGCGGGCGAGGCGGCGTGGTGGTGTGGGTGGTGCGAGAGGAGGGAGGGGCCGAGGGTGGCCATGACTGGACCAGCCAGTGGCGGAATCAAGTCCAGAAGAGCGAGCGAGTGTGTGGTGTGTGAAGCTGTGAAGGGGACAAAGGATCGCTGCTCGAGGGAAGGCGACGGGAAGTGACGGTGAAACCGCGACCTCTCGTTCTCTCCAAGAAGCGACGGCAATACAACGAGCGTTACACCATGTCCTACCCACGCAGATCCACCACCGCTCCGACAACAGCCAACCAACACTCTAACCACCTCCTCCCCTCCTCCTCCTCACTCTCCTCCCCCTCGTCCCGCGCGCTGAGGACCTCAGTGACGAAGTTCTGAGTCTCACAGGGGTGGAGGAACCATGCGGGGCGGGTGGTGAGGGGGTGGTCGGATTGCGAGAGGAAGGGGAGGAGGGTCGATGCGGAGTCTAGTGAGGCGGACGAGGGGGAGGGGAAGGAGTGGAAGATTGTTGAAGTGCGTAAGTCTGAGAGCGTGAGGGGTGCGCCGGCTATCCAACGAAAGAAGCCGTCAGCACATGAGAGAGAGAAAGGAGGGAGGGGAGAAGGGAACGAACAGGCTTTGTGCGCTTCGAACCAGAGGACCGGGACTGCGTAGCTCGGCGAGTAGCAGATCGAGAAGGAGACGGTGCAGGGTTCGGGCGAGTCATCCGTCGAGGGAGCGGTGAGGCACGAGGGGTCGTCTTCGTCCGCGAGCAGAGAGGAGGAGGAGGAGAGGGAGTCGTCCTCCGACGCTGGGAGTGCCGTAGACCGTGTGAAGCGCGTCAGGGGCTTGCGTCTGAGGTATCCCGTCCCTGCAGTCCACTGTGTGCGCCATCAAACCATCAGCTCCCCCTCGTCCTCCCTCGTGCGAACCGAGGGCTCAAAACGCGACGCACCTTGGTCGCGCCCTCTGTGACCCACTCCCACCCGTCTCCCAGCACGTACTGCGCCCTGTCTACGTCGCTCGCGTGTCCATCCGGGTCGTGTGAGAGCGAGAGTGCGAGTGTGTGGGTGCGGGTGCGGTGGACTTGGACGAGTGAGCGGGCTGCGGTGTCGAATGCGGTGCGGGTCAGGCGGGTGATTGGCGAGTGAGTGTGTGCCAGTGTAGCAGTTGAACTGTAGCTTGTAATGGAGAATAGTACAACGGTTGCTTACTCAGCTTGTCCCCGTCGTCGGCGCCCGGCTGCCAACTCGCCCCGGCTCACTCTCGTCCCGCTCGCTCGCTCTCCCTCTCTCTCTTCCTTACACTTTAGCAGTACACTCGACTACAATGGACAACTCGCACCCCGTCGTACCCTACATCGGACAGGCGTGCGCTCCACCCCTTCCCTCTCGCTCACCCGTCTCCCAACGACGGACTCGCTGATCCCCACATCCTCGCTCGCCTCACAGCGCATGGGCGTTCGTCCAGCCTCACTTCTCGCAGCACGGCAAGGACACTCTCGCGAACCTCATCGCCTTTGTCGAGGTGCGTTCTCCTCCTCTCCCCGTCGACGCGCCACGACGGGCTCTTTTCCCCACCCGGGACTCGGCTCGCTCGCCTACCCGCTCGCGTTCGCTTCCCACGACTCCCAAGCGACGGCAACGATGCTCGAAATACTCTCCGGCCGGACCCGGAGACGCCGGGCGCGAAACGCTGACCCTTCTCCTCCTCCTCCTCGTCGACATCGACTCGCAGGAAGAATGCATCCCGGCCGAAAAGCTCTTCCACGACCAAATCTCGACCGACCCATCGACACGCTGGAAGTCCTACCCGGCGGTGATCGAGCAGCTCAAGCAGAAGGCCAAGGACCGCGGGTTGTGGATGTTGTGGGCCAACAAGGCGCAGTACCAGCAGATCGGGAACGGGTTGAGTAACCTCGAGTATGCGGTCATGGCGGAGATTATGGGTCATGCGATTCGCGTTGCGCCCGAGGCGACTAACTCGAGCGCACCCGACACTGGTGCGCGAGCGTGATCCGTCTTTCGCGTCGTCGAGCCTTGACTGATCGTGGCGTCTCTTTCTCTCCTCGCTCTTCATCTTCCTCTCACGACGATGCTGTTCCTCTTGCGGACGCACAGGCAACATGGGTCCGTCCCTCTCCCTCCTCCCTTCCCTTCCCTTCCCTTCCTCACTAACTCTCCCTCCACACTCCCCCTTCCTCCCCTCGCTCGCCAATGAGCAGAGGTCCTCGCCCGCTACGGCAACGACGCCCAGAAGCGCCAGTGGCTCCAGCCCCTCGTCGAGGGAAAGATCAGGAGCAGCTTTGCCATGACCGAGTATGGGATCGCTAGTTCCGAGTGCGTCCACACCTTCTTTTCTCGTGCGGTTCCTCGAGCTGCGGGGAGCGGGAGGGATCGCTAGAAGAGACTGTACGGTGCAGGCGCTGATATTCGCCTCGCTCCGCTCGGCTCGGCTCGCAGCGCGACCAACATCCGCACCTCGATCGTGCTCGACGAGAAGACCAACGAAGTGGTCATCAACGGCCACAAGTGGTGGATCTCGGGCGCGGGAGACCCGAGGAACAAGGTTCATCTCGTGATGGGCAAGTCGTGCGTCCTCCATTTCCTTATTCCCCTCCTTTCCGAGCGGCGCTGATGGAAAGCGGAGAGTGTAGGGACCCCAAGGCGAACAAGTACAACCAGCAGAGTATCGTCATTGTCCCGAGCGACACGCCGGGCGTCAAGCTTGTCCGCCCCATGCAGGTCGTGAGTCCACTCGTCCCGCTTCTCCTGACGTGCTATTGTCGTCTCGCAAGAGCCAAAGTCGACGGTCAAGGTGTACTGACGACCTCGGCTCGCCTCATCGCGCGCAGTTCGGCTACGACGATGCCCCGGAGGGCCACTTTGAAGTCAGGTACGAGAACGTCCGCGTTCCCGCATCCAACCTGATCCTCGGTCTCGGCCGCGGGTTCGAGATCATCCAAGGCCGCCTCGGACCCGGTCGTTTGCACCACTGCATGCGTTCAATCGGCCTCGCCTCGCGCGCTTTGGAGTTGGCCCTCCTGCGCGCGACGGACGAGCGCAAGCAGACGTTTGGGAAGAGCTTGTACCAGCACGGGACGGTCGTGAGGGACATTGCCGAGTGCAGGATCAAGATTGATCAGGCTAGGTTGTTGGTGCTCAGTGCGGCGCTGGTCGTGGATAAGCACCCGGAGAGGGCAAAGGGCGCGTTGAGGGAGATTGGGATGGCAAAGGTGCGTGCGCGTGCGAGAGCACTCTTTCTTCGATGGTGGGCGCCGTCGGGGTCTCTTCGACGCGCTCTCCTCGAGGCTGAACAGATGCGTACTGACGCTACGCTTCCCCGTCGGCAGGCCTTCGTCCCGACCGTCGTCAACGAAGTCATCGACCGCGCGATGCAGCTCCACGGCGCCGAAGGAATCTGCCGTGCGTCCCCTCGCTCTCTCCTTTTTCTTCCTCTGATTCTCGCTCGCTGACACTCGCTCGCACTCGACTTGTGACTTGTAGAGGACACCCCTCTCGCGCAGATGTGGGCCGGAGTCCGCACCCTCCGCTACGCCGACGTTCGTCCCCTCCCCTCCCTCTTCCCTCCTCGCACTCGCTGACGCTCGCCGCACATAGGGACCCGACGAAGTCCACCTCGACCAACTCGGCCGCACGGAGCTCAAGAAGGTCCCTGAGATTCGCGCGAAGCATGAGAGGTTCCGCAGGCGCGAGGAGGAGGTGACGAAGGGACAGAAGACGGCTTCGAAGCTTTGAGCGCTGGGCGTGGGGAGGATCTGTTTCCTTTCGGGTTTGATTGCAGTGTGTCATCTGTTTGTGTGCATTGGACTTTGTGCACGTCCCGACTTGCGCGGGAGAAGAGAAGGAAGGCCAGAGGTGGCCCCTGTCGCTCGCAGTCGAGCAGCAATCCCCGGTGACGCCGAGATGAGCTTTGCTACCACTCGCTCGCGGGCCTTGCGTACGCTCATCTGCCCTCTCGTTTGCTTAGCCACACACATCCACCAAGCCTCACGCGCCCCTCTCCCCTCGAACGTGCCCATCCCGCTCCTCCCCACATCCATCGACCTCGCACTGCTCGCACAAACGATGAGCACCCCGCCAGACCCGACGTCAGAAGGCATGCGACGCCGCACACTCGCCTCGTCGACTCCCGCAACCGCCTCGTCTACTCTCGGATTGACCGACTCGCCTGCTCTCAACGCGACCGCATACGCCTCTTCCTCGCCCCCTTCTCCCGCCCTCGAACCCTTGACACCGCCTTTCCGACCTGCCTTTTCACGCACCAACTCGACCAACGGCGGGTCGAGTTCCTCCTCCTCGTCGACTTCCAACTCTCCCCGGTTCGACCTACCGGAAGACGACCCCCTCTTCTCCGGCCTCTCTTTGCTCGACCTCCTCAACGTCCTCGACGCACACATCGAGCTCCTCACGCGCCCCTTGCGTCGCAAGAGCGTCTCATGGAAGACTAAAGCCGATCGGTTGTTGGACGAGGCGAAACAGAGAGGGAGGGAGACGTTCAAGGTTCAGTTGCCGAGTGTGCCGGCTTTCGATTTGGGTGAGGGATTGGGATTCGCGGCGGGGAGGGAGAGGGAGAGGGAGGGCGGTGCGGCGAGTTTGCAGGAGAGGAAGGTCCTCAGCCAGAAGGACCGCGAGAGGCTCGAGAGGAAGTACAGGGAGGTCAGGGAAAGGATGAGGCAGAGTATCGCCAAGTTGGTCGTCAAGTGGGAGGAAGAGTGCGTGCAGAGTCCGGGCCTTTTTTCGCCAGAGGTTGAGCTGACGTTGCGCTTTCCGTGCTTCCGCAGGAAGACGGTCCGACTGCGCGACAAGGTGCGTGGGCGCTTCCTGCTCTCCCTCCCGCTTCGAGCGCCTACGGCCGCACAGCCACGGATTCTGACAGAAGCCCCTCCGCGCGCAGATCTCGTTCGTCTGCGGCGTCATGAACGTCCTCGTCTCTTCCCTCCTCCTCGGCTTCGAGCCCACCTGGATTCCAGCCTGGTACTCGCTCCAAATGCTCGTCTACACGCCCTACCGCGTCTACACATACAAGCGCAAACTCTACCACTATTTCCTCTTCGACCTGTGCTACTTTGTCAACCTCCTCACGATCGTTTACGTGCGTTGTTTCTCACTTCCTCGACGCGGTGTGAAGAGATGCTGATGTTGAGCTTGTTGCAGCTCTGGGTCTTCCCCGGCAGCCCCATGCTCTTCGAGGCGTGTTTCGGCCTCACACTCGGCAGTCTCGGAACGTGAGTTGGAGCGGTCTCGTCCGTCGTGCGTACCCGCTTGCGAACGCGCTCGCTGATCGTCGACCCTTGCGGCTGACAGTGCGATCGCAACTTGGCGCAACTCGCTCGTCTTCCACTCACTCGACAAGATCATTTCGCTCGCCATCCACATCTTCCCGCCCTTCGTCTTTGTCGTCATTCGGTGCGTTGACTTTCACTCACATCGCCTGATGGTTGGCTGACCGCTCGCTCGCGCAGCCACTTCTACCCTCACGATCTCGCCGTTGCGCGCTATCCGGCTCTCAAGGAGCTGCCGCACCTGAATCCTTGGCGCAGTATGGCAATCTGCATGGTCACCTGTCCGTTTTCTCCATTTGCCCCACGAGTATGCGAAAGCTAACTCCACCCTGTGCAGACACCGTCTGGCAACTCCTCTACTTCCACTTCGTCATCCAGCTCCGCGCGGCCAAGATCAAAGAAGGACGAGCGACGAGTTTCACGTACATGGTCAACGACAAGAAGCGCTTGATCGGAAAGATCGCGGCCAAGGTTCCGCCGCAGTGGCGCGAAGTGGCTTTCATGGTGCGCTCGACTTTCTCCTTCTCCACGGAGCGCAGTAAGACTGAAGTAGACTCGAGTGCGCAGGGCGGACAAGCGATCTACACTTTCGTCACGCTCCTCATCCCGATCTTCGTCCTGTACGACTCGAAGATCTGGAGCTCGATCTACCTCGTCGCGTTGTTCGCCATCTCGGCTTACAATGGCGCCTCGTGAGTTGCGATCTCTGCTCAATACTCAAATGGCTCGCTGAACATGTTGCCCTCGCTGCGCAGGTTCTACAGTACGCCCTTCGCGCCCTAGTCGAGCTCTTCGAACCCCCGCTGACCCTGTTTCCGTCTGCGCGCAGTGGAAGTGTTCGCTCGGCGGTTCCAGAAGGTACGCTCGCTCTCCAGTCTGGCGACATGAGCCCGCGCTCACCGTGCTTGCGCCGCAGGAACTCATTGCCCTCCGCAAAGAGTTCGACGCCCAACAACAACTCCTCAACCGCTACGCCTCGAACCCTCCCCCACAAACTCCCGCCGCTTCGACTACGCCCATACCTGATCCGCTCGACGCCGTCCCTGCGCCGGGGGAGGGAGACGCGGAGGCGGTCAAGTCGACGAATGAGGCGTTGGGGGAGGTGCAGAAGCCGGTGTGAGCGCGGGAGAGGACGGTAGCTAGATGTGATCTATCTTTCAATGATGCAGTGGAGTCTCTCACGCAGCTCGATGACCGTCGTTGAAGAAGCACCGGAGAGAGGAAGTTGCGAAGGCGAAGCGCGACGAGTCGTGCTCGTACTCGGTCGCTTCTCTCTGTGCGTGCGAGACTGAAGAGCGAATTGCAGAATGAGAGGGGACGTATAACGCTTTTTGAGAGGATCTAGTGACGCCTGCGCGCGCTCGACTTGCCGAGGACGCGGTACGCCTCTCCCTCGCGCCTCGCCTGGACGTGGTTCGGCGGGTGGTCGAAGATGATCTCGACGTGAGCAACCTGTCCCTCACGAACAATCGTGAGGGTGTGCGACCTGGCGAACTTTGGCGCTTGCTGCAAGACTCGCTCCCGGCCAAGCGACGGATTCGCGGCATGCTCGAAGTCGAACGCTGTGCCTAGGTCGTAGTGCCAGCTGACGCGATCGAGTTTGCCGCGAAGTCTGACGCCTTCGTCGTGTCCGACTGCGCGCGAGAGAGGTGTCAAAGGTGGAGGTAATCGGCAAGCACTTTGACGAGGAATCCGGTTGCTTACCGGCGTTCGAGTCGATCTCCCATGGCCTTCTGGACGAAGAGAGCTCGCCGGCTTCCCAGGCTGCGTAGCTCTTCTCCGCAGAGCGCGGCGGGCCGACTTTGTGCAGGATGAGCGGGAACGGGCCGCCGATCTGGCTTTGGATGGGCTCAGTGCGAGAGTCTTGCACTGGCTTGTCCATCCAGAGGTCGCCGCCAGCTCTAGGGAGCATGGGGCCACCTCGCGCGCGGTTTTTCGCCTCGTAGATGCTTGTGACGAATGGCGTAGCGAAGAAGGAGTGGGCCGTCGAGGCTGCCAGGTGTCTGAATTGTCAGCCTATATCGTCTGGATGAGGAGTTGCCACGACTCACGCTGGACCTGGCGAGGCGTAAGCTCTGGCGAGTAGTTCCTGAGGTCCTCCTCGGACTTCTCGCAGATTTGGACGTGCCAGAAGCGCACGTACCGGCGGACAAGGTCCGCCAGCAAGCGCAGGAAGGCCTCCCGCTCCTCACGCTGTTTGTGTTGGGCTGAGAGCAAGGACCAGCATGTGAGGATTCGAAAATGAGGCGAAGATCTTGCTGGTTGCACGTACCGTCCAGTCTGTGCCTCAAAGCCAGAGCTCCATCAAAGGATGTCGGTACGGCAGACATCTCACACGGCCGAGTCAAAGGGTCGAGCAAAGCGGTGAGCGCAGGTAGCCAGCAGGATAAAAGGCGGAGAGAGAAGCGAGCTCGAGTGTTTCGCGAGTACCGGAAGATCCGCGGAGGGTCGCCGCCTTGCCCAGGACGTGCGCCACCTCGCCCTCCTCACGAGCCTGAACCTCATGCTCGCCCGGCGGTACGAACGTGACGAGGTAGTGCGTGACTATGCCGTACTCGCCATGCAGTGTCAGCCGGTGTGTTGTGGCAGCAGGAGGGTCTCCGAGGTTGCAGTCCTCGATGCAGCTGATCGAGGCGAGCTGGTCGTTGTCAGAGGCGCCGAGCTGCCACACGACACGGGTGTATCCACAGCGCAGATGGTCGGCGAGATGGGGAGGCACTGTTGACGCAAGTGTGAGGAGCAAGCAGGGCGAAGAGAAGCAGACGCATACAACGCACAGTCTGCCGAGTCGATGACCCAGGGTCTTCCTGCCGAGTATCGTCCGTTGCGCCAACCCTCGTAAGTCTTGATGAACTCCTTATCCTCCGTTGGACGCGCGAAGGGAACGTAGATCATGGGAAAAGGTCCCGCAATCGGCTTCTTGACGCCCTTGCCACGATTTCCGGCGTCCTGGTGCGCCCATGCATTCCCTCCAAGAGAGTCATCGAGCGCCGTCCTATCGTCGCGGGTCCTGTTCCTGACGCGCTGAACCTCCGTGATACCGCAGGAGACGCGCGTGTACCAGGGTACGTCGACTAGGGGAGAAAGAGGGGCGGGAAATGTCAGCCGAGCTCTACAACTGAGAGCCATACAGTCACGGTCATGGACAAGCTCACAAGTACCCTTCCCTTGGTGGGTGACGGGCGCGCCGACTTGCAGGGGCGGCAGTGCTGCGTGATCACGGTCGGAGAACTGGTGCCAGAACTGGACGTATCGCTGGACGAGCAGATGAAGCTGTGATGAAGGATGGCGCTCCGCTGCAAGAACAGCGTATCGGAGGTCAACACAAGGCATGAGATCGGAGTAAGGAGAGGAAGGCGGAAACCCGCAACGCACCTTCGATGCGCATCCTTTGCGCTGCGGCAGTGTCGAACGACGTTGGGGGTCCGGACATTGCGGCGAGCACCGAAGGTCGGACAGTAGCAGCAGGAGATAGCGAAGAAGGCACGAGCGGCGCAAGGTACAAGGAAGAAGAGCATAACGCAGTCTTTCGGGGTAGGGACGGAGGATCCGCGGAGTATCACTCACATTCTCCCCCTCATCGCTGTGATCGGAGGTTCGGGAGCGGCATATCCGCGGGAAAGAAAAGATGCGTCGAGGACGGGCAAAGGTTGGGCAGCAAGAGCTCGACGAAGGTGAGGAGGTCTGTACGTCGTGAGAGGCGATGAATGAAGACTGACAGCGAGGGAGCGCCGAGCGAGCGCCGAGCGAAGACCTGCTTCGCCGCTCGACGAGCTTCTACCGCTGACGTTCCAGACGGCTTCGTCCGTCCCTCGCGCTCATCGGATAACCGCATACTCGTCTTCATGGCTCGGCGACCGCTCGACGCGCCGGCCCTCCGCACCATCGCGAGAGCGCAAAAACCAACGGAAGGTGTCAGGCGCGCGGTCCAGCCGCACTTCCTCCATTATCGCGTCTTCACCCACCTGTCTGGCCCCTCCACCTTGTCCTCGTCCTCCTCATCGCTCCCCAAACCCCCCATCAAATCCCTCACGACCCTCTCAGCCCACTCCCTCCTCTCCTCCAGTCCCATGCCCATGCCTTCGACGTTGGCGTCGGTGCGAGATCGAGCGAGCGAGATACGCGAGAAGAGGTCTTCTAGTCCATCGTCGTCGTCGGGATCGGGAGAAGGAGGGCGGTGCGAGTCGGGGAAGGAGAAGGAGGGGTGGCGGTAGAGATGTGAGGGAGGTGAAGAGGGTGCGGCGCTGGAGGATGGTGGAGAGGAAGAGAAGGGCGGGAAGGGGGTGTGCGGGTCGAGAGTCGTCAAGTGGCCGTTCGACGCGGAGGCAGAGACGAAAGGCGCAAAGTCGTCGTCGAACGAGTCGTGTGCTGCGTCGGCGACGCCGTTCGACACGGGCGCGCGGCGCGGGATGGACGGGAGGAATGTCGGGGGAAAGGCGAGGTGGTCTGTCGTGGTTGTGCTACCGTACGGCTTGCGCGGTTCAGGCAGGGGCGGCGCATGGCCTAGTGCAGACCACTCTCCCTCCTCCTCCTCCCCGCCCTGCTCGTCCTCGCTCGTCACGCTTTTAGCCCTCCGCACCCCGTTCGGCCGCACCGGCTCGACCCGCTCCATCCCCTCCCACATATGCGCCTGCAACGCCCCTACGATCCTCGCCAAGCCTTCGTCGTCGTCCTCGTTGTGAGCGAGGTGCACCCATTCGAAGCCGTGAGAGAGGGCGAGGTCTTCCCATGCTGACTCGTCCGGCTCTGCGGTGGGTGAGCTTGGTGAGGAGGAAGCGGGGTGCGGAGAGAGTATGGAAACGAGGAGGGCGACTTCGGGTGGGTCTGGTGAGCGGGTCGAGAGGGAGGAGAGGAGGCTGGATAGGGATGTCGAGGTCGAGGGGTCCTGTGCCCATTGAAGCTCTCAGTATGCAGTCTTCAAGCGAGCCCGTCGCCCCGAGATCCCAGACGCGCCATCGCAAGCCGCAACGCACCTCGTCCGATTCAGCAAGCACAATCACCGCCGGCTCGTCTCCCTCGCCCTCCTCCCCATGCTCGATTATCCGGAATGCGACGTCGGCGGTGTAGTACTTGTTCTCGATGCGCCATGGGATGTGCGAGGCTGTCGCGGGTGGGGGAGCGAGCGAGTCTGGGTCGGACGAGGCGGAAGCGGGTGCTGCTGCATCGGTGCGTATGCGCTGTCGAGGCTTGTGTGTGCGTATGCCTGGCGTGCAATGTCCCACGGTCAGCTTGACATGGTGAGAGAGTCGTCGAGGGGATGTGGGGGCGATGAGGACGAGGGAGGGAGCGAGGACTGACGGTGGACGAGAGCGTGAGCGTGGTCGAGTGTGAGCGGGTTGACTGCGTGCACGAGCACAGTCGACTGCGAGTCCATCACACGCTCAGCAGCACTGGGTCAACCCACCTCTCGCTCTCTCGAAAGCGAGCTCGAGCCAGTCGCTCGCCTCATCAGCTCAACCCTCACCCAGCCGTCACACAGCTCAAGCTACGCGAGCAGATGGCAAGGCAGGTTCTCGCAAGGGCATCCGCTGCCTCTGCCACACACGCAAAACCCACCCAGCCCGCCTCGAACCCGCGGAAACGCAGGCAGTCTTCCCCGTCCACTTCGACCGCTCTCGCTTCCTCGCGCGCTCCGGCAGCTTCGACGTCCCTTGGCACACTCGCGTTCGACGATGAGGGCGCAGACGACGCGGCGGATGCGGATGTCCTTGCCTCGAGCGACGACGACGAGCACGACGCCTTCCCTGAACTTGACCTCGACGGATCTGCCGAGGAGGATGCAGACGAGGAGGACTCGTTCGATGGGTCCGTGCACTCGGACGACGAGGAGGACGAGATGGACGACGAGGAGTTGCTGAGGCTCGAACTCGAGGCGGAGCAGAACGAGATCCTCTCTGCCTTGTCCGATGCCGGCGACGACGACGACCCGTCCGACTTGGACGAGCTCATTCGTCGGAACACTTCGAAGCCAGACGAGGACGAGCCCGAGCCTTCGGCGATCCCGGGGCAGAACAAGGCGATTGGGGAAGGGAGGAACGGCGCGGCAGAGTCCGACTTGCCGCCGGACTACATGCGCAGGAGTCGTACAGTCAGGAGCAAGCTCACGGGCAAGGAGAAGAAGGTGTGGGATGACGAGATCGAGCCCGAGTATGCCAGCGACTCGAGTACCGAGGAGGCGAGTTTGCGGGCTTCCTTTCTCCCTTTGCGTTCCTCGAGCTCACTTTCTCGTTACCGCAGACGACCAACCGAGTCGGTAACATCCCGCAATACTGGTACGACGACCTCCCGCACATCGGCTACGACATCGACGGCAAGAAGGTCATGCGTCCAGCGACAGGCGACGAGCTCGACCGATTCCTCGATGGCGTCGAGGACGAGATGGGCGGTTGGGCGAGCGTCGTCAACAAGAATGAACAGGAGGTCAAGACGCTTACGGAGGACGAGTTGAACCTGATTCAGCGGTTGGCCAGGGCGGAGAATCCGGATGAGAGCTATGATCCGTACGTTCGCGCGCTTCTCTCGCAGCGCTTACGCATGCTCACGAGGCTCTCTCTCGCGCAGCTACGCCCCGACGATCCCGTACTTCACGTCGCAGGTGATGGACATGCCGCTCTCTCACCGCCCCGAGCCCAAGTCGCGCTTCCTGCCGTCCAAGTGGGAGCACAAGAAGGTGATGAAGATCGTGCGCGCGATCCGCTCCGGGCGCATCACGCCTCGCCGACCTGGCGCGCCCAAGCCGCCCGAGAAACCGCGCTTCTACGCCCTCTGGTCCGCCGACGACGACACGCCTACGGCCCCTCACCCAATGCACATGCCGGCGCCGAAACTCGCCCCTCCGACGCACGGCGAGTCGTACAACCCGCCCGAGGAGTACTTGTGGACCAAGGCGGAGGAGGAAGAGTTTGATGCGCTCGAGAAGGAGGACAAGAAGGGCAAGGTTGTGCCGCGCAAGTACGGCTCCTTGCGCCTCGTACCCGCGTATCAGAACTTTGTCCAGGAGCGATTCGAACGCTGCCTCGATCTCTACCTCGCCCCGCGAGCTCTGCGCCGCAAGCCCCGACTCGACATCAAGGACCCGACAGACCTCATCCCCCGCCTCCCTTCGCCGCAGGAACTCCGCCCCTTCCCGACGACCAAGAGTGTCGCGTACGTGCACCCGAACGGCGTACGCGTCCGGTGCGTCTCGGTTGACCCGACGGGCATGTGGGTCGTCACTGGCGCCGAGGACGGAGAGGTGCGACTGTGGGAGTGCGCGGTCGGACGGTGCGCGATGAAGTGGAAGGTGGGGTCCGAGAAGGAGCCTGTCTACAGCGTCGAGTGGTGTCCAGACCGCGAGAAGTGCTTCTTCGTTGCCGCGACGTGCGTACGCTTTCTCTCGTTCTCTCTTCTCGCTGGTGACTGACGCCGCACCTGCACGCAGCGCCAACAAGATCCACCTCATCTCCCCCTTGCCCCTCATCTCCGACTCTCTCGCCGCCCGCTCCGCCGCCTTTGCCCTCTCCGCATTCAACGCCGCCTCGACCGACGACGACGGCAACAAGATCCGCCCGCCTACTCAGCCCGACGGCGTCGCGTGGCGCAAGCCGCGGGACATCAGCGAGCGCGAGGAGGGACGACTCGTCGAGGTCGAGGTGCCCGGACACGAGATCAAGCAGGTTACGTGGCACAAGCGCGGAGACTACTTTGCGACCGTGTCGAGCCCTGGTGCGTGCGAGTCTCACTACGCTCTCCTGATTCGCGACTGACTCTCGCACTCTCGCAGCCGGCGCACGGAGCGTCCTCATCCACCAGCTGTCGAAGCACCACACGCAGGCGCCGTTCGCCAAGCTCAAGGGCGACGTCCAGCGCGTGCAGTTTCACCCTTCGCGGCCGCACTTTTACGTCGCGACGCAGCGACACGTGCGGATCTACGACCTGATGAAGCAGCAGCTCGTCAAGACGCTCAACCCGGGCTTGAAGTGGATCTCGAGCCTCGACATCCACCCGCTCGGAGACAACGTCCTCGTCGGCTCGTACGACCGCCGCCTCGTCTGGCACGACCTCGACCTGTCGACGACGCCGTACAAGACGCTCAAGTACCACGCGCGCGCCCTGCGATCCGTCGCGTTCCACCCGTCGTACCCGCTCTTCGCTTCCTCCTCAGACGATGGCACGATCCACATCTTCCACGCGACCGTCTACGCCGACCTCCTCACGAACCCGCTCATCGTCCCGCTCAAGGTCCTCCGCGGTCACGACATCAAGGACAGCTTGGGCGTCCTCGACGTCAAGTGGCACCCGAAGGAGCCGTGGGTCGTCAGTGTCGGCGCGGACGGCGTCGGCAGGCTGTGGTGCAACTAGGTGCAGTGGGAGGAGGGGAGGAGAGGTCCTGGATCGCTTGTCCTGTTGTATGCCCATGTAACGCCCGCACTGCATCTCGCATCATGTCCAAGCAGACTGTCCTGCAGTTGCAATAGCTTCGAGGACCAAGGAAGAGAGAGACGAGGGAATAGATAAGAGCGCGCGAGAGCTACTCTCCGCGCCACATCCGCTTCTGCATCCTGCCTGCGCCGTTCGTGACCCGCGCATTCGGCGGCGTCACAAGGGTGTTGACAGTCCCCGCTGCCGTCGTCGTTGTTGTAGCCGCCGTGCCCCCGTTGAGCTGCGCGACGTCCTTGACAAACTCTTGCCAGTCGCCGCCAAACTTGGAGTAGACGTCGACTTGCTTGATGTCAAGGTCGGTGATGTACACTGCGCCCGAAGCGGGAACGAGCGGCTTGAGGGTGATGGGAAGCTGTGTCGAGCCTGCCGAGCCAGTCGGGAAGGAATGGACGACGATGGCCGACTTGCGGAGGAGCTGGGCATCCTGCGGGAGCTTCGAGGTCGAGTAGTCGGCGAAAGCAGACTCGTAGTACATGATCAAGTCGGCCCAGTTGAAGAAGCGCGCGTCGACTGCCGTGCCGGGGTTAAAGACGACCGTACTGCCGGACGAGCCGAATGCGGTGCGTGTGAGGTTCGCGAACGACTCGTACCGCTCGAGGTTGGTCGTGTTGGTCGAGCTGCTGACTTCGTCAAAGAAGATGCCGTCAAGCTTGGCGGTCGCGCCGGTCGTCGCATTGACCTTGATCCCGCCCCAGGACTTGAACTGGTCGATGTCGGCCGCGACGTCCGACGAGGCCCGATCACCGTAGGTCGTGCGGACGTAGCCGATGATGGACGAGTTCGGGACCTTGGAGCGGAGGATCGGGACGCAGTACAGCGAGGGGTTGGTCGAGTCGAGGGTAGGGCCAGAGTTGGGGTTGACGATCAGGACGAACTGCTGGGACGGGTTGGCGGCGCTGCGGGCGTACGAGCGAGGACGTCAGCGACGCATCCCTGCCCTCCAGCCTCGCGGAGGCGAACGCACGCTGCCTCTTGCAACTCGGGCCAACACTTGTCGCTCCACGAGTAGAGCGGGACGATGACCTTTGTCGTTGGGGTCACGACCGGAAGCTGCACGCCGGTCGACGGCTTGGTCCCGCCGAGCTGCGCGACGTCCTTGACGAACTCTTGCCAGTCGGGGCCGAACTTGCTGTAGACGTCGACCTGGTTGATGTCGAGGTCGGTGATGTAGACTGCGCCCGAGGCGGGAACGAGCGGCTTGAGGGTGACGGGGAGCTGCTTCGAGCCCGCCGAGCCGGTCGGGAACGAGTGAATGATGATGGCCGACTTGGCCAGCAGCTGGGCGTTCTTCGGGAGTTGCGAGGTCGAGTAGTCGGCGTAGGCCGACTCGTAGTACATGACGAGGTCTGCCCAGTTGAAGAACCGCGCGTCGACTGCCGTGCCGGGGTTGAAGACGACCGTACTGCCAGTCCTGCCGAACGCGTTGCGCGCGAGACTCGAGTAGGTCTGGTAGCGCTTGAGATTGGTCGAGCTCGTCGAGTCGCTGACTTCGTCAAAGAAGATGCCGTCGAGTTTGGCGGTCGCGCCGCTCGTCGCGTTGACCTTGATTCCGGCCCAGGATTTGTACTGGTTGATCTCGCTCGAGATGTCCGACTGGCTGCGCGACCCGTACCCCGTGCGGACGTAGCCGATGATGGTCGAGGAGGGCATCTTGGCGCGCAGGATCGGGACGCAGTACATCGAGGGATCGGTCGGGTCGAGCGTTGGGCCCGAGTCGGGGTTCAGGATGAGCACGAACTGCTGCGAGGGGTTGGCGGCGCTGCGAGCATGCGAGCGAGCGGGTTAGCTTCCGGTTCGTGCACTCGGATCCTCCGCTGCTGGACCTGTAGACGGTCATCCAGGGGAAGGAGAGGAGCCGACTCACGCTGCCTGTTGCAGCTCTGGCCAGCACTGCTCGTTCCACGAGTAGAGCGGGACGATGACTTTGGTCGCCCATGCGGTCGAGGCGAGCGTCGCGGCGAGGAGCGACTTGAGGACGACCATTGTTGGCTGAGGGGAGCCGGGCGAGGTGGTGAGGAGGGGAAGGGTGGGAGAGTGTGGGTGAGCAAGTCAGAACTGCTGCCGTGGGTCTCCGTCCGTCACGCGGCCCGTCTGTCGTCCGCCGGACGGTTGATCGGGGTCCAGTCGGAGGATCCGAGGGGAAGAGGAGGCGGGAGGGGAAGCGAGATCCGCGGTGAGTCCGCCCAGCGGTGTGCACGGGTGCCACCTGGAGCAGAGCAGTCCTCGTTGGTGTGAGCAGCAGCAGCAGCAGCAAGGCGAGTCGCACGAGAGCGAGGGTGCGAGTCCAGATCCGGCGAACGTTGATGAGGACGAGAAGGGGCGGTGCACGGCGACGGGCGACGGCGAGCGCGAGAGCGAGAGCATGTGTCGAGCGTCGAGCACACACAGCTTGCGAGCGACCACAGCATCGAGCCAGCCAGCCGACGACAAGTGGCCAGAGCGAAGGACAACCGCCGAACCGCTTTGTTCCCTCCGACCACACGCATGTCCTCCGCTGCCGGGCTGTACCAGTCCTACGCTGCGCTCCTCGCAGGCGCACTCGGTCCGATATGGGCGGGCGCGCACGCCTCTCTCGTCGTGCGTCCCTCTCCCTCTCCCCGGCTATTCTCGAGGATCAGCGGGTCCTTCTTCGCGCCCGCACCTCCCGCTGACCCGCTCCTTCGCGGTGCTACAGATGCCCAAGGCTGAGAAGCGCAAGTTGCGCACGCTCGAGGCCAAGGACGGCAAGGAGGCTGCGGACGTGGAGGAGGAAGACGAGGACGAGGATGTCGAACGGCTGACCGTGAGTTCCTACGTCTTCATGCGAGCGCTGTACAAGCTCAGAAGGAGTCGTCAAATCCCGCTGACCCAGTGAGTGCGATCCCTCAGCGCGAAGACGCCTACTGGTTCCCCATCCTCGGCTCCTGCGTCCTCCTCGGCCTCTTCCTCCTCTTCAAATACGTCGACAAGGCGCTACTGAACAAGATTCTCGGTTGGTACCTCGCGGCGATGGCTGTCGCCGGTCTCGCGAGGTCGGGCGTCAAGCTGGCGAGGCGAGTGCTGGGCGAGAGGCGGAGCAGGCGGCTAGACAAGGTGCGTTCGCTCGGCAGCGCGTATCGCGAGCCTCCGTACTGACTCACTACTTCGTACAGTGGCGCCTGAAACTCACGAAGAACTCGAAGGGTAGGCTGCGAATCTCGAGGCGGTGGAAACGGGCGCTTCAAGCTGATTTTGTTACGCTGTGCGATCCACAGAGCACAGCACCTTCGCGTTCAACTCCCTCCACCTCTACTGCATCCCTCTCGCGATCGCCCTCTCCGCCAGCCAGATGTGCACCGGCAACTGGATCCTCTCGAACCTCGTCGCCCTCTCCTTCGCCTTCAACGCCATCTCGCTCCTCTACCTCGACTCGTTCGCGACAGGCTCGATCCTCCTCGCCGGACTGTTCGTCTACGACATTTGGTGGGTTTTCGGATCCAAGGCCGTGTTTGGGAAGGGCGCGAATGTCATGGTCGATGTCGCGACGAGCTTTGAGGCGCCCATCAAGATTGTCTTCCCGAAGGACCTGGCTCGAGGGCGCGACTTTGCGCTCCTCGGACTCGGAGACATCGTCTTGCCTGGGTGAGTGCCCGGTCCCCTCGACTCTGTGCGATGGAAGACGAGGAGTTGACCCTATTGTGCTTCTTGCGCAGCGTCTTCCTCGCTCTCGCACTCCGCTTCGACTACCACCTCGCCCTCAAGCGCGCCTCAATCCCCTTCCGACCGTCCCGCTCCTTCCCGAAGCCCTACTTCCTGTCGTGCTTCATCGCGTACATCTTCGGTGCGTCTCCCTTCCTCTCATCGTCCCCTTTTCGCGCTCGAGATTGACACCGAGTAATCGCAACAGGTCTCGCCACGACCATCCTGGTAATGCATACCTTCCGAGCAGCCCAACCCGCCCTCCTCTACCTCTCACCCGCATGTATCCTCTCGGTCTCGCTTTGTGCGCTGGTGAAGGGCGAGTGGGGGGAGGTTTGGGGGTATTTGGATGGGGACGAGGATGAGAGGGAGAGGAGGGAGAGGGAGGAGAGGGAGAAGGAGAAGGTTGGGGAGAAGGAGGGGCGAGTGGAGGATACGAAGGAGGCGCCCGCTGTGCCGGTCAACGGGGACGCTACGAAGGAGTAGACGCGCGCTGTAGACTAGACGGACATAGATGTCACCCAGCAAGTCGAGGGAATCGGATCTTTGCGAGAGTTGTGGCGCGCGGAGGGAAGGCTTTGAAGGGCATCTTTGCCGCGAGTCGCGCTCAATTGATCTATCTGCATCTTTGCTTCACCGCCTGAGCTCCTGCACAAACCGCCGAGGTTCCGACCGGCGCCTCCGCGGACGCGATGGAGCGCATGGAGCGACGAGTCCAACGTTTCCCCTCCTCCCACTCCCCCGGCTCTCGCTCCTTACACGCGCTTGAATCGCTCGTAGACTCTAACAGAAGTCTCTACACGCTACACACGCCCGCCGCGACCTGCACACCGCGTTCGCGCAACCCCACCACCTCTCCCTCCCGACCTCCGCTCCCGCGACTCTCCCGCTCGACACTCGACACGAAGCAGTCCGGCGGAGCATCTAGACGCGCTCGACTCGATTCTTGACACGAGCAGCCCACCGAACCCCCGGAACCTCTCGGATCATGGCCAACCACGGCACGCAGAACTCGCAGCCGCAGTTCTCCTTCCAGAACTTCTTTCAGGAGGCGCAGAAGGACCTCCCCTTCCACCAGCGTCCGGAACCGAACACGGCTGCGCTGAGAATGGAGCGCAAGGCGTCGAATGTTGGTCCGGATGGCTCGTTGGCGAGGGAGAACCACGAGGACCAGCCGATGTGGAAGAGGCTGCCGGCTTGGGTGTACATTATCGCTTGGATAGCTACATCTTCTGCAGTCATTCTGCAGGTGAGTACGCCCTGTGTACGCGCCGTCGTAGTTCCTAACGCGCTCGCCTTCGCAGAACGCCCACATCCTCTCGGATCTCAAGTTTAGGCACCCCGTCGTGCGTCTCTGCTCTTTCCGCAGTTCCGAGGGCGCAGCTGACCCGCAACATGCTCGACAGGCTCTTACGACGATCCACCTCGCCTTCCAGACGCTCGCGACGCGTCTCTTGCGGCGGTACACGAACATGGTCGACAAGGCAAAGGAGCTTGAGGCGACGGGTGCGCACCTTCCCTCCCACGTTGGTACAGAATGCGTGCGTGAGGAGTCGTCGAGAGCTGACCTGTGCCATTCCCGCTCGCAGGAACGATGAATCGCGACTCTTTCTTGCGCAAGATCGTCCCGGTCGGCCTCCTCTTCTCCGCCTCGCTTGTCCTGTCCAACTGGGTCTACCTGCGGCTCTCTGTCTCCTTTAGTGCGTTCTTGGTGGTCCTGTGCGTGTGCGGGCCAGTAGCTGACCGCACGCGCTCTCGCAGTCCAAATGATCAAGGCTTTCACGCCCGTCTCGGTCCTCCTCGTCTCGGCGTCCTTCGGGCTCAAGGAGCTCACGCGCAAGATTCTCCTCATTGTCTCGCTAATCTCGTTTGGCGTCGCTCTCGCGTCGTACGGCGAGGTCGAGTTTGAGTTGATAGGCTTCCTGGTTCAGGTGCGCATCTCTCGCTTCTTTGCAGGCATGCACACGCTGACTCATGACTGCCGCAGGCTCTTGCTATTGGCATTGAGAGCTGCCGCCTTGTGCTGGTGCAGAAGCTGCTCCAGGGCTTCGGGCTGGACCCGATCGCTTCCCTCTACTACCTCGCACCGGTGCGCTCATCTGCTCTTTCATACTGCTGTGAACCTCATACTGACCCCTGAGATGCTTGTGACAGGTCTGCCTTGTCGTGAACGCCATCATTCTCTTGCCGGTTGAGGGCTTCGAGGTCTTCTCTAATGCGGTCGAGCTTGTCGGAATTCCGTATCTCCTCATGAAGTGGGTCCTCTCTCCCTTCCTATGGCTATAGCTGGTACTGACATCACTGACCCACCAGCGCATGCCTCACCTTTGCCCTCAACCTGGCCTCGGTCTCGCTTATCGGCAAGGCTTCGGGCCTTGTCTTGACCCTTTCCGGTGTCCTGAAGGATGTGTGTCCTCTACATTTCTCTCCTTGTGAGCCCATGCTGACCCAATACCTGACAGATCCTCCTCATTGCTGGCTCCTGGGCCTTGATGGGCTCTACCATCACCGGGATCCAGATCCTCGGCTACGCTATTGCGCTGGCTGGTCTCGTGTGGTTCAAGCAGCAGTAGTCTCCGGTAGAACAAGACAGTATAGACTCCCTCTCTTGACAATTTCAGCTGTTCTCTCCATCCATATATTAACTCATTCGAGTCCTTCCAACCCAAGTCCAGAAAACTACACTGAGAGATGTTAGTGTGCGCATTTGGTACAACTCCTGGGGAGCAATGAGGTGGAACTTGCCGCTCGATTGAAGGTAGGTGAGGCGGGACTTGCAGCTCAGTTGAAGGTAGAGCAGGCCAACTTCCTGGCAGAGAACGTGGTGCAAGGACCAAAGTGTATTGTTGTCCTTTGACCTTGATGAGGTGGAAATTGGGACAGAGTCAGCTTCATGGAATCATGTGGCAGAAAGGGCAGAATGTTACTCGACCGGGAAGGAGGACTCACAGGGCATCTGCAAGGATTGCCCCTTGCCGAGCTGACAATTGTATGGGAGTTGTACGGTCTACAGCGGCGATGACACTAGCCTCCTCTGCTCCATACAAGCTTGCCTTGGGCTTCATGTCTATTTGTTATTCTTAGCCTTTTGGCTCTAGGGCCTAGCGTGTGACGGATGGTAGTCCTTTCAGTATCTCCCGCTCACCGTTTGGTACCAGCCTGGGCCTCAGTGCCGGGAGGCCTGACCACAGAAGTTGATCATAGTGACTTTAATGTCAGCAACGAAGTGTGCGCTCCGAGCTAAGAGTGGGGTAGACAACCTCCTCCGCTTGCCCTGGCCGCTGGGGGCACTGAAGAGCCACAACCTGATGAATCTCGAGGCTGCAAACCAATCTGGACCCCTTGCAATGAGCAGCAAGACTGTTGGGAACATCGCATCGCGGGAGGAGGAGAAGGAGGAGAGCACGAGTGACGGAGAGGCCGGACGCTTGCCGGACGCTCTCATCTCTTTGTAGGGTCAGGAGCTCTGAAAATGGTCTAGACTGTCAAGTATTGTGAGGCTCACATTCAAAAATGCAGGCTGAGCCGGCAGGCCCCCTTGCAGGACCTCTTCCTGTGCAACCTGCTCAACTCAATATCGCACAACTCCTACTCTTCTGAACAACGCCACTGGATCTCGCCTTGCACAATCAAGCTAGAGGATGAACATCACGCAAGGGGAGAAGGTGGATAGGAAGACATGGGCGACAAGCGTGTGGCCTTCCTGTCTCTCCAGCTTAGATGTAAGGCCCCGTCTCCCTCGACACTCGACTTCGCCGTCAACTTGCTCCGCCCCGCCCTCGCCTGCAACTCGGCTTTGCCATTGCTTGGACACAGGAACAGGTTCTCAGTTTTGCAGGAGGAGGAGTGAAGATGACACTTGGTTGAGCAAGGTCCTACCCGAGCCTGCTGTGAATTCCCTCCCTTGTCCTCAGGCTACATCTCGCTTTTGTTAGAATAAAGCTCAAACCAATCATATCCTCTTCTGTAGCCGGGAGATACACTCAATGCTTCATCCCCGTGCAGCCACCTTCACCCTCAAGTTCCCTTGTTAGGCGACTGATCGCTACATTGAATGCTCAGGCTCCATCAGCCTGACCCAAGACACAGATTGCCCTGCCACCCAGGACTGAGGGGAGAGCAGTGGGTCAGGTGCTACAAATACAAGCAAGTTGAACTGGGAGGAAGTTAAGCATCTCTGGCAGAACCTGCTGCCCATTTGCTTGGAATGGCATTTGGACCCCCAACACTGTGGTCAAGAGCTTGAAAGTGGAACCAGGTCAGCCCCAAATTCAAGTCACATCAGGTCGTAGCCCACGACGTTGAGCAGAGACTGGCTGCTACAGCACCTCACGGCGAGAGAGGTTATACTGCTGATGTGGGAGAGTCAAAAGAGCGGATGAAGCAGGTGAGAACAACTCAGAAGTTGGGGAGATGAGGGAAGAGATTGGAATCACGATAAGACAGTTGTGAGCCGGATTGTGACAACCAGCTTTATCTGGCTGGTAGAGGGCTGCATGTTGGGTCAGGGAAAACCAGAGCAGAGCCAAAAAAAAATCGACTAACGGGCAGGAAATGGGGTATCTCAGTCTTGGCCTGAGAAGCAGGAATAGACAAGAGTTCGACCAAAATGCACAAGAAAGTGGGGAGCAGTCTATGAAGTGGGCTCTCACTTGACAGGTGCGTCTGCAGTGCCATCTCATACTGGATGCTCCTTGCTGCAGCTCACGTGGGGCGCATACCGCTCACAGGGTCTAGTGACACTTTCGTTTCCGAGTGCCCTCTCACACTGATATCACTCACGCATTATCGCATAGCACGTCCGAATTCCGCTGACCTCATTCAGCGTAAAGAGCTTGTCGAAATGCTCTCGATGCTCCTCCCTTCCTCACCTCAGCACCCTCTCCTCGGTACCCTGCCTCCGTTCGACCCGACCGCTCCTACAGCCACTTCCTATCCGACAGTCCAGCAAGCCGTCACCTCTCCTCTTCGGACGCTCCTCGAAATCATTGCCCACATCTCCGAGAAAGAGACGGCGGCGGTCGACGCGGAAATCAAGAAGCGGCAACAGCGGTTAGACGGGCCGGCACTGACTGCCAAAGAGACGACCTGCCAGGTCCAGGCCAAGATGCTGCTGCAGAGTTAGCTGCCGGCGCTGTGGCGGCAAGTTCCCGACAACCCAGATGCAGGCAATGACGAGCCTCTCCGAAGGGATATTGAGCGCCGCCTGCTTGCGCATCTGCAAATGACGCTTCGCGCCCTTCCTTCGTCTTTCGACCCACCTTCGCTCGACCTCCCGGCGAAGGCAAAGTTGAAGACGGAGAAGCAGATTAAGGCGGAGCGAGACGCGATGGATGGCTATCGCGCTCAGGTCGAGGATCTCGCGCACGGCATGGTGGTGATCGGCGTACCGGACGGTTCAGCTTGGGGGGTCGAGGTTGAGTGGAGCGACAGCTTTGCGGACGGCCGTGGCCTGGAGGGATTGACGAAAGGGAGCAGGGACAAGCTGCAGCAACTGGCGGACACCTTCCCAAAGTGCGTTCCATTTCTTCGATCATTGTGCTTCAGCTGAAGCCCCTCCGTCTACAGAGCCGGCATCTCTAGCATCTCTCGCGCTCTCGTTGCCCGTCTCGAAGCGGCGGAGGCAGCCGCAAGGCCTCCCGTTGACGGCAATCCGGCGGATGCTCCGCAAGAAGAGCGACCTTCAGGACCGACCGATGATGAGTTGGCCGAGATCATCGAGGTACAAGCAGTTCCGCTCACTTCGTTCCAACACCGTCGCTGACGAACGAGCTCGCGCAGGACGGGCTTGCAAAGGCGCCACAATCCGTTGTTGCACATCTCCTCACCGTTTCTTCCGTTTCTTTTTTCCGCAACCAAGAGGAATGGGATGCTGTCGTTCAGGTCGCCGAGAGAGAGAGAGATTGATTCTTGTTTCAAGTCGGTTCGGGTCTAAGCCCATGATGACCGGCAGAGGCTGGCTGCCATAGCGCAGAACGATAGAGGTGGGTATACTACTGATGGATGGGGGTCATTGGAGCGGACAGATAGGTCATAAGGCAAGTGAGAAGTGAGTAAGAGGAAGAGAAGGTCAAGAGATGAGATAGAATGAGGGCGAGTGAGCGCGGGGCAAAGCGAGGCAGCTAGACAGGTAGAGCGATGTGTGTCGTGTCAGGAGAAACTGAACAGAAGCGAAAAGGTCGCGGAATGAGCGAGAAACGAGGGTTCTTGGTCTTGATCTGGAAGAGCCGCAGCGACGGGATCCGGCGGCGTCAGGGCGGGTCGAGGCAGTGTCGTGGGGTCCGTTGGAGTGCTGGGGAGGCGGTCTGCGCGGTGGAGGCGGGTTGGAGGGGTTTTGGGTGAGAGCGGGACTCTCGGCACTGGCGAGTATCCAGACCGAGATCGGGCGGCCTCTTCCACGGTGAGCTATGCACGATAGCCTGCGCCGGATGGCAGCTTACGTCAAATCTGCAGGACTCGCCGCGCGCTCGAAACGTCTCTCGCTCTCAGCCTCGTACATCACGAACCGCCGACACACCACCTCCGCGCCCTTCGCCTCGTTGAAAGTCTGCTCGGAACAGCTCCGCCTCCGCCCTCCTCCCCTGGCGCACCTGCTGTCCCGCACCCCGACCCGGAACTTCTCTTCGCAAAAGCGATCGTCTTGCAGTCCTCCGACAAGCAGGCAGCCGCCCTAAAAGTCTGGGACCAAATCATTGCGCTTCCTCCCGCTTCGCTCGACGCCGATACGCTCGTCAAGGCGAAGTGCGAACAAGCTTGGTCAACGCACCTCGCTGGCTCGTCTGAGGATGCCTTGCCGCAGCTCGAGGAGGTTGTCGCTTCGTTCGAAGAGCGCAAGACTCGGCGTGACAAGGAGCGGGAGGAGAAGGAAGCGTGGCCTGAAGAAGCCGGAGGGCGTCGAGGAAGGGGAATAGGAGGAGGAGCGGGAAGAGCGGGCAACGGCTTGGTGGCGTTTGGGAGAGTGTCTCTGGAAGCTTGGCAGTACGCATCTTCGGTGTTTGACGGCTTTGTTGCCTCACTGACACGTTCTCGCAGACTCGATGCCCGACCAAACTTAGCAGGCCTACGACGCCTACATCTCAGCTCTCCGCGCCTCACCATCGTTCGCTCCGGCCTTCCCCTCCCTCGGCATCTACTACCGCTTGCTTGCCTCGCCAGACTGGGAGCGCTCGTCAAAGTGTTTCCAGAAGGCGTTTGAGCTCGACCCTTCGCAAGAGGTCGCAGCTCGATACCTGGCGGAGGAGTTCGCGGAGCTCGGCGAATGGAGTCTCGTCGAAGTCATTGCCCGCCGCGTCATCGATGGGAACAAGGGTCGCGCGGGGATGAGTGGCAAGGCGGCAGCTCGTCTCGCCTGGGCGTGGAAGGCAATCGGTAGCAGCGAGCTCAACTCGAAGAAGTACCCGCAGGCGATCACGGCGTTCCAGTCTGCTTTGCGAGGCGCTCCCGATGACGTCTCAACCTGGATCAAGCTGGGCGTCGCGTACCGCCATTCCGGCAAGCATGTCGCTGCGCTCAAAGTCTTCGTCAAGGCGCTCGCCCTCGACCCGTCGTCTTGCTTCGCCAAGTACTCGATCGCGGACGTACATCGCGAGATTGGACTACTCGACCCGGCAATCAAGACGTTCAAGGAGATCCTGGTCGACCGCCCGGACGAGCTAGGGGTCAGGGTCGTCCTCGCCGAAACCGCTCTCGCAAAGGGACTCGGCGAGCAGAAGCAGGGCTACATGGTGCGCGCGGAGGAGTCGCTGCTCGAAGCGCTCGAGGACTCGATGGCAGTAATCGAGGGCGGATCCGCTTCGCGCGTTGCATGGAAGGTCACGGCGGAGGCGCTCGTCGGGTTGAGCAGGCTGAGCGACCCAGCCTCGCCGGATTCGCTCAGCGCCGCTCTGGCTCGGGTCCTGGCCTATCTCTCCGAGCAGGGCGTCGACGGCAAGATGGCCGGCCTGACCGCTATCACTGTCGCCGACGTTCGCGCTGCCGTCGACACCAAGCCCGCCATCGCTGCCGCCGCCCTTGCCATCCTTTCCTTCAAGATGCGTGTCCTCCTCGAGACGCAGAACGAAGCCGCCATCGGTTCCGCCTGGTTCGACCTCGGCATTACCATCAGCAACTTCCGCCCGCACCTCTCGGCCCTTCCGACGTCCAGCACCACCGCGGAGCAGGTGCTGCAGCAGTCGATTCGATGCCTCAGGTACGCCCTGCACAAGGAGCTGCTCAACGCGTCCTTCTGGAATGCCCTCGGCGTCCTCTCTTTCGACCTTTTGCCTTGTCTCGCTCAGCACAGCTTCATCCGCTCGATCAAGCACAACTCGCGCAGCGCCGTGCCCTGGACAAATCTCGGCCTCTTCTACCTCGTACACGGCGACAAGGACCTCGCAAATCAGGCATTCCTCAAGGCGCAGGTGCTCGACCCGGAATGGGCGGCGGCTTGGGTTGGGCAGGCTACCCTTGCAGATATGGCGGGACACGCGGTCGAAGCATCCGTCCTCCTCGAGCATGCCGTCTCGCTCGGAGGAGACGCGCCCGAAGCCGACACTGCCTTCGCCAGCCGCGCATTCGAGAAGTACCGCTCCAGCGTGCCGTCCTCGTCCCTCGCCGTCGCCGATCCCTCTCCCGTTGCCCCGCCTTCCGTCATCGAGGTGCTATCCGCGCCCCTCTTTTCGCTCAGCCGCTACCTCTCCCACCATCCTTCCGACCACACCGCCCTTCACCTCAACGCCCTCGTCCTCGAGCAGGTCGGCGACCTCGCCTCGGCATGTGAGTTGTTCGAACAGGCTGCAACGATCATTGAGGAGCTTAGCTCTACGAGGTCGACGAGTCGCCTGCAGCCGAAGGACAGTACGTGATAGCGCAGACGAACTTGGGGCGTGCCCGTCTCGCGGCGCAGCAGTACAATGGCGCGCTTGAAGCATTCGAGGCGGCTCTGTCGCTCCTCAACCTCGAGGACAGTGCGGCGCGCGGTGGATTGACGAAGGAGCAGACCGTCTTGCTCTACGCCGAATGCAAGCTCGGCTCGAGCGTCGCGCACGTTGCGCTCGGCGACTCGTCCGCGGCAAAGGAGGCATTGGAGACGGCGATCGACGATGTCGAGACCTACAGGGTCGGCGCCTGCGACAGCCATCTCGCTGTTGCGCTCGGAAGAGTCCATTGGGCTGAAGGCGAGGAGGGTCGCGCTTTGTCGGCCTTGCTTGATTCACCGGACATGTGAGTCTTTCCGCCTACACATCTCAAACGGGGAATTGACACGCTCTTATTACAGACCTTCGGGTCGACAGACGCCGCTCTTCCTCCGCCGAGCAATATACGCCTATGCGATCGCTGCGAACGACACCTCCCTCCTGCAGACAACCGAGTCCTTCATCTGGAACGCAGCCGTCAAGTACAACCCAGACATCTTGTACCTGTCGACGCTTGCAAAGCTGGCAAAGGTGCGTGTGGCCGCTTGCGCCTGCCTTCGGCGTAACTGACATTTGTCATGCAGAGCGACATCGACGGCGCTCTCTCTACCGTTTCTCGCTCCCTCCACGCTTTCCCCTGGGCGCCGGCTTTCCGCTCTCGCACAGCACGCCTACTCGCGTCCCTCCCGCCTGTCGCGTCGGATGATTCGGCCGACAATAACCTCGAGCTTGTCGGTCGTCTCATGCGCACGCGCGTGCCGCAGACTGAGGCATCGTCTCTACGCGCAAGGAGGTCTCGCGCCCTCGGCGTTGTTGCGCTGCACAAGGCGGGCGAGGCGGAGACGGAGGAAGAGGCGGACAGGCTCGACGAAGAGGCGCTGCGGTTCTTGGAGAAGAGCATCTATGTGGCGCCGTGGGTGACAGAGGGTAGGAAGGCGTTCCAGAAGCTGAGGGCAAAGCTGAGGGCGAAGCTGGACTCGTAGGATCCGAAGGCTAGGAGCTGGAACGGCAGGACAAGTCCGCGCAGGGATGGCTTTCCGACAAGCAAGAACCTTGGAGCCCCAAAGCCGCGAGACTACTCGCTCTCATTGCATTCCCTTCTTTGCACTCACAAAGCGAAACAACAGAACAGAGCGGGAGACCAGCTCTTGCGCTGTCGGGGAGCACCCTTTCGCATTAACCGCTCACTCCAAACCAGCACCGTCTACCGTTCCCCTCGACGCCCGCTCGCAAGCTGTGCAGCAAGTTACTCAGCGTGCACACCCGGTACCAGCCTGCGTACCGCCAAGCTCGCAAGCCAACCTCCCCTCTCCACCGTGTTCCATCGGAGCCACGAACAGCAGCGACGACTCGTTCTGATGCACTGTCGAGGTTCGTGTATATCTAGAGTCATCGCTGAAACCCCGCTTGCACGCCAACAGCCTGCTACGCGCTCCCACCACCCAGAAACCCGCACTTCTCCCCGCACCGCCTCCTTCGCTCATCACCAGCACGCTCTCTGCCATCCAGACAGCTCGCCTGACCTCTGCGATGTCTCGACTCAACTACAACAAGTGGGACAACCTGCAGGTGCGCGTGCGAGATCGCAGCGTTCGTTTGTGCTGAGCTTACCAGGCCTCCGTCCAACAGCTGTCGGACGACTCTGACATCAAGGTGCACCCAAATGTCGACAAGTGTTCGATGATTCGGTGAGGAGTGAAGTCTGGAGGACGCGCGGCCAGCCGGGTGCGCTGACGCCGCTTCGTTCTCGCAGTTGGAAGCAGCGCGACATCCACGAGAAGCGCGAGCAGCGCAAGCTCAAGCTCAAGCAGTTCGAGACCGAAGTGCCGATGAACGACTCGCTCATAAAGCGTATCGACGGCCTTATCTCATCGACCAAGGCTGGGGGCACCGCCTTTGTTGCCAAGGAGGTTCTTCGTCTCAAGGCGGCGCTGCCGTACAAGTACGAGGAGAAGAAGTTTGCGAACAACAAGCAGCCAAGCGAGGATCACATGATCGTCTCGCTGCTAAGCCAGGTCATCACGGCGGTGCAGAAGAAGGAGCAGGAGAGCGGAGGTTCGAATGTCGAGGCGGAGCGGGCGGACAGGCTCATCAAGGAGCTCGAATGGCACAAGCAGCGGATGGCCGACAGGCAGAAGGAAATCGAGCAGGAGAAGGAGGAGATTGACCGCGAGCAGAAGAAGTGGATCACAAGCGAGGACATCCGGACGGGCTGGGACAGCAAGACGGTGCGTCCCCTTTTCTCTCTTGAGCTTTGAGCCTGTCAGACTGACGCCTGCGTTCTTCAGATCGTCTCAGCGACGCCGTCGGTGCAGCCCAAACCCGCGCCGCCAGCCGCCTCTTCAAGCAAGGGGAAGAAGACCGAGACCGTCATCGAGACGCTCAATTCTCCCGGCGTCCAAGCTGCCGCAGCTGCTGAGGTTTGTTGCATGTGTCATCGACTCCCAAAGATCTGCACTGACTAATACGTCTTCAAGCAGGCTTCCGGGGACTCTTCCAATGAAGCCCACCTTCCTCCTCTCACGCCCTCCGCGCTTGCCCTCTCTCGCATTGCACCTCTCGACTGGGATACACACCAACAAGCCATTGTCGCTGACCCTTCGCTCTTGACAGAAGAGACGGGAGATGCACTGATGGTTGAAGCCTTCAGTCAGGCAATGAAGGGAACAAAGGTGGGTGAGAAGAGGGCGACGGAGTGCATCGAGAAGGCGCTTGTTGGGCAGTACTGCAGGAGCCTCGGCCGGGATGGTGTTGCGCTCTTTTTCCGGCGGTGCGTCGCTTGTCGCTACTCTCGCCCATGCCTATGCTAATTCTCGTCTTCTGTACAGGATGACCAACTCCAACCACGCCGCCTTGCGAATCTTCCTCGACGACGTCGCCAAGAAGTCCGACTGTATCATCTTGCGCGCCAAAGTCGTTGCCGCCGAGCGTGCCGAAAAGGCCGCTGCCGGCTCGGAAGGCGTCGAGCAGATCCAGCTCGTCCCCGCTTCTCCCGACCAAACCATCACCTTCGAGATCCCCGACGGCCCGCCCCCCGAGAACCTTGAGATCACGGGCGAAGGATCCAAGGAACTCGATCCGCAACTCGTCCGCGACTTCTTGCAAAAGCGTTGGGACATTTTCCAGGCTTTCCCGAAGAATCTCAAGGCTGCCCTGTCGAAGAAGAGCCTCGACAAGGTCAACAAGGTCCTCGGGAGGATGAGTGTAGAGGAGGCGGAGATCGTTGTGGAGCAGCTGCAGGAGGCCGGCATCCTCTTGATGAGTCTGTCACTCCTCCCTTGCCGTGCAGGCAACTGACCTTATCGTAACCCATCAGTTCGAGACGCCCGGCATTGTCGACCAGACCGGGAAATCCGGCAAGGACCCGACTGTCACGGTTCCCATCCCATCAAAGGACGGCGCATCCGGCTCCGTACCGGTCCAGCAGACAGAGGTGCTCAACCTGGAAGACTCGCCTGACTGAGCAGGCAGTGTACAGTGTAGCTTGTCTGTCTGCCACTGCATCTTTGCAACTTGATCTGGGGTTCCTTTGAGATTGGCAGCTCGGCAATTGTTGTCTGGGGTTGACTGAATGCTATCAGAGGCAAGTTACTTTCATCAAAACGGTTTCAGAATGGCAGATGCATCCCAACACGGTTGGCATCTCGCTTTTCCTCCGACAGCTCACTTGACTCTCCTCACTGCCTCCATGATAGACTTGAGAGCTTGCTCTGGTGGCTACACTGGGTGTAGGCAAGCTCGTCTGGCTGTCTGTCAAGGTGCGCCTCCTCCTCTCTGCCGCTTCGTTCCGCAGGTCGTGTGAGCTGACCCATCACCTTGTAGTGCTTTGCAACGGCTTGTTCTCCTATCAACTGCTCATATTGCCATATCCGCCGCTGGACTTCACGCTTGTCAAACGCAAGCTGTTCCCGGGCAAAGGGACCAAGGCCCTCTTGCTCCTGATTATCAACTTCATGCTACCCTGTCTGCTGTTCTCCAAGTTGCGCCACACTTTGCATACTTTGTCTAGACCAGAGCTGAGAGGAGCAGCATTGTTGGCAGATGTCAGAGTAAGGATGTGTCTGAAGAGAAGTGGAGCAAGACGGGGGGAGAGGTGGAGCAGCGGCAATTGGTGCCTCACACTACGGACAAGGTTGTCTGTGTTTGATGGCTCCACAAAGCAATCAATACACTACATGCCTGCCAACTACCGCACCTATAACCGGCCTGTCAGCCTCCAACCGTCTGCCTCTCGAGGCAGTACCGACCAACCTTTCCTTTGGATCAGCGCCACTTCAGGTGGACCAGGCAGCTGCATCAGATGCACAGGCATTCAAAGCATCCCTCTCCAGCATCCAAGCACGACTATTCTTGACTCAATCTGGCACCTCCAGCGCCCTGTTGTTACATCCCCCCCGATCATGCCACCCTCATCATTGCCCTCCTTCCCAAGTTGCGCTTCCTCTTTGTCCTGCCAATTTCTTCAGGTGCCATTTTTTTTGTCCTGACGGCGCCAGACGGTCTTCCCCCCCTCGTGGTCCTGTACGACAGGGCCTTCTTCAACGGCGCGGTACCCGTTCCGCTTGGATTGATGGTCCTTAGCACTTCTATTGCCAAGCTTTGACTTTTGAAACTGCTGTCGCAGCTGCCGCTTGCAAGCATGGTTGCACTGGCTCTCATCCGCCTTGTCAGCATCCCAGTCTGCTGCTTCTTCTCTGCACAGCAGCTTGTCAAGATTGCAGTGCTGCACCTTGGTGCAGTCTCTTCTTACCTTCCTGTGTACAGTCACACTCAGGCAAAGACACCCATATCAACGTACTGCTTGAGGGGGGAAGAGAAAATGCATGTAATCGCTGGTTATCAATGAGAGCATGAAGAGATAGGGAATCAATGGAGCACACCTGGTTCTACCTATGAGAGCGTGAAGAGGAAGAAAAAGAGAGTGTGCGCACATGAATTTCTGCCATCCATTCCTTGATCCCCCTAACTCCCCTTAGCCGCTGCTTACCACTCAACATTGCAAAGTGTGAGCCTCATGCCAGGCACAGTAAGCAACAGGTAATCTTCAATCTGCAAGCCTTCGTATACACGAGTCACAGCACCCATCTCCGTGTAGTGATACAGGTGTCTCGTATGTTTCTTTCACCACAGTTTGATGGCAAGGGCTGTGAAGTGTGATGCCCTTGACTCGCAAAAAGAGGAGTGCAGCCAAGGACAAGCCTCCTCGAGCCCAAAAAGCTATTGGCCCAACCGTGATTCGAACACGGGTTTCCGCAGGATCTCGAGGGCCACAATGCGGTGCCCTAACCAACTAGACTATTGGACCTTGCTTGTCTCCGTGGAGAACCGTTGCAAATATAATTGCTCACAGGCCGGTGAGCGGGCAGGCTGTTCGCCACACTGCTTGATCCCCCCTGGTGCAGCGGCAACCTCTTCCCAGCCACTCCCTTGCACCTGCAAGCTGCCAAAGGGGCAGGTAGACAGCACACTCCGCTTCTCTCTCACATGCAAAGACCCTGATCACGAAGCAACGCGCAAATCTATTGTGCAGGACGTGTAGGGGGACGAGCGGTGCGGACGTGCATGTACAGAAGGGGGAAAGACTATGTAACAGGTGAGCGACAACGGGGAGGTCCAGCCTCGCGCAAGTTTTACTGGTCGCTGATGTTGTTGAGGATGAATGAGCTGCGGCGCGAGAGGTTGACCGAGCTGCGGCCCGAGACGTTCTCCGAGTTGCGCCGCGACATGGCCATCGAGCTGCGACGCGAGAGCGAGCCGAGTGCGCCGCGAGAGGGGCCGGCATACATGTCGGGCCAGAACCGTTGCTCGAGGTAGAGGACGTATTTGAACATCTGCGGGCGCGCGGGTTAGCTTGCCCGTCTCGCCAAGTGAAGTGAAACATGCGCACCTCCTCAGCCCTCTCCCACGCGTCTGTGCCCTCAACCAAGTCGAGCTTCTCGACCTCCTCGCCGCACTTCTCCACAAAGAGGTCAAACTCCTCGCTCGTCCAGTTCTGGATGAGCTCGGTGATGGCAGCCGAAGTTCGTGGGTCGGAGGGGTTGCGCGAGGAAGAGCTGCTGGGCGACAGGGAGCCGGCGTATTTCCAGGCGAGGTTGTAGAGCTGCAAGGCGAGACCATCGTTAGTCACCGTCTCTCTGCCGCCCAACCGCTCCATCAACGCATCCCGCAGAGCCTGAGTCTGGCAGGGAACCCGCGCGCACCTTTTCCATCGTCCACAGCAGCACGATCGCCTCTTCCAAGTTGCCGCCGTTCCTGCTCGCCTCCGCGCCCGTCGCAATCATCAAGTCGATGTACGCCCTCGTCGTCGGTCGAAGGACCTGGCCCTGGAGACTGCCGATGGGCCGCTTGAGCTTGTTGTCGCGCTCCTCCTCATCCGGGCTGACTTCGAGGTCGACGAGGTATTTGGACGAGAGGTCGTCGAAGAAGGTTACCTCGCGGTCGATGTTGGAGAGTGCGTAGGAGAGGAGCGAGAGGGTCTTGTGCGCGTCGGCCTGGTGAGGGAAGGAGGACAAGGGGAGGGCCGAGATGAGCGAAGCTGTGTGGGAGGGCACGAGTCAGCCCGACCGCCTCGCTCCGCATCTCTCCTGCACACTCACCGATGAACTTGGGGTCTGCAGGAGCGGGTAAGGGCGGAAGAAGCGGGTCAGCACCGCCTCGATGTCATCGATGTTGTCGCGAGAAGGGCCTCGAGGGAGACGGGACGCTGGCGCGCCAGCGTTCCGAGCGACAACAGAGAACAGACTGTCTGACGCGACCCTAGTGCGCCCGGTGTCGCCTGGCGCGTCACAAGTGCGCGCTCCGAATGGGGTGTGGTCGGTTCGTTCGGGGGTGGACGAGGAAGCGCATGCACTCACATCCGTGGAGGGCGTAGCAGCGGTCCTGGGTAAGCCACTCGCTGAGCTTGTCGCGCGTAAGCTCGTGTCGCCCTGCGGCTGCGAGGAACGGGTGCTGGGTCGCGACGGTGATCTCGTCCGACTGTTTCGAGCGCGGGAAGCGAGCAGGAGTCAGTGGACGGGGGACGGGGCGCGTGCAGTGGTGGCTGGGTACGCACGTAGCGCTCGAGCATGGTCTCTGTGAAGGTCGGCATGGCTGGCAGAGGTTCGAGGGTGCGTGTGTTGCGAGATGGAAAGAGAGAGAGAGACGGACGAACGTCAGCGAGACAAGCTGGCGCAGCACTCGCTGTGGACTGGACAGGTGCTGGGAGGACAGTAGAACATACTGAGCTCTCTAATGTCACCGAACAACCCAGGCAAGGAGAGAAGGGCACGCCCCTGTTCTGCTCGTCGTCTCCTCGTCTGCGGCGTCGGCTGCTTCCTCGTCTCCTGCTCGACACCCGGCGACGTAAGTGGAACGATTTCTTGCTAGCTCGACCCTGCACGCTCTGCCACTCGCCTGCGACCCACCCACCACACGACCTCCTCTCGGCTCTCGTCGATCCCATCTCGTTCAGTCCTCCCCGCTCCCGGCCAGCAAAGCACCTGTCGGCACCCGATACAGACGCCAGAACTGATCTCGTGCGCACACTCTCGCAGCCGGCTTCCCTCGCCGCCTCAAAGTCCCTTCCTCCGCCTATCTCTCGTCGGCCGTACCTGTTCTCGGCCAGCCTCTCTTCTTCGCGTTCAAGCGGGTGCGTGCGCTGCTGTCAGTCACTGCACGGGAACCGACTTGCGGTCCCAACGGGTGCAGGCGGAAGCGGATGCGTCGAGGGCCTGGCTCTTTGCCGGATGCTCGAGGACCACCGGGATTGTTCAGGACAGCCCACGGCGGTCGGAAGAAGGCTCTCCCGCACTTCACGATGCTCAGAGAGGGCCTGGGTTGATCCGGGGTGACGCAGGGACCGTTAAAGTGGCGGCAATCGGCTAGCTGTACGGGTTGTCGACGAGGCGGGCTGGGACAGGCTGAAAAGGGCATACGGCTGTGGTTGTTGACCAGTCGACCTTCGTTCACACCATACGCAGGTGCAGCGACAGCCCTCTCCGCGTTCAGCACCATCGACATTGTCATACGCCCTTTCCCTTAATCCCCTCGAACCGCCATGTCCTCCCTCACTCCTAGCGGCAAGGTGATCGGCCCGAAGCAGCGCAAGGTGGCGCTTTTGGGAAGCAGGAGTGTCGGTGAGTCTGCTCCCTCTCGTATCCCTCGGCGGGAGAGTCTGAGGGCGCGGATGAGGTAGCCGCGGGATGCGGTTGCGAGCGCGGGATCAGCGCAGGCGCACGGCGACAGCCTCAAACGAAGTGCGAGGCGTGACTGGAAGCACAGCGGTACTCGTAGACGTAGGCGCTGACCACAACTTTTTGCTCGACCCGCCCACAGGCAAATCCTCCCTGACGGTCCAATTCGTCGACGAACACTTTGTCGACAGCTACTACCCCACGATCGAGAATACCTTCCAGAAGCTCGTCAAGCACAAGGGCCAGGAGTACCAACTCGACATCATCGACACGGCCGGCCAGGTGCGCAGTTTCACTCGCTCGACATTCAGCAGGGACTCTAGCTAACCCTTTTTGTGCACTCCCTCGTAGGACGAGTTCTCGATCCTCTCTTCACGCCACGCCGTCGGCTTGCACGGCTGGATTCTCGTCTACTCGGTGTCGTCCCGCTCGTCCTTCGAGATGTGCTCGATTATCCGCGAGAAGATCCTCAACTACACGGGACGCGAGTCGGTGCCGATGGTGCTGGTCGGCAACAAGTCGGACTTGGCAGTACAGCGGTGCGTCCCCGATTGTCCATCTCGGACGCAGGCGCAGCTGAATCTCCCGTTCGCCGGCGCAGGCAAGTGTCGAAGGAGGAGGGCGCGGCGCTCGCTGCTAGCTGGGGCTCGACAGCGTTCCTCGAGACGTCGGCAAGGACGGGCGAGAACGTCCAACGCGTGTTTGAGCAGATTGTCGTCCAGATCGAGGCGGAGCTGAATCCGGCGCCCGCACCGGCGCAGAAGGGCGGCTGCGTGCTCATGTGATGGAGGAGAAGACTTGTGTTCGGATGGGCTTGTGCTGGCGTTTTATCTTCGGTCCTCTCGGCGGGAGGACCTTTCCTCGACGGACCCCCTCTCCTTCCTTCTGCTCTCGTCTCCTCGCTCCCTTTTTGCTGTACTCGCTTCGCCCGTGACACTAGTGTGATAGACCCTGTAACCTGGACCGCGTTCTTGTCGGATTTGGGCGCGGCGGCAAAGGCGAAGCGCTGGTCCGGCTCCTTCCGCCGGCAAGGACGGCGCGGGACTTTCAGTTTGGCCTCCGCACTCTGCTTCGCTTGCAACCTGCGCGACTGCTGACAGCAATGGGCGACGCTCTGCCGCCTTATCCCGGAGCATCGGCTGCACACCTCGCAGCAGCCGCGCTCGCGGCGTCCTCGTCTGGCGTCCCCACTCACAACTGGAACTCGCCCTCGCTGCCTCATGCCGACCTCTCGACGTCGCACGGCCTGCCATCCGCACCAGGGACCGCTTCGAGCGGCAAAAGCTCGACGCGTCCTGCCAACGGCGCCGGCGCGACAGCTCGCGCGGTCGACTACACCCCCAGGCGAACCGGAGAGGGTTCAGCGATCAAGCGCTCTGCGAAGGCATGCATGTACTGCAGGAAAGGCAAGGCGCGCTGCGACGGTCTCGACAGCTGGCCGTGCAGGAGGTGCAGGGAGAATGGGGTCGAGTGTGTGTTCGAGGGTTTGACCCAGGACGAGCTGAGGAGCAGGATGAGCGTGAAGCGCGAGGCGCAGGCGGAGGGAGGGAGCCTTGACGGCACGGGGAGTGTGTGAGTGTCTCTTTGACGCAATGAGGGCGTTGCTCCTTGGCGGCGCTGACGTGACTTTCACACACACCAGGTTCGCTGGACCTGTTTCCGCCGCTCCACCTGGTCAAGGCATGCTCGAATCACGCCTCGCACGTCTTGAAGCAGAGCTCGACTTCATTCGCTCCGCTACGAGGTCGCACACGGCGCGACTCGACCGTTTGGAGGACGGCAGCGTCGGTAACTCCAGTTCTCCCGGTGGTCAGTCGTCCGCTCACTCCGTCGACAAGATGTTCCCTATTTATCTTAGGTCACTTCGCAGAATCGAGTCGCTCCCGCTCGTACCACCACGTCAAGAAGGAGAGTCAGGAGTTCGAGACGTTCGCCCGCGACGCCTTCGAGCTGTACGCACCCTTCCCTAAGCCCACCTGCGCGAGCATGCTGACGATGGGCCGCGCAGGTTCTGGGAGATGTATGCTCCCCTTGCCCCGTACATCGTTCCGACAACCGACACCTTCGAAGCCGTGCGCGACCGCTCGCCGCTTCTCATGCATGCTATCGTGTGGGTTGACTACCTCGAGCGCTCTTTGAGACAGTACTAATTGCATCCTCGCAGAGCTGTGGCGTCGCGACATTCGCTTGAGAAGCATCTCGTCGATTTCAACCGTTCCGAGGCGCTACGGCTAATGCGGGACACGCTGTATGGCGAGAAGCCGGTGACGATAGACGATGTGGGTTCTCTCCCGAGCTGTCCCGCACGACACGTCGGACTGACGCTTTCGTCCCTCCCAGCTCAAGGGAATGTTGGTGTGGAATGCGTGGCTGGTATGTTGGCTCGTCTCCTTGCTCTGGGGCTCTCCTGATCCTGATTCGGCCCAACAGGGCAAAGGAGCGCCGCCTGGGCATACTGTCACCCTCGCTCTCCAGCTCGACCTGCCGAGGGTGCGTCATCACGACCTTCCGGTCACTCTGCGAACGCTGACGGGTGTCTCGCACGCTAGGCGCTCGACCGTCTCCTTGCATCCATCTCGCAACCGCAAGCCGAGGCAGCGCGCGAGTTTGAGGAGCTCATGCCAGGCGTACGGGTGTGGTTGACGCTTTACGCCGCGGATCTCTGGTGCGCTCGTTCATTCGAGCTTCGTCTTTCCGCTCACAAGCTTATTGGGAACCCGACAGGCTCTCGTTCGCCATGGCTCGACGCTCGTTGGTCACGATTGACCTCTCCATCACGTCCTCTCGCCTTCTCCTGCACTTCGGCGCCCTTCGACCTGTCGACGCCCGCCTCATCGCCCAGTCCGAACTCGTCACCATTCTCGGCGTCGTCCAGGAGTCGTTCCTCAAGACACAGCGGCAGTCGGTCGAGCAGACTGTCCACGTCGTTCAGCAGGCGAACGCGCACCTCGAGCAGTGGATAACGACCTGGAGTGCGTGGACCCGAGGACAGGAGGAGGAGACGGGCAACTTTGTCCTCTCCAGCTTTTCCGTCATGCTGCAGGCGGCGCGCTTCTACGCCAACACGTTCGGCTTGCGCGACATCACTTCGTCGGACCAGCTCCTCCCGATTCACATGCCCTGTCTGAGGACCGCCCTTGATGCCGCAGTGCGCATTCAAGGTGAGATCATCCAGCTTCCATCGAGTACGCTCACAATCTGACGGCTCTCGCGCAATTCTTAGGCATCCACCGCGCGCACAAGATCGCCCATTCAGCTGAGATGACGCTGATCGTTCTCTCGGTGCGTAGTACATCTCCAATCTTGTGAAGACACTAGCTGACCTCCCTCTCCCCTTCACACTACAGAGCTCGGCTCTCTTCCTCCTAAAAATGATCAAGCTCGCTCCCGCCGCCTTCTCTCCCGTACCCTCGCCGTCCTACCCATCCTTCGCCGCGCTGTCCGCCCGCTCCTTCGGCACGATGGCTGCACACCTGTCGCCGGCGGATCCGCTGCAGTCGGCATCTTCGCCTGACACCGCGGCTTCCCCTCTCCTCGTCGCAACGCCGTCGATCGCCCAAGCCGTCGATGCTGCCCGCCACTCTGCCGCTCTTCTCGCCTGCGCACCGGCGAAGCAGCGAAGCTATGCCCACGCAGTGCAGATGGCGCTGCAGAAGCTCGAGGTCGACCTCCCGCCTACATTGCCGCCGATCACGTCTTCACCAGGCTTCGGCGATCAGGCTGGCGGCGACAGGAAGCGCCAGAGAGTCGCCGAAGACGCCTCCGAGATGCGGCGACGGATGTCATCCCTCGACGAGACTGTCGCGGGCAGCGCGAATCTCGCATCTCCGCTTTGGGCGCCAGCCTCGACGAGCGAGGCGCAGCTGCCGCCTGCGGGCGACGCAGCCGCGATGATGTGGGGACTCGGCGCTGGTCCGGAGGACCCGTTCGCAGCTGGCGGGAGCGCCTTCCGCAATGGAGACGCCGCTGCGTCTGAGAAAGACCTGGACGAGTTGACCATATCTTCGCTGATTGGGACCGACAGGTACGTCTGCTCCCGCTCGCTTCCGGTTTCTGCTTCGCTGACGACACCCTTCTGCAGTTTCTGGACGTGGACGAGCAGCCTCCCTGGCGAGAGCATCCAGGCCTTGGTCTCGTAGGACCTCTGTATGTATGATGGGTATTTGTGTGGAAGTTTGGGATGTGTCGTCCAGAGTTTTCGTGTTGTGCTCATCAGCGCCCATAGTGAGCGGTCGAGCAAGTAGCTCACGCCGCAACAGCAAGAAAAGCCTGCGATTTGACCTTGTTGCATTCCGGCTGTGAACGACTGGAGATAGGTACTCAATACAGGATTACGAGTGCGAGTGCGAATGCGAGCTTGCGAATGCGGTTCCAGGCGAAAGTCGAAGGGTATTAGGGCGGACGCGGGTAAGTCATCTAGAAGCCTTCGTTGTGCAACTTGCGACAGAGCGCGACGGTCATGCGCTCGAGAGAGAACTTCTCCTTCTTCGGACGCTGCTCGTCCTTCGCCTTATCCGAGGCCGACGAGGAGAGGCCGGGGGCGCCGTAGAGGAGGCGCGTGGCGGCGTTGTTGATGACGGTGTCGGCGACAGTTGCGGCGGCAGAGGTGACAGTCGACGAGACGGAGGAGAGGGGCGAGGTGGAGGAGGAAGCGGGTGCTGGTGGAACTGTGCTGGAGAAGGCGGGCGTTGATGCAGGAGTCGGCGCGGGCGAGTTCGGCAGGGGCGGCAAGGGCTTGGTCGGCGTGGCGTCCTTCGACGAAGATGCAGGCGCGTTCGAGCCAACCGACGTGCCGGGGAGCTGGCGGATTATCCACGAGGCCGCCGAAGCGAGCCCAGCGGCGTCATCCGCCTGGTCCTGCTGCGAGGGTGCGGCAGAAGCCTTCGGCGGCTCTGCCACATCCTTGCTTGCAACAGACGGCGCCGGTGACTGTCCCTCCGCCTTTACCGTCGCCGGCGTCGCCTTTTTCTTCCCGTTACCGCCGCCGACGAGTTTGCCGACGAGGGCGTAAACGTCCTGCCACTGCCAGCCCTTCTCCTCCTTCTCTTGATCGCTCGACGACTCGGCATGCGCGCTTGCCACGCGCTCCGCCTGGCCTCCCTCCTTCGGCTCCTTCGTCTCCCTGATCTCCCGCCTCGTCACCTCCTCGATGGCATGCTTGCTCGCCTCGGCACTGCTGAGCCCGCTCGATCCGCGCATCTCCCAGTGGTCACAAGCATCGAAGGTGCCGAGGAACTCGCCCCATCGTGCGCTGTCGATGCTGACGAGGCCATCGTTACCGCGCCATTCGGGCGGAGCGGCACAGCCCTGCGCAACGCGCTGGGCCTCGGCCCCATCGAGGACGAGCTTCGGGAGCCAGAGCGGGTGCCAGATGGGGATCTTGTCGGTGCGTGCGGCGATGGAGAAGTACCGGACGTCGTCGCGGTTGGGAGTCGAGGGATTGAAGACGTCGCGGAGGAAGGACGGGGTGAGGTTGGCGTAGGCGGGAGAGTCGAGCAACTTGAGGAGGTAGCCGGTAACGCTCGCCGAGAGGTTGAAAGGGAGACCCGGGAAATGGCTCGACGCATTCTTGACCTTCTCAGCCGCCGCCTCAGCCTGTTTGGCAGCTTCCGCCGCCTTCTTCGCCTGCTCGACCTGCTCCCGCGAAAGGATGGGCGACTTGAGCGAGTAAGGAAGCGGGACGGAGGCGTCGTCAGGCTCGTCGAGGTTGGACGAGATCGATGGGCGCAGGTTCAACGCTTCGTGCGACTCGAACTCGGTGCCGATGCCGATGTTGGCGCGACACCAGGCCATGAATTCGGAGCCGCGATGCGGCGTGCACATGGTCGTAAGGGAGCGGGGATGGTAGAGCGTCGGACGGATGTTGGAGATCAGGTAGCGCGCATCGAGTCCTCCCTGCAAGTCGTGCGATCAGCATGGGCCTTCCAGCCACGGCGCATATCTACGCACCATCGAGTGACCGACAAAGTTGAGGTCGCGGTTGAGCAGCGAAGGCGTGTCCTCGAGCGCCTTATGCAGGACATAAGCGCGGTTCTTGATGGAGCCAGTCCTGCGGTCGCAACAACTCAGCCAGGGAAAAGCGGTCGCTAAAGCTTCAGCGCGCACCCTGGGACGGCCGTCACGAACACTTCGGCGCCAATCTTGCCGCGCAGGATCTTGAGCAGGTCGCCCCAGTAATGCAACCGGAAGAAACCCGGTCCGCGTACGTCGAAGCCGTACAAGCCTGCGGTAGGACACGTCAGTAGCTGTCAAGTGGAGAGCTGCGCAATCTGCTCACCGTGGCACAGGACGATGGGGAAGCGCGGCTTCAAGATCGGATCGTACAGCACAGGGTGCCGGACGAGCTCGTTGATCTCTCCGTAGGGGGACGGAGGACGAGGAGGAGGCTTCGACCGTTGCGCGGGCTTGTCCAGCGTCTTGACGGAGTCAGCGGAATCGGAGAGAGGCGGAAGCACAGCTTTGTCGGCAGGAGGTGCATTCGAGACGGCATGTTGGCTCGCCTCCCTCGTCGCAGACACGTCTGTAGGACGCGGCTGAGCCTGCGACGAATCCGCTGCCCGACTGTCGCTGAAGGAGAAGTGAGGGGGTAGTCGAGCGTCGCCGTGAGTGTCGAGGGCAGGTTTGCCCAAAGTGCGTGCGGTCGAGAACGGTCTTGCATGCGAGGATAAGGCGGCCGATCTGTCGCGAAGGAATCCCGCTGTTGCCTGCAAGCCGTCTCGTGTCCGTGAAGGGCGTGAAGGCGCGCCGGATCCAGTCGAACGTGTGGAAGGCGGTGTTGGGGAGGAGAGGGTGTCGAGGGACTGAGGGCGCGCCCCGAGTGCCGCCGGATCCGCCGAGTCCAGCAGAGACGGCGTTTCCACATAGCTGAACCGCAGCTCGACCGCCGCAGACACTGTGCCGCGCCGAACGGCTTCCTCCTCATCTCCTCCGGCGACAATCCGCCGACGCCGCATCTTCCGTCTCACGCCCTCTTGAGGTCCGTCAAGGAGCCCTGGAGCTACTCGGCCCGCATGACACCTAGGGGACTCCACTCCGATGGCCCTTGCAGCTGGTGTCGAGGTGAGAAACGCGGCCGTCGTCGAGGGAGAGGTGGTTGCGACCGCGGCAGCAGCGCAGCCAGCTGTCAGGCGGATCGCTGCGGCGGAGGTAGATGCAAGTGTGGTCATGCTCGAGGCGCAGCGAGACTAGCGGAGCATGAAGTGCGGTTGGGACGAGTCGAAAGAAGGATCGCTTCGCTGACGTCGGGACTTCACCCGGCGAAGGGGAAGTTGCTCTCTTTCGTTCTGCTCTCGCTTGCGCATGGAGAGCTGCGCGGATTCCCGTACGCTGCTGTCAAGAGACGTTGCAATGCAAGGAATGATTCCGTAAGATCCGGGCTTTTGAGGCGACGAGACGAGGAGGTGCAAGAGATGCGATTTTGGCGGACAGGCGCGAGATTGAGGCGAAGGGGAATGCGATTCGATTGTTTGCGAGTTGGAAAGGAAGTGAAGGAAAGTTTGTTGGCGTAGCTGTGTAGGCGGATCGGCAGGGAAAGGAGGGCGAGCGCGGAGGGAGACGGCGCCTAATCCTCAAGGATCTGTGTGACGGACTCGTCAGTCTCAGGACACCTCCAAGCCGAACAGACCCGGAAGTTGAAGCAGACTCACGTCTCCCATCTCGTACGCTCCGAGACGGCGCCTTCGCGCTTCGTCCTTCGCAGCCTCCAGGGCCTTGACGACCTGCGGGTATGCTGCGCGGAGGCGCGATCGCTGGTCGATGCGTGCGAGACCTTCGCGGACGAGCTGGACGTTGATCGAGTTCTCGTTGGCGGAGAGCGAGTGGGGGTCGTTCGGGTCGAAAAGCGAGAGGTGCAGGAGGTTGGCTTCGCGCGCGTCAATGTTGGCGACGAGCTGCTGGCCCTCGCAGATCTCCCGGAAGCGCTCAATCGAGTCGGCACCGTAGTCTGTGCGCCAGTCGAGAAGCGAGACGAAGGACAGCGTAGCCTCCTTTGCTTGGCCTTCGAGCGACTTGAACTGCGCGGCGAGAGGGCGGAGACGAGAGAAGGGCAGGACTTCGACGTTGCCGTCTGTGCACGAGGGAGGTCAATCGGAAAGGTCAGGCAGAATGTACGGCGGAAAGACCTGGCGCACAGTCGATGTAGAGAACCTCCGCCTGCTTCTTCGCTGGGTTGCTCTTGCGGACCTTGGCACGGTACCACGCGTTGTCAACGGAGAACTGCGCCGAGACGAGCTCGCCAGAGCGAGGAGTGAAGCCGGCGGGCGTAACGTCGGCCTCCTTGTGGAAGACGGTCAGGTCCGACATGAGCTTCTCGAGCTCGGGAATGCCTGTACGGACCGAACAGTGTCAGATTCCCCTTCGCGCAAAGGATAGGTAGACGAAGATGCGAACGCACCGCCGTTCTGCAGGATCTGCACCGCGAACCTGAAAGGCTCGGTCTCCGTTCCGCCCCGAACCTCGCTGACGACTACGTCGACGTACTCCTTCCTGGGCTGCACAGACTGTCCAGCAGCGGCCGCGTCGCCGTTTGCGAGAGCCTCGGCCTCGGGGTCGTAGTTGGACCAGAGGTTCTTGCGAGCCTTCTGCGCCTCCTCCTGCGCAGTCCAGAGCTCCTTGGCGTTCGAGTACTCGTCAACGCGGGCGAGACCTTCGCGGACGAGAGCAGCCGCGACGTCCTGACCGTTGTGGAAGAGCTGCACGGTGCGGGTTGTCAGCGTCGCTCCGGAGAAAGAGCTTGCAATAGAGCTCAGCGATCCGCCGACTTACCCTGCCGATGAAGCCGCCACTCTTGTCGGTTGCCTCGACCTGCACCTCGACGTCGCGCTGCAAGAGCCGCCTCGACGAGAAGGTCGCAGCCTCTGCACCGTAGGGCTCGCTCTTCTCGTTTGCGTTGCGAGCGGTACGAGGAGCACGGATGTGCGAGAGGACGAGCGTGAGCTTGGCGTCTTGCTTGGGAACCCAGATCTGCGTGCGAGAAACGCGTCAGTTGAGATGCGCGAGGCGCGCTTGAGAGCGGATCGCGCACCTTGAAGCGACTGCCGGATGCGACATAGTCGACGACAGCAGGGAACCGGCCCATGCGCTTGAACTGGCTCAGGAACGGCGCAGCCTTGTGCGCCGACTCGCTCGCGTCGACGATCCTGGGCGCAGGGAACTCCTTGCCCGAGTGAATGCCACGCTTGTCGTCGATCGCACGCGCTTCGGCAGCCATGAGGCGATCGTAGTCGGACGAGCGCTGGTCGTCGCCCTGCCTGTGGCGGAGGACGCCGAGCAAGCCGCGCTCGACGAGGACCTCGGCGACGTTCTGGCCGTTCGGCAGGCGGACGGTCGCGCATTCGCGCTCCTCGTAGTCGCCCTCGGCAGGCTTGACATAGTCAATAACGACGTTGACGGGCTTGCCGATGAGCTTCTTGCGGAGCATCTCCTTGCCCTCGAGCTGGAGGCCGGCGAGCTTGGCGTCGGACGGGCGAGGCTGGCGGACGGATGCGAGCTGCACGCGACGTTCGGTCGCTTCGCCTTCCTTGACAATGCTGAGCATGTCGGCGCCCCAGACGCGCATAACGATAGCCGTGAAGCCCTTGGCGGCAGACGAGCCAGCGCCGTTCGTCGCGGGCATGACAGCGTCCTTGAAGAGGCCCCGGCGGTTCGCCTTGGCCTCAAGCTCGCCGCGGCGCAGCTCGGACATCATGTTGGGCGTCGGCGAAGAGGCGAGGAAGCCAGCGTGCCAGTCGACGATGCGGGCGAGTCCGACGCTCATGAGGAGTGCCGCAATGTTGCCCGCCGGGTGGTGGACCGTGCCGAGGAACAGGGAGACTTGCTGAGGCTGCTGAGAGGCTGAAGAGGCGGATCCGTTGCTGAGCGAGGCGGGTGCAGGCGTGGGCGTAGGCAAGCTGAGGATGGTGACCTTGATGAGGCGCTGCAGGAGACGGGACTCGACAAAGAAGCGACTCTCGTCTCCGAGCTCCTCGCCTTGCAGCTCCTCGCGGCCAGACAGGTTGCCCGAGCGAGGTGCGCGGATGCCGGCGATACCGAGGTTGATCATCTGGTGGTGCTCCGGCGACAGGAGGAGGCGAACGCGGACCTGCGAGCCGTTGGTGACACCCTCGACGATGGCATCCAGCGACTTGCCCTTGTACTGCTGGAGGAAGGCGACCGGGTCCTCGGGCATCATGTAGTCGACTTGGCGCTGCGGCGCCCTGTCCGAACTCCACAGTCCCCTGCCGACGATCTTGGCCTCCTCCTCGAGGTCGCGGAGGTACGCACGGCGCTGCGCAACAGCCTGGCCGTCCTCGTTGTCGCCGTGAGCCTGGTCGCGCTTCGAGCTGTCGCGAACTTTGGCCCATCCGCTGCGGACGAGTTCGGCTGCGACGTCGAGCTCGCTGCCATCTGTCGGGTTGATGACATAGACGATGCCGAACTCGAGAGGCTGCGAGGGGTTCGAGGCGGAGGGAACCGTGTACGAGATGCTGAACGAGACTTCCTTGCCTACGACGAGCGAGCGGAGGAAGTCGCGCGACTCGAAAGCCCAGGGCTCGTCCTCGCGGTCGCGGGAACCGAGGCGCGGCGCAGTCAGGTCGGCGAGGTGGAGAACCTTCTCACTACAAGGCGAGGAGGAAGAGGTCAGTTCGCGTGCGCTCACCCGACACTGCAATTCCGCATTCGTCTTCCGAGCGAGTCTACCGCGCTGAGCATCCCCAGCCATTGGACAATCCCATCCAGCTTCGCATCGCCGTCGACAGGTCGCGTGCAGCGAGCGGGTCCTCGAACAACGTCTCCGAAACCCGCCTTACCGTGGAAGGGCGTTGGGTTGCACGACCTTGCCGCGCAAGACGATCGTGTCACCGCTGAGGACGCTCTTGGCGATGGCGGCCAGCGAGGTGGGCGTTTCGGTCGCGGGAGCAGACATGGCGGAGCGAGCGGGCGATGCGAGGCGGCGGGAAGGGTGGACGACGGTTTGTGACGGCTCAGGTGACCCTGCAAACACTTTCTAGCGCAGTCTGGTGAGCCTAGCTGGTGAGCGAGATGAGCAGGTGTGGGACAACTTCGCGAAGTCCACGTCGAGGAGAGGTTTGGCGTCGCCGATGAGCTGCAACTGCTTCGGGACGCGGTCTGACGCGCTCAGAGACGACCACTACACGCCACTCGGCATGCACAACCCGCAGCCAACCCGTCCAGGCGACGAGCTCGTCGTCCTCTCCAAGGACGGCAACAAGCCTGTCAACCTCGCCCTCACGCAGGACGGGCTGGTCGTGCTCAAGTCCAAGAAGGGTGAGTACGGGTCTGACACCTCAGCGACGTGTACGCGGCAGCACAGCATGCTGACACTCCCTTGTCCTCGACTCGCTCCCCACCTTGCCGAACACGGGCATCGCTCTCGCTCAGGATCGCTTCATTCGCTCAAGCTGTCGAGTCGTACGCTTAGAGATTCCATGCTTCGGCGACACGAGCTGAGCGAGGCCACTTTACCTCGAAACAGCTTCGTCCACCTCGAGTCGCTTGATCCCCTACCTCAACCTCCTCTCCGCCCGCCTCAGCTCGCCTGCGTCGACCAGCACCAGCAAACCGACTTCTGAACTTGAGATCATCGTCGCAGCGCTCGTCCCCCGCGAAAAGGGGAAGGCAAACTCGCCTCTCAAGCTCTGGATCCTGAAAGGCCGCGTCTACGACAGCCATGCATCGACCGGGAACGCGATGGGAATGGTTGCAGACGAAGAGAGCTCAGGTGGGGAGAGTGTACGGCTCAAGGCGGCAAGGTGGTGCAGGGAAGCCGAGGAACGAGCTTACGCGGGTCAGTCTGCGACTGAGTTACTTGATTCCTCGCTATTGACGGTCCCTCACGCATGCACAGGCATCGACCGATCGAAGGAACGCCTGTACTGCGTCGTAAATCCCGCCGGAGGGAAAGGGTTGGCCAAGAAAGTATGGGAGGAGGCCGTCAAACCGATGCTTGATGCTGCTGGATGCGCTTACGACGTCGCCTGTGCGTCTCCAGCCCATGTCAACAGCGTGCCAATTCGTTGCTGACCCTGTACTTCTACTGGCCCAGACACCGGTCCGCCTGGTTCTCCAACTCACGCCGTTGCTCTCGCCCGCTCACTCCCCCTCTCAACCTATTCGACCCTCCTCTCGCTCTCCGGCGACGGCATCATTCACGAACTCCTCAACGGCCTCGCCACGCACTCATCCGGTCAGGGGAAGAAGGCGCTGAGGGAAACGACTTTGTGTCACGTACCTTGCGGAAGCGGGAACGCGCTGGCGAGCAGTCTGGTTGGGAGCGAGAAAGTGGAGGACGTGCGATGGTCCGCATTGGCGGCTTTGAAGGGTGCGTTGTTCAGCTTTGACTCCGCCGGGCGACTCTTTCGCTCGAAGCAGTCGGCTGATCAAGCCAGCCGCTCGCAGGCCAGCCGATTCCGCTCGACCTCTGCTCCTTCGTCCAGCCAAGCACTCCCGCCGGCACGCGCGAGTTCTCCTTCCTCACCCAAGCCTTCGGTCTCATGGCCGATCTCGGTACGCTGTCCTCGCCTTCGCACAGCTACTGTTCGCGTCCGCTAATCCGCGTCGCCGGAGGCAGACCTCGGAACCGAGCACTTGCGCGCGCTGGGCGACTTCCGTTTCACTCTCGGCTACGTTCACGGCGCACTCCAACGAAGAACCTATCCCTGCACCTTGACGGTCGAGATCGTTGAGGCGGACAAGGCGGCGATCGCTCGGAAGCACAATGCGTCGCTACGCTCGCCTATCTCGGCGTCCGTAGCTGGCGATGACCTGGGAGAAGACGACTTGCCGCCTGCGAAGCCCTGGACCGCCTCACTGCCTCCGCCCGACGTCACGCCTACGGTCCTGACGGGTCTACCGTCACCGTCTGATCCGCCGCTCAAGCCTGGCTGGTACACGTTTGACCTGACGAAGAAGGGCGTGTTCTTCCTATACGGAGGAAAGGTCCCGCTCATTGCTCGAGATGTGCGTCGAGGAACTATCTCAACAACTGACAGGCTCACGCTGCTGTAGCGTTCGCACCCGAGGATCTTGCTGACGTGTTCCGACCGTGTCGCAGGTCATGCTCTTCCCTGCCGCCGACCCGAACGACGGCCTCATTGACCTCGTCCTCGTCGGCCCGATGGGACGGATAGAAGCGCTCACTGTGCGAGACTTTTCCTTCTTGACGTGTCTCAGTTGTGACGCGACTGACGGTCTCTGTTCCGCAGGCCATGGACTCGACCAACCCGACACCATCCCCGACGCAGAAAAGCTTCCTGTCCCTCCCCGCCGTAACCTACCTCAAAGCGCGCTCCTATCACCTCTCCTTCCCTCCTCCGCCTCCCTCGACGAATGGCAATGCAAAGGGGCGGAAAAGAGGGTTCTTGTCGGTCGACGGGGAGAGCAAGAAGTACGAGGAGTTCAGGGTCGAGGTTCATCAGGGGTTGGCGAGGGTGCGAAGTCTGGGCGCAGCTGGTGGTGCATTCGAGGGACAGGGAGGCGGAGGAGCGTGGGTCGGGAGGAGGAAGATTGCGGGATTCGACTAGCAGACTGGAGGTTGTGATGCTCTCGTTAGACTTTGCCATCTTCATGGCGCCACTAAAAAGCCTCAAATTCGCCCGCAGTGACACTGGATAGCTTGCAAGGCAGACGTCGACCGAATGAGTCGTCGGAAAGGAGTGGTCTGCCAGCATTGCTCGAGAAGTACAAGACATCGGTGCGAAGATTCGCTTCTACAGCTCTTCCAGCTCTACTTCTTCCCCTTGCCCTCGCCCTCTCCCTCGCCATCGCCCTTGCGCACCTTGTCGTGGTACGCATCCAGACCCTTGCCCTTCAAGCTGTCGAACCCTTCGCCGCCCATCATGCTGAGCGCCTTGAACGCTTCTGCCGGGTTGAACTCGACGCCTGCTGCTCGGAGCGTCGTCATGAGATGTTGAGCGGCGTCGCGGAGTTCGGGGTCGCTGGAGACGCGAAGGAGGGAAGGTCAGCGCTAGTCGGAGCAACGGCGCGGAGAACGCTGGACGCACCGTGCGAGCTGCAACATCATCGACATGCTGGGCTTGTGCCCTCCCGCGAGATCGACACCCGTCTTCTCATGTGTCAAGCGAGCCAACTCTGCGCGAGCCAGGACGAAAACGGGGTCAGCACGAACCCTTCGAGTTTGTGGACAGCGCAACGCACTCTCGATCGCATCCAAGACCTCAGGGACCTCCTTGATCCGTTCGAAGAGCGGCGCGTGTTCGAGCATCTGAGGACCGTCGAACGGGTTGGAGGGCGGCTCCTTCGCCTCGCTCCGGGCAGACGAAGCGAACCCGCGGACATGGCTTGTAGGGAAGGACAGGTGTGCTGCTGGTGTCGGATAGGATGCAAAGCTGGACCGGGGGAGAGTGGAAGCGACGCAGAAGGTGGCGGTCGGCGAGGACTGGTGTGATGATGGAGCGGCGCGCGGGGCTTGTCGGAGGGCGTTGCGGGCGAGGCGAGGTGCAGCTTGCATCTTGGCGAGAGTCTGAACCACCGGAGCAGATGTGGGTGAGGAGAAGCAAGCTGAAAGGTCTGCCGAAGGCCTGCGAGGGATGACATCGTTTCTTCGGCTGTCATGATCGTTTTCCACTGTGGTGCAAAGCCTGCGCAAGGCTTTGAAAGACCGACTCCTGCCAACGCGATTGCAGGCGAAAGCGGTGCGGTCTGACAATCCGCTCTTGCTCCGAAGGAATCGCAAGCTACCGTCCCCTTCAAATTCCCTCGTTCTGCGCCTCAGACCAACCCCTTGAGCCACTTCATATCGCCTCCCCTCGCCCAAACCCCTAGACCGACCCCCGCCAGCGCCAACACCGACCATCCCAGCTCTAGCCGGACGATTGTCCAGCACCAGACGACGCCTAGCGCCGGCGCGCGGCTCATGACGCGCAGATAGCCTTCTGAGGTGCAAGTGTGGATCGTCGAGATGCCGGTGGAAATGGAGAGGACCGTCAGGGCGGATTGGAGAATCGTTGGAGGGAGAAGGGTGCGTGAGGAGGGGCGCGAAACGAGGAAGTTGAGCAGTAACAGAGCTGTGCGCGGACGACTGGAGTGTCAGAACGCTAGTCTGGTATAAAGAGGGAACTGGAGGTCCTGACCTGGGAGGAAGTTCAGTAACCGGGTGAGTTCTTCTCGAGGAACGAGTTCCTGCCCAAACTGTGCGTGTACTGCATAGTCCCTGTAACACGAGATGTAAGCACGTGTACGCGAGCCTGCGAAGACTATTACGCACATGCCAGTAAAGAGAAACCCGAACGGAACCGTCCATAGAATTGCATTGACGATCTCTTCCCACAACATGAGATCCTCCGCCTCCACGTCCAGCTCCTCTCCTACTTGAGCCCCGTTGATAGCCTCCTTGACCGCATCCGCTCCCTCACTTCCACCGAGTTGCTGCTGCTGAACCAGTCTCTCCAATTCCTCCGGACTGAACACGACCATCGCCTCCTTTTCCCTGTCCTTCCCGTTCGGCAGCCCCAACTCGGACGGTCGCATCGGTCCATGCTGCTCGAGCAGCTTCAGCCGGTCGGCGTGCGAGAGCGACAGGTCGGGCGAGCGTGCGGAGGGGGAGGAGGGCGGAGAGGGTGACGGCGACGGTGACCAGGAGGCCGCCGGGGCAGTTTCTAAGCTCGTTGGCCGTGTCTGAGCTTGCCGCTTAGCCATGAAAGCGAGTTCGTGCGAGGTGGACAAACGAGAGAGGTGCCGCCCCAAACTTTGGAGTCCACCTCGACCCGCTTCGGCGTCCTTTGCCTAGCTCTTGGCTTGAGAAGCCGCTTCTGAGTCTGCTCGCGACGGGTCAGCAGTCTCGACAGGCTCACTGCGCTGGGGAGAGGCGAGGACGGCTTCATCAGTGAACAGGTGCCGACGAGGTGAGTCCGGTCTCTCGACCAGCTTGAGAGCGTCTGGGCTGAGGGGGTTGAATCTGACATTGCTGGATATCCTGCAGAAGCCCTCGTCAGCTCTACTTGTCGTCTCGCCCTGCGACCCTCGTCCTCTGCGAACACCCCCTCGATCGCCCGTCAACCGCGACGACCGACTTTGAGACCGACTCTGAATGAAGGATGCAGGGCCAATGGTGCTACGACGGTCCCGATACCCGTGGAACACGCCCGACGGGCGTCTGGACGAGCGTTCCCGTCGAAGGGGGCGGTGCACACCTGTCCTCCGTCGCTCCATCCGGCTACACGGGCACAGAGGCGTCGTTTAGTGGGACAGGGTACCGAGCAGGACAATCAGAGACGCCCGTCATGCCGGTATCGCAGTTTAGCGCTCTTCCCGGACCCCATCCCGCATCCTCGTCTTCCTTCGCTCTTCCTCAGCTTTTCACTCCCTTCACCGACTCGACGACCCACATGTCTCGTCGGGCCTCTACTCAGCCGATGATCGATCGACCCGAAGCAGCTACCGCTCCCCCTGCCGCCACCGACCGTACCACCGCCGCCGCCCTCGTCGCCTTCCACCGCGAACTCGTCGCCTACTACTGGCACTACGCCCAGCAAGGCTACGTTGCGCCGTTGACGGCTCCGCAAGGGACAGAAGAGCATCAGCGGCAGGTCGCAGCCCGCACGGAGGCAGTCCAGTGGGCGCGGCAATGCGGGATCGTGGTGGTCGAGCCGTCGGTCCCTCAGGCGGGCATGAGAAACGAAAGTCTCAGCAGGACGCCAGGCCTGCAGGCTGAAGGTCGAAGCCAGGGGACCGCCTCGCGACCCCTAACGCCTGCTCTTTCCGTCTCTGCACCGTCTCTACACCAATCATCGGCGCCCGCCCCGCTTCCAGCGCGGTCGACTGTCGATGAAACCTCGCAACCAGCTCCCCTCACTTCCACCGCGCCTCATGCTTCGTTAGCCCGATCCGCCTCTCTCCCTCCATCAACCGCGCCTCTCCCGCCAGCGCCATCATCGCAAGCGACACTCGACTTTGCCGTCCGCGACACCACAACAATTCCAACAGCTCGAGCATTGTACGAGGCACGAGCTTCCGCATCAAGCGCCCCTCTGCCGTCTTCATCGGCGGCGAAGCGTCCGCTTCCGCTTCCTCCGCTGTCGTCCGCAACCACGAATTTGCCAAAGCTGCCGCGCACGACCGATGTGACGGAGCGCTTGGCCGATTTGTCGTTGAATGCGGGACCGAAAGCAGTGGAGGAGACGAGCTTCGCGCCGGCTGTCCCTTCGTTCTCCTTCGACGGACCAGACGAAGACGAGGAGCGAAGCCCGCCACCCGCCAAGCCGCCGATACCTTCTTTCTCTTTCGGACAAGATGACGGCGAAACGACCTCTGGCCCTGCCATTCCCTCCTTCTCTTTCGCCGACGAGGACGGTCCCGCTAAACCTCCGCAACAATCCAACACGCGACCCCGCCCACCACCGCTTCACCCTCGCTATGACCCGTCCCATCCTTCGCACGCCCTCTATCACCCTACCTCGGGCGGCCACGCAATTCCCGAAGCCGGCACGATCGTCTGTACCGCCTGTCATCAACCCATCTTCGGCCGCGTCCTCGTCGCGCTCGCTCGCCAGTGGCATCCTGACTGCTTTCGATGTGCGGAGGAAGGATGCGGAGCGCGACTGGAGGTCATGGAGTTCGAAGGGACGCCGGAGGATTGGGAGAACGATGCGGCGTCGAGCGAAGGTGACGACGACGAAGGGGAAGGCGAGAGGAAGGGAAGCTTGGAGGGCAGAGCTTGGTGCATGGTTCACTTCGAGGAAGTGCGTCACACCGCATCAGCGGTTATCAGGAGTATGGCTGACGATCTCGGGTCTGCAGCGCTTCGCTCTTGAATGCCATCACTGCCGGACGCCTATCGCTTCTGCCGACTACGTTCCCGTCTCCGATCCGTCCCTCCCCCCGCGATCCGACTATCGCCATCCTTCTACACGCTACTACCACCCTCTCCACTTCTTCTGCGCCGGTTGCGGCGACCCTTTCATCGATCCTGTCGCGTACGAATCCCGCTCCGCCACGTCTCCGCCTGTCGAAGCGCGATCTTATGTACCGCGCGAAGGACACCCATACTGTGTTAACTGCGACTTGCGAATGTGGCGACCGAGGTGTCCCGGCTGCCAGAAAGGATTGAGGGAGGAAGACGGGTTCCTCGAGGTGGAAGGCGCCGGCCGATGGCACGAAGGGTGCTTCAAGTGCTCGGTGCGTGCGAGCGTTCGTGAGATTGCGGTTGAGCGTCTCGTGACGAAGCTGATGCGCGTCCTCGACAGCGGTGTGCGAAGCCTCTCACCGGTGTCTATCTCCTGCGCCGTTCGCCCGCCAGCGGCGACACTCACACCGACGACGACCCGGTGCAAGAGCTGCCGCACTGTGCGGAGTGCTACGATATCCGAGCGAAGGAGCAGGCGGAAGCAGCGGTGCTTCAGCGGTAGCTGAGTGGACTCGTCTTCGTGGTGCTCGACAGACACTTTGCAAAAAGTATGCTCGCTGGACGGGCCGTGCCCCGACGAGGTTCCTCATGACTCCGCGAGGTTCCATCCGACTGCAGCCTGTCTCCAGATCAAGTTGCGAAGATGCGGTCTCCATGGAGTTGCAGACAGACAAACTACGCTGTACACTGCCTGCTCTGCTCAGTCAAGCGAATCCTCCAGGTTGAGCACCTCCGTCTGCTGGACCGGAACAGAGCCGGACGCGTCGTCCTTTGGCTGGACGGGAACCGTGACGGTCGGGTTCTCGCTGGATTTTCCCGTCTGGTCGACAATGCCGGGCGTCTCGAACTGATGGGTCACGATGAGGTCAGTTGCTCGTATGGTGGGCGCGGAGTGACAGACTCACCGAGAGAATGCCGGCCTCCTGCAGCTGCTCCACAACGATCTCCGCCTCCTCAACGCTCATCCTCCCGAGGACCTTGTTGACCTTGTCGAGGCTCTTCTCCGACAGCGCAGCCTTGAAATTCTTCGGGAAAGCCTGGAAAATGTCCCACCGCTTCTGCAAGAAGTCGCGGACGAGTTGCGGGTCGAGTTCCTCGGATCCTTCGCCCGTGATCTCGAGGTTTTCGGGGGGCGGGCCGTCGGGGATCTCGAAGGTGATGGTTTGGTCGGGAGAAGCGGGGACGAGCTGGATCTGCTCGACGCCTTCCGAGCCGGCAGCGGCCTTTTCGGCACGCTCGGCGGCAACGACTTTGGCGCGTGAGATGATGCGGTCGGATGTCTTTGCGACGTCGTCGAGGAAGATGCGGAGAGCGGCGTGGTTGGAGTTAGTCATCCTGTACAGAAGACGAGAATTAGCATAGGCATGGGCGAGAGTAGCGACAAGCGACGCACCGCTGGAAGAAGAGCGCAACGCCATCCCGGCCGAGGCTCCTGCAGTACTGTCCAACCAACGCCTTCTCGATACACTCCGTTGCCCTCTTCTCGCCCGCCTTCGTTCCCTTCATCGCCTGACTGAACGCTTCGACCATGAGCGCATCTCCCGTCTCCTCCGTCAAGAGCGAAGGGTCGGCGGCGACGGCTTGTCGGGTTGCGTCCCAATCGAGAGGTGCGATGCGAGAGAAGGCGAGGGCGGAGGGTGTAAGAGGAGGAACGTCGGCTTCATCGGAAGAGTCGCCGGAAGCCTGCTTGACGTTGAGTAAGTCAGTACAGGTCTCTTGCAGCTGACGACGCATGCAAACGAACCTCGGCAGCTGCAGCTGCCGTAACACCAGGGGAGTTGAGAGTCTCGATAACGGTCTCGGTCTGCTTCCCCTTGCTTGAGGAGGCGGCAGGCGGCGCAGGTTTGGGCTGCGCTGACGGCGTCGTCGAGACGATCTGAAGAAGGCGCGTCAGTCTGACAGGCTCGAAGCTCAAGCGAGGTCAGGGAACGCACCGTCTTGCTGTCCCAGCCCGTCCGGATGTCCTCGCTCGTGATCCACTTCTTCTGCTCGCGGTCGATCTCCTCCTTCTCCTGCTCGATTTCCTTCTGCCTGTCCACCATCCGCTGCTTGTGCCATTCGAGCTCCTTGACGAGCCTGTCCGCCCGCTCCGCCTCGACATTCGTTCCTCCGCTCTCCTGCTCCTTCTTCTGCACCGCCGTGATAACCTGGCTCAGCAGCGAGACGATCATATGATCCTCGCTTGGCTGCTCGTTGTTCGCGAACTTCTTCTCCTCGTACTTGTACGGCAGCGCCGCCTTGAGACGAAGGACCTCCTTGGCAACGAAGGCGGCGCCCTCCGCCTTGGTCGACGAGATAAGGTCGTCGATACGCTTGATGAGCGAGTCGTTCATCGGCACTTCGGTCTCGAACTGCTTGAGCTTGAGCTTGCGCTGCTCGCGCTTCTCGTGGATGTCGCGCTGCTTCCAACTGCGAGAACGAAGCGGCGTTAGCACACCCAGCTGGCCGCGCGTCCTCCAGACTTCACTCCTCACCGAATCATCGAGCGCTTGTCGACATTTGGGTGCACCTCGATGTCAGAGTCGTCCGAGAGCTGGTAGAAGCAGGCCTGGTTAGCGCAGCACAAACGAACGCTGCGATCTCGCGCGCGCACCTGCAGGTTGTCCCACTTGTTGTAATTGAGCCGAGACATCGCGAAGGTCAGAAGAGCTGTCTGGATGGCAGGGAGTGTGCTGGTGATGAGCGAAGGAGGCGGTGCGGGGCGAAGTGGGCCTTTCTGGTCGTCGGCGGCGCGTAGCAGGCTGTTGGCGTGCAAGCGGCTTTTCAGCGATGACTCTAGACATACACGAACCTCGACAGCGCATCAGAACGAGTCGTCGCTGCTGTTCGTGGCTCCGATGGAACACGGTGGAGAGGGGAGGTTGACGCGCGAGCTTGGCCGTACGCAGGCTGGTACCGGGTCTGTACGCTGTGTGCTTGCTGCACAGCTTGCGAGCAGGCGTCAAGCGGAAAGAAGAAGATGCCGGTTTGGAGTGAGCAGTTGATGCGAGAGGGTGCTCCCCGACAGCGCAAGAGCTGATCTCCCGCTCTGTTCTGTTGTTCTGCTTTGTGAGTGCAAAGAAGCGAAGCCAGTGAAAGCGAGTGGTCTCGCGGCTTTGGAGTTCCAAAGTTCTTGCCCGTCGGAAAGCCATCCATGCGCGGAGTCGTCCTCCCGTACCAGCTCCCAGCCTTCGAATCCTACGAGTCCAGCTTCTTCCTCAGCTTCTGCAACGCCTCCCTGCCCTCCGTCTCCCACGGCGCCACATAGATGCTCTTCTCCAAGAACCGCAGCGCGTCTTCGTCGAGCCTGTCCGCCTCTTCGTCCGCCTCCGCCTTGCCTGCCTTGTGCAGCGCAACGACGCCGAGGGCGCGAAACCTCCTTGCGCGTAGAGACGACGCCTCATTCTGCGGCACGCGCGTGCGCATGAGACGACCGACAAGCTCGAGATTGTTGTCGGCCGAACCATCCGACGCGACAGGCGGGAGGGACGTGAGTAGGCGTGCTGTGCGAGAGCGGAAAGCCGGTGCCCAGGGGAAAGCGTGAAGGGAGCGGGAAACAGTAGAGAGAGCGCCGTCGATGTCGCTCTGCGTGACCGATGTCAGTTACGCTCGAGGGTCGACAGGAGCGGACGCACGCACCTTTGCCAGCTTTGCAAGCGTCGACAGGTGCGAGATGTCTGGGTCGTACTTGACGGCTGCGTTCCAGATGAAGGAGTCGGTGGTCTGCAGGAGCGAGGTGTCGTTCGCAGCGATCGCATAGGCGTATATGGCGCGGCGGAGGAACAGCGGTGTCTGTCGACCCGAAGGTCTGTAACAAGAGCGTGTCAATTCCCGTTCGAGATGTGTAGATAGGAAAGACTTACATGTCCGGTGAGTCGAGCAGAGCCGACAAAGCGCGATCCTCCTCGCCTTCAGCCCAATGCACTCTTCCGAGCGCAACGGCGAGGTGGCTGTCGCAGGCGCCGACCCTGTAGGTCTCGACATCGTCGATCGCCGTCTCCAATGCCTCCTTTGCCGCGGACGAGTCGCCGAGCGCGACGTGCGCGACACTCGAGCCGAGCTTGCATTCGGTGTAGAGCAAGACGGTCTGCTCCTTCGTCAGGCCGCCGGGCGCCGGACTGTCCTCGAGGTTGAGGAGCGACAGAGCCGCCTCAAATGCCTCAAGTGCGCCATCGTACTGCTGCGCCGCGAGTCGGGCACGCCCCAAGTTCGTCTGCGCGATCACGTACTGTCCTTCGACCGCAGGCGACTCGTCGACCTCGTAGAGCTCCTCGATGATCGCTGCAGCCTTCTCGAACGATTCGCATGCCGAGGCGAGGTCGCCGACCTGTTCGAGGATGAGGGCGTTGAGATGAAGGGCCGTGTGGTCGGAAGGATGATGGGAGAGGTAGCGGCTGAGCGAAAAGAGCGGCGCGGATAGTACCTCGACGGCGGAAGGCGGGGGAACGGGAGAGGGATCGGCGACGGCGAGCGACGAGGACGGCACGCTAGAGCGGTACTTCTCGAATGCGCGGCTGGCGAAGGCGATGTCGGCTTCGGGCGCGTCTCCTCCGAGCGAGACGGCATGCTCGAGGAGGACGGAGGCCTCGACGGCGTGTCCCGCCATGTCTGCGAGGGTAGCTTGCCCGACCCAAGCCGCCGCCCATTCCGGGTCGAGCACCTGCGCTTTGAGGAACGCCTGGTTCGCAAGGTCCTCGTCGCCGTGTACGAGGTAGAAGAGGCCGAGGTTCGTCCAGGGCACGGCGCTGCGCGAGTTGTGCTCGATCGAGCGGATGAAGCTGTGCTGAGCGAGTCGAGGCGAAAGGTCGAAAGAGAGGACGCCGAGGGCGCTCCAGAAGGACGCGTTGAGCGGCTCCTTGTGCAGGGCGTACTTGAGGCATCGAATCGCCTGCTGCAAAGCCTGCTCCGCAGTGACGATCGAAGTCGAGAGCGTCGAGAGATGCGGACGGAAGTTGCTGATGGCGACGCCGAGGTCGAACCAGGCGGAGCCGATGGCGGCTTCGTTCTGCGTCTCGAGGAGGACACGCATCTTGAAGGAAAGGACGGCAAGGGCGGCGGCAGTGATGGCGGGCTTGGTGTCGATGGCAGCGCGAACGTCGGCGACCGTGACAGCAGTCAGGCCCGCCATCTTGCCGTCGACGCCCTGCTCGGAGAGGTAGGCGAGGACCCAAGCCAGCGCGGCCCTGAGTGAATCCGGCGAGGCTGGGTCGCTGAGCCTGCTCAGCCCGACGAGCGCCTCCGCCGTGACCTTCCATGCAACGCGCGAAGCGGATCCGCCCTCGATGACTGCCATCGAGCCCTCGAGCGCTTCGAGCAGCGACTCCTCCGCGCGCACCATGTAGCCCTGCTTCTGCTCGCCGAGTCCCTTTGCGAGGGCGGTTTCGGCGAGGACGACCTTGACGCCTAGCTCATCCGGGCGGTCGACCAGGATCTCCTTGAACGTCTTGATCGCCGGGTCGAGTAGTCCGATCTCGCGTTGCACGTCCGCGATCGAGTACTTGGCGAACCAAGACGACGGATCGAGGGCGAACGCCTTGACGAAGACTTTGAGCGCGGCGACATGCTTGCCGGAATGACGGTACGCGACACCGAGCTTGATCCAAGTCGAGACGTCATCGGGAGCGCCTCGCAAAGCAGACTGGAACGCCGTGATCGCCTGCGGGTACTTCTTCGAGTTGAGCTCGCTGCCACCGATCGCCTTCCACGCCCATGCGAGACGAGCTGCTGCCTTGCCGCCCATCCCTGCGCGACCCTTGTTCCCATCGATGACTCGGCGGGCAATGACTTCGACGAGACCCCATTCGCCGAGCTCCGCGAACTCCTCCGCCAGGTATCGAGCTGCGACCTCTTGCGAAGGGTCGAGCTCAAACGCCTTCTGGAAGCAGTTTGACGAGCGCTCCCAGTCTGGCGAGGCGAGCGAGCGGTAGTAGATGCCGAGGGAGGTGAAGGCCGGAGCGAACGATGGTGAGGCGCGGAGAGCCGAGATGTAGGCGTCGTATGCCTGCTTAGTTCGGTCGGGCATCGAGTCTGCGGGAACGGGTCAGTGAGACGCTCAAGCCGGCAACACCGAAAATGCGTACCGCCAAGCTTCCACAGACACTCTCCCAAACGCCACCAGGCGGTTGCCCGCTCTTCCCGCTCCTCCTCCTGTTCCCCTTCCTCGACGCCCTCGGGCTTCTCCAGGCCACGCTTGCTCCGGTACTTCTCCTTCTCCTCCCTCTCCTTGTCACGCCGAGTCTTGCGCTCTTCGAACGAAGCGACGACCTCCTCGAGTTGCGGCAAAGCATCCTCAGACGAGCCAGCGAGGTGCGTCGACCAAGCTCGTTCGCACTTCGCCTTAACGAGCGTATCGGCGTCGAGAGAATCCGAAGGGAGGGCGATGATCTGGTCCCAGACTTTGAGGGCGGCTGCCTGCTTGTCGGAAGTCTGCAAGACAATCGCTTTTGCGAAGAGGAGTTCCGGGTCGGGGTGCAAGACAGTAGGTGCGGCAGGGGAGGAGGGCGGAGGCGGAGCTGTTCCGAGCAGACTTTCGATGAGGCGAAGGGCGCGAAGGTGGTGGGTTGGCGGATCGTGATGTACGAGGCCAAGAGCGAGCGACGTTTCGAGCGCGCGGCGAGTCCTGCAGGTTTGGCGTAAGCTGCCATCCGGCGCAAGCTATCGTGAATGGCTCACCGTGGAAGAGGTCGCCCGATCTCGGCCTGGATACTCGCCAGTGCCGAGAGTCCCGCCTCGGCGACCTGAACGACAGCATGCCACTCCTTTTGGCTGCGGAAAAAAGAAACGGCGAGGAGATGCGCAACGACGGATTGTGGCGCCTTCGCGAGCCCGTCCTGCGCGAGCTCGCTCGTCAGCGACGGTGTTGGAACGAAGTGAGCGGAACTGCTTGTACCTCGATGATCTCGGCCAACTCGTCATCGGTCGGGCCTTGAGGTCGCTCTTCTTGCGGAGCATCCGCCGGATCACTGTCGACGGGAGGTCTTGCGGCTGCCTCCGCCGCTTCGAGACGGGCCAGAAGGGCGCGAGAGATGCGAGAGATGCCGGCTCTGCAAACGGAGGGGCTTCAGCTGGAGCACGACAAACGAAGAAATGGAACGCACTCTGGGAAGGTGTCCGCCAGTCGCTGCAGCTTGTCCCTGCTCCCTTTCGTCAACCCTTCCAGGCCACGCCCATCCGCAAAGCTATCGCTCCACTCGACCTCGACCTCCCAAGCCGAGCCGTCCGGTACGCCAATCACGACCATATCGTGCGCGAGATCCTCAACCTGAGCGCGATAGCCATCCTTCGCGTCTCGCTCCACCTCAATCTGCTTCTCCGTCCTCGGCTTTGCCTTCGCTGAGAGGTCGAGTGAAGGCGGGTCGAAGGACGAAGGAAGGGCGCGAAGGGTCATTCGCAGATGCGCAAGCAGGCGGCGCTCGACGTCCCTTCGGAGCGGCTCGTCGTTGCCTGCGTCTGGGTCGTCGAGAACTTGCCGCCACAGCGCCGGCAGCTGACTCTGCGGCAGCATCTCGGCCTGGACCTGGCGCGTCGTCTCTTCGGCAGTCAGTGCTGGCCCGCCTAACCGCTGTCGCCGCTTCTTGATCTCTGCGTCGACCGCCGCCGTCTCTTTCTCGGAGATGTGAGCAATGATTTCGAGGAGCGTCCGCAGAGGAGAGGTGACGGCTTGCTGGACTGTCGGATAGGAAGTGGCTGTAGGAGCGGTCGGGTCGAACGGAGGCAGGGAACCGAGGAGAGGGTGCTGAGGTGAGGAAGGTAGGAGCATTGAGAGCGTCTCGACGAGCTGTTTAGGCTGAACGAGGTCAGCGGAATTCGGACATGCCAGGCGGCGATGCGGCACTTGCCTCGTCTTTCGTGCCGTGCTTTCTTCGCACATCTAGCAATTTCTCCAGCGACTCGGCATATTTCGGTGCGTCTTGGCTGTGGCGCGAGTCATGTCAGAGTGGGAGGGACGCTCGGATGCCAAAGCGAGTTACGCACCTGTCCGCAAACAGCTGCATCAACCCTTGCAGCTCCCGAGCATAGTCCATCCATCTCTGGCTCTTCTCGTAAAGTGTCGCTAGACCCTGTGAGCGGTATGCGCCGCGTGTGAGCGGCAGAAAGGAGTGTAAGGCGTGAGCAGGCGAAGGAGACGCACCTGTCGAGCGAGAGCTTGCGTAGGGGACTGCTCGATCGCCTTCTTGTACGTCTCCTCCGACTCTTCGGGCTTGCCCAGGTTGAAGAGGGCGAGCGCAAGAAAGACCCGACTGTCGACGGGAGGACAGCGGGTCAGCTTAACGCCCGAGACAGGCCGCAAGAAGGCGGGAACGCACGCATTGTAGTTGGAAGACTCGAAGTCGAGGACGGCGCTGCCCGATCGAGGTGGTCAGCCAGGTGTCTTGGGCCTGTTAGACGATGGAGAGAGTGGGAGCGCACCTGGCGTTCTTCTCCACGCCCGGCCAGTCCTTCTTCGCCAGAGCCTCCTTCAACGCCTTCAACTTCGGCTTCACGAACACAGACATCCAAGCAGGAGCAAGCGAGGGGAATGACGCAGCGGGTCGAAGTCGAGGAGGAGGTTGGACGTTTGGACTCTTCCCACCCACACCGCTCGCCTGAGGCTGGTTCTTCGAGGCGTGCTGTTGCTTGTGGGCGTATGCTAGAGCTCCCAGGCCCACTCTGCTGAGCCCGCATGGCGTACACCCGATTCTGCGATTCTCATCAGCGCAAACGCATCTGCTCATATCCGGAGTTGCTGCGCTTTGTACGCCAGACTGAGCGCTTTCATAGCCACACAGGAGCTCTGCCGAGGCTTGCGGACCGCCTCGACGAAGAGCTTGCGTCCCCTGCCCTCCTGCAATTCGCTCTCCTCGCTCTGCCTTGATACTGCTGCGCCCGCCGCTGAACTGCTATTGCCGCAGATGTCTGCATAACATGCCTATTTACAGCTTGTATCCTTACAACCAGGGTAGCAGATGGCCGAGACGGCTTGAAAGGTGGAAGGGGAGGGTTCGTGAGGATGGTCGAAGGAGGAGGGAAGCGCACGCCATCGCGGATGAAATGCACAACGACAACCAGGTCTATGAGGAGCAGTGAGGCCGAAGAGAGAAGACAGCCGGGTCTATGAGAGGGAAAGGAGGAAGAGGGAGGAGGAGGGGATCCTCGGGGCGGCCTGGCTTCGTCTAGAAGCGCAAGGACATGATGGCGGGGCTGTCGTGGCACAGAGAAGGCACAGAGAGAGTAGAAGGAGACGAATGTCCGCCAGGGGAGAAGGAGAGTAAGAAAGAGTCCGTCAGCACTTGCAAAGCTGGCCTGGATGCTTGAGGAGCAGCGAAGAGGGGGCGGGAACGTACTTGAGTAGGAATGGGTACAGAATGTGCCCAAGAACGCAGAGTAGCAGCGGAATGAGCGAAACCCAGTCCAGAATCTGGTACTCCATGATTGGTATGAAGGCGAAAACGACGACCATGACGATGCAGGCGAAGCAGAGCGCGAATGTCGTCCGGAATTTCCTGAAGATTGACGGCAGTTCGGTGAAGATCGTGCTGTAGGTCGCCTCCTTGACCGTCGCCGCCCACTGCATGTCGTAGCCGAAGGGGTGGGCCAAGAGCGCTTCGGCGACAGGGATAGACAATCCCATGAAGAATATAGTGTTGAATGGCGTCCATTTTAGTTGTTCCCACATTGCGATGTGCAGTCCGCATTGACCTGAGCGAGGAAGGTCGTCAGTACGCGGACGAGGCGGACGTCGCGGCGTAGCGACCCGCGCGGGGCACCGAGCGATGCGTGCCTCCCTCAGACGCTCTTTGTGAGTTCAGACTCACCAGCACGGTACCGCAGGATGGCGAACGCAAAGGCGGCGGCGCAACCGAAGACGACGAAGAGCGAGACGTTGACCTTCCACGACGGGAGGTAGGCGTTGTCGAGACTCGGGATGTAGAGACCGTAGAGGATGTAGCCAGCGACGGAGAGAGGGAAGGCGACCGAGATACCGCTGCGAGAGTTGGAGGATGAGAAGGTCAGACTCGCTCGACGAGGTCGGCTCGAGAAACTGCGTTCCGACTCACTAGTAACTCATCCTGTGACGAAGAGAGTATAGCTGAGTCAGCGACGAGGTCGGCGGGCGCAAAGAGCGGGAGAAGGACGCACATGTACGCCCAACTCGAGAACTTGTAGTGGATCGGCAAGTTCGAGCTCCAGAAGAAGTCTGTTGCAGGTCGCGAGCTTCTGTCAGTGTCGACCACCCTTGTGAGCGGGAGAAAAAGGACGCACGCTTGGCCATCGGCGTGAAGGGCCCCTTGGTCGGCCAGTCCTTGAAGCGATGGAGCAACAGCTCCGAGACGCCGAAAGCGTACTTCTGCCAACTGCGCACGCCAAGAGCGTCAGAGTCTGATTACCTCAGCCACTCAACTGGCAGACGGAAGCGCACCGGTTGATCTCGTCATCGGCCGAAAGCGACACTCCCTCCTGGAAGCCGCCGTTCGAGTAGGTCGCCCAGCGAACATCGTAACCAGCGACGAGCATGCGAAGGGCGCAGTCAAAGTCCTGTAGGAAGCCAGAGTCAGTACAGCTCGGCGGCGAACGAATGGCAGACGGAAAACTCACCTCCGACACATGCGACTCGGACCAAATCTGCCACCTTTTCTCGTCCTCCTTCCACTGCGCAATCTCCTGCAAAGCCGACCAGCGGATAAAGGCGTTGTGACCGACGAAACAGCCGACATCGCCGTTCGCGACGACCCACGAGATCGAGGTGTTGACGAGACGGGTGAAGAAGGCGATACCGTTTTCGAAGAAGTTGTTGGCGACGATCATCTGCGTGAGATAGAGGTGCCAGTTAGCGGAGAAGGCCCGAGAAGGGGAGGAAGAGGAGACGCACGACGTCGGAGACGTGCTGGATGATCGAGCATTCGGGGGACCAGTGCATCTCAGATGCAGCGTCGAGGAAGCAGTCGGCGGGTACTCGCGTGTCGGAGTCGATGCTGTCGATGCGACAGGTCAATGGGGCTGTCAAACGGAAAAAGGGGGCTGACAACGCACATGAGGATCAACTCGCCAATGCGAATGTTGCCCGCCGCCCACACGCCCAGCGTGCGAGGTGCCTCCTTCTCCTTCTCCGTCTCAGCCGGAATGACGCGCTGCGTCTTGGCGACGGCCTCCTGCAAGCACACCTCGTACAGCGCCTGCTCCTCCTCGTGCGTCCAAGGGTTATCGGGCAGCCGGCTCGGCCTGCGAGCCTTCATGCGCTTTTCGACGTCGATCGAGAGCTCGAGCGCGACGTTGAGGTTGGACGACTTCTTGAAGCGTCCCGCACGCTTGTAGTGCTTGCCGTGTCCCGGTCGAGCGACGTAGGCGATCGCGTTCGCCTCGTAGAAGGCCTTGCGAGTCGCAAAGTCACGCTCGTTGAGGAGCTGCATACCGTCGTCACAGACGAGGATGCTGACGGAACCGCCCTGCAGTTCGTACTGGAGACAGAAAGGTCAGAGAGGAGCTTCGGATACTTGAGCGGGAGGAACGCACCGTCTTGATCGCTTCCTGAAGCGACCGGATAGTCGGTTGAAGGACGGACTCGAGTCCCTCCTTGTAGACCGGCATGAGAATCGTAAAGTCGGGGAGCGGGCCCTTCATCCTGGGCGGCTTGACGCCGGAGTAGTACCGGTTGCACATCGACATCTGCTTGACGGGTCCGAGGAGCTGGAGGATGATGGCGACCACGATGACGCAGAAGAACTGCGAGACGCAGAACTGGAAGGGGATGGCGAGGGCGATGAGGAGACGAGGCCAGTATCCGTCGGTCAAGTACTCGGTGATGAGGATCCGCAGCGTGTTGAGCGAGACGAAGATGTTGATACCGAGTGCGAGACCGACGTGGAGGGGCGAGAGGAGGCCGACTGGTCGTCGCTTAAACGCTTCGGTCTGCGCTTCTTCCGCCGCCTCGAGGTCGACGTCGTCCTTCTTGGCCACGTCCTCCTGCTCCGCCTCGTCCTCGACGTCGGTAGGGTCGTCTTGCTGCTTCCAGATGTACTCGAGCATGAGCTCCGAGATCGTCTGGCCGTTCGGAATGAGGGTCGTGACGTCGTCGCTCCAGAGGACGAGTGCGAGGTTCGAGCGGATAAAGGCGGCGTACTCTGCACAAAGAAAGATTGAGTTGTAAGCGAGAAGTGCGACAACGGGAGAGACGCTGAAGGACTTACGATGCCGCTTGGCGCCCTTAAGGTCCTCGAGGGTGTCGAGGATCTGGATGGAAACGTCGTCGTTGAGGGTGATTCGTTCCTGCGAATCATCGATCGTCTGCAAGATGCTCCGCACGACGTGGCTGGAGACGATGACCGCCGCTTCAGCATTGATCGTCGCGAGTCCTTCCAGAAGGACGTCTGCGCCGTCGACTTCGTTCGCGGGCGGGTACGAGGCGTAGGAACTCGATCCAGCGGTTCCGACTGTCGCGCGCACGGCGACGATGTTGCCCCAGTCTGCGTCTGGGAACCAGCCCAGCGCATCGCATCGTCGGTAGATGTGCTCCGACATGAGGTACTGCTTCTTGTGCGCCTTGGCGATCGCGGCGAGGTCTGAAGCGTCACATTACTCATTGTCAGCTTTGTACGGACCCCTGGAATGGCTACGGGGAACGAGCAAGGCTGGGGATCGAAATGCACCTGCGCCGAGTTCGCTGACGACCGAGACGGAGCGGATGGACCGCAAGCGACGGTGGCTGTCGGCATAACTTGATCGGCGGGACGCAAGAGAGAGGTGGGATGGGCGGCGAGAGGCAGTAGGCGTGAAGGAGAGAGGACGGTTGGTTGAAGTGCTCGTCGACTCTGTCCACGCCTCCGAGTGCTGTCGCTCCATCGGGGGTGCGGCCACAGTCGTCGTCGTCGCCATTGTAGAGACACAGAGAGAGCGAGAAAGAGAGCTTGGAGGGAGGCGAGGACCCCAGTCCGATGGAAGAGCAGATCAGAAACGGAGGGAGGGTTCTCTCGCCAGACGGAGCCCGGTCGCTTGGTTTGAGCAGTGTTCGGCCGCGCCCCTTCGGAAGCAGCGAGCGTGCGGTTCCTCATTCGGCAGCAGGCTCGCCAACGGAGGGCAACTCTGCTGACGGAAGTGAGCGCCAGAGGAGGAGGCGGTGGGCACCGGCGCGGGGTTCGCGGGTGCACGCGAGCTGGCGTGTTCCGTGCAGGCAGGTTCGGTCGTTGCCACGCCTTCGAGAACTGGAGGGAGCCAGGCGGCGTGTTGTGGAGGAGGACAAGGTTGAGCGAGCGGCGCCCGAGTCGGCCGGCACGCGGCGTCCGCAGCGTCCCGCCGACTTCCTCTTTCGCCAGATGCCATCCGCGCGCATCTCGAAGCCTCGTCTGATGCGGCAGACGTGATCGCACCAGTTCCCTGGCCGGCCTGGCCGCCGTGCCGCCGCGCCGGATCCGCCCTCGCTTGAAACGCTCTCCCTCGTCGACCGCGCCGCGAGTGTCGCTCCCAGCTCCTCCCTCTCCTCGCTGTTCGCTTCGCTGTGCCCTTCTGTGCTTTCTGTGCTGTTCCTTCTGCCGCTATGGCGCCATCCGAGGTGCGTCTGCGTCGTCTGCGTCTGGAGGTGCGCATGCTCACCCTCGTCGCCCAACAGATGTCCTCGCTCCCTCACCGTCCTCCCGTCTTTGCGCCTTCTTTCGTCACCGCCAGGTCACGATCGCGAAGCAGCTCGACTTCGACCGTCGACAGCGCCGAAGACAAGACCGTCAAGCTCGACAAGGGCAAGGGAAAGCTCGTCGACGGCGCCGTCTCCTCGAGCGACTGGGCCGACCATGCTGCTGCTCCGACGCTCACGTACCACCAAGATCCGAGTGTCGCGACGCTCGCGACCGGCGCTTCAGAGATTTACGACTACTACGCCTCGACGGACCCTGTCAGGAAGCGCTTCAAGGCGCCCTTCAAGTCGCAGCTCTTTGATCGCGAAGTAGGAAACGTGCGTTGCGACCCCCTCTAGCCAGCTATCACTGTGACGAGACTGACGAAGCCGAACGATGCCCGCTTCGCAGCCGAAACCCTGGATGAAGGGTCGCACGACGATCACCCGCGACAAGAAGTCGTACTTCACGACGCTCTTCGGCATCCTCCTCGGTCTCGGGGGCGGCATCGCGCTCATCCTGTACAGCGTGCTCAACCTCGAACACGACCAGTACGAGCTGCTCTTCAGCGAGGACTTTGACGGCGACAGCCTCAACTCGAGCAGGTGGAAGGTCGAGCAGCGCATCGGAGGCGGCGAGTCGGTGCGTAGTTCGCCTCACGACGCTTAGCGAAAACGAAGATCTCGAGCTGACGGCCTGCCCTCGTCGCACAGAACGACTTCACCTGGTTCACCGATCACAACAGCTATGTCGCCGACGGCAACCTCTTCATCGTCCCGACACTCACGAACGAAACGATGCTCTCGACGGACTACGCTCTGATGAACGCGACCTACATGCAACTCGGCAGCGCCTGCGACTCGCTTCACCAGTCCGACTGCTTCATCGCTGCCGACACCGAACACAACCAGACGCTCGTCGTACCGCCTGTGCAGAGCGCGATGATCTCGACGAGGGGAAAGGTGACGATGCAATACGGACGAGTCGTCGTGCATGCTAGGATGCCGACTGGGTGCGTCTTCGCTTTCTCTTCTGCCGTGCTTGGCTACGAGCTGACGCTCGTCTCGTCTCGCAGCGACTGGCTGTGGCCGCAGATCTCGCTCGTGCCCGAAGACGAAGTCTACGGCGGCTACCCTGCGTCCGGCCTCATCTCGGTGCGTCTCCCTCTTCCTCCTTGTCCTCCTCACAGCTGCTGATTTCCCCCTCGATGCTCGACGCACTCAGATCTTTGAGTCTCGCGGCAACAAAGCGCAACACCGTCTCGACCAGCTCAACAACGAGATGATCTGCGGCTTGCACTGGGGTCCTGCGAACGCGCCGGCTTACGATGCGTTCTGGAGGACTCAGGGACTTTACAAAGGTGCGTGAGACGTGGCGTTTTGCGAGTGTGCCAGAACTGACGCAACTCTGCGTTCACAGTCTATCGGAACTTCTTCAACCAGCGCTACTGTTCGTCGTGTTCCGGTCGCTTCCTCCCTGCGCTCTTGGCTGATTTACTCGCGCTTCCCAGACACCTTTGGACTCGACTGGACGCCTCAGTCAATCACGATGTGGGTCAACAGTCGCGTTCGTATCGCCTTCCGCTACGGCTTCGGAAAAAAGAACTTCTGGGAGCTCGGTGCGTAGCTCTTCCCCGCCTAATCGTCAACAAACCGCTAACGTGCACCACGCGCAGGCTCGTTCGGGTACAGCTACGGCAATGGCACGATTATCGCCAACCCCTGGGCGACCGCAGCCGTGCGTTCCTCCGCCACAGCGTCTCCCTGCTTCCTTCCTGACCCGCTTTACATTTCATAGAACCAGCACGTCGCACCCTTTGACCAAGCCTTCTACCTGCGCCTCGCCGTCCTCGCCGGCGGGACCGACGGATACTGGCAAGACGACCTCCCTAACAAGCCGTGGCGCAACTCGGACGCCCGACCGCAGGCAATGACCCGCTTCGCGAACTGGGCGAACGTGTGGATGCCTAGCTGGCCCAGTGGTGACAAGATCCGCGACCGAGGACTCGCTATTGACAAGATTGAGGTGTTCCAGCGGGTCAACTAGGCGCTTTTCCTTCCGTATAGACTTTCCGCCTCTCCATAGATGTATCGAGCGATGTATTGCAGCATTCAAAGCCCTTCGCAGGTCTCTGGACACCCAGGAAGGAGTGAGCGATTCCAAGTCGCGCGACTTGCGCAACGCAAAGGTTCGCCAAGTCCTCGCTCGCTTCCTCCGTCGGCGGCGCGGTGCTGCCGGCGCCGTATCCCAAGCTTGAAGCAACGCTTGTCGAGCGTACAGGACGGCTCTCAACGCTGGCGCTCGAAGCGGATTCAGCGTTCCATCTCGCCCTCGCTCGCTCGCGGCGTGGCGACTGACGCCGGCCGGGCGGTGTGCTCGCCAGTGGGCAGGCCGAGCAGGTGGTGAGCGTGGAACCCTGCGTGCGGACGAAGAGGCGTTCATCGACCTGCCTCGCCTTCCCTTTTCTCTCGCCTTGCCTCTTTCGACCAGATGCGAAGCCATCATTCAACACATCCGGCCGATTGCAGCCGCAAGATTGTTCTGTGCTGCGGCGAGGGATCAGCCGAAGGAGTTGGCCAGCCAGCCTCGCACCGAGCGCGTCCGGCAACAGCCCTGCACATCCTCCTCCTCGAACAGGCGCAACTCGCTGCTGGCTGGCTCTTGCGCTCGTCTTGCGCCACTGAGGAACTCTCAACAGGCTCAATCGTCGCACGACTCGACCGCTGAGCTCCAACCGGACGACCATGCGCTGGCGCACCTCTTCCGCATTCCTCGCCCTCTCGCTCTCGGCGGTGGCACCTGCAGTACAAGCCGCCTACTCGCTGCAGACGGCGTACCAGGGTGACAGTTTCTTCGATGGATGGGACTTCTGGGGCAACCGGGATAACTTGACGAACGGTTCGTCCACCGCGTCTGTGGATCTTTCTTGTCCGGTTCGCTGACGGCTGCTGGTCTCCGCAGGCGCGGTCAACTATGTCAGCAGGTCAACGTCAAGCCAAGTGGCATATACGAACTCGGCGGGAAACGTGGTCATCAAGGTCGACAACTCGACGTACGGAACGCTCCTCGTTTCCTCCCAGCTTCCTCGCTGACGTTTCCACCGCGCAGAAAACTAGCGTCCGGTGTCAACGCTCTGCGAGATTCCGTCCGCATCACGACGAACGCTGCTTTCGACGTCGGCTCGCTCTTCGTCATGGATGCGCTGCATGTTCCGTATGGCGTGCGTTCGCTCCGATTCCTTCCTTGGCTTTCCTTGGGCTGACGCAAACGCATCCTGCAGTGCTCAGTATGGCCGGCGTTCTGGGCGCATGCGAGATCATGGCCTAGTGGCGGCGAGCTCGACATCTTCGAAGGCGTCAACCTGCAGCAGACGAATCAGGTCGCGATGCACACGGTCGCAGGGTGCTACGCCGCAAACTCGACTGTCAACGTGACGGCGACGGGTGACATGACGTTCAACAATTGCGACTACACCGTTGCGGCGAACCACGGCTGCACATTCCAGGATGCGAGGAACGCGAGTTATGGAGCGGACTTTGCGGCTGCTGGCGGAGGCATCTACGCTGCAGAGTTCTCGAGCGACGCCATCTCGGTTTGGTTCTTCCCGGTGCGCTCGGAGTCCTCCCCCTTCCCTCCTCTTGTCGCTCACTTTTCGCTCTCTCAGCGCGCCGAGATCCCCGCCGACCTCCGCTCCGTTAACGGCCCTCCCGATCCCTCGAGCTGGGGCATTCCGATGGCGTACTACCCGTCGTCGGCTTGCAACATCAACCAATACTTTGCGCCCCAGCAAATCACGATCAACATCGCCCTCTGCGGAGACTGTGCGTTCCCTTCTCGCAAGTAGCCTCTCACACCTCGCTGACACTCTGCTTGCACACAGGGGCCGGCCAACCGGGCGTCTTCTCCCCAACCTGCGGCACAGGCAACTGCGCCGACTACATCCTCGACCCCTCACACTTCGACACCGCCTACTTCGAGATCGCCTCTGTACGGATCTACGCAGGGGGCGTCAACACTCGCTCGAGTGGAGGGGCGCAGGCTGCGTCGGGCGTTATTGGCGCGATTGGAGGGTCGGCGAGCGCGACTTCGAGTGCGGTGGGAGGGCGGTGGAGGGCGAGCGGCGCAGCTTTGGGCGCGGTGGGCATTGCAGCAGCCGTGTCGGTGCTCGCGGGTGTCGGACTTTTCGTGGGACTATAGAGCACCGGCGCAGGGCTTTGCATATATACTTTCAGCCTCGCCTTCGCCGTTCGTCTGCTTCCCATCGTGGCCCGCCTTGTCCGACCGCTCTCTTCTGCCTGTCGAATGGCGCGAAGCGTCTACTGCTCCAGCTTTCGCGATCAGCATCGCTTCCTTCGACCTTCGCAGCCTCTCGTCGCCATCGAAAGAACCGACAAAACCAGATGCGATAACAACGAAGCTGCGAGCGTACAACTACATACAGATTCGACTGGATATTGCTTAGATCTGGGGAACGGCGTGACCATCTGCGCGAGGGTCCGAACCGCCTGCCCATGCTCCGCCAGGGAGCTTCTGGATGATCTGCGTCGAGCAAGGGAGCGTCAGCAGCCGTCCGCAAGAGACGGAAAGTCGAAGAGGCGAGAGCTCACCTGTCCACGTCCAAACATCGCACGATCGTGTCCCGTCAACAACTCGATATCGTGACCCATGCGCTTCAACTCCTCCACAACCTCCTGCTTAACTCCCTCCTCAAGGTACACCTTGGTCCCAATATCTCCGAGCTTGGAAGGGTCTTCCGGCACGTCGGCGGAGATACAGAAGCGCGGTGCGTCGAGGGTCGATTGGGCGTTGCAGTTGTGGTGGAGCATGTTGAGGAGGATTTGGATGTGGCCTTGCGGTTGCATGAAGCCGCCCATCTGCACGTTGGCATCTCGTCAGTAAAGAGAAGAGGGGAGGAGCGGAAGCGACGCACGACGCCGTAGACCATGAACAAGTCGCCGCCCTTCTTGTCGCCGCGCGTAACGAGTGCCGGGATGATAGTGTGGTAAGGTCGCTTGTTGGGCTGTGCAGACATCCAGAATTGGCAAGGACCGAAGAGCGAGAGTGAAGCTGGACGCACAGCGATACAGTTCGGGTGGCCCTCCTCGAGCGTAAAGTTGCATCCTCGGTTCTGGAGCGTGAAGCCGCATCCCTTGGGGATCGCAAACGTTCCGAAGCCGGCGTCTGCACCCGAGTCATTAGCATGGACTCGAAAGAGAGTCAGAGGGAGATCGCACAGTTCGACTGGATGTACGAGCACCCGTTCCCGTACTGGTCGACAACCTCGAACAACACCGTGTCAGACGAGGCGATCGGCGTGCCCTTGTTGATGACGGGCGACGACTGGGCGGGGTTGAACAGCTCGGCACGCTTGCGGAGGTAGTCCTGCGAGATGAAGGGTTAGCGGAGTTTCAGGAGGGGTGGGGGAAGGACGGACCTTGGAGAGGAGCTCCTCGACGGGAACGCGGACGTGCTCCGGGTCGGCGATGTAGGCGCGGGTGTCGGCGAAAGCGAGGCGGATGGCCGAGCTACGATGCGTAAAAAAAGTCAGCCTCCATCTCGCCTCCGAGTTGCGAAGCCAAACGCACATGAGGGTGTGATACCAAAGCGCCGACAAGTGCTCAGTCTTGCTCAAGTCAACCTTGCCCTGCTCCTTGATCGCCTCGATGATCCCAAGCGCGATCAGCGCCGTCAAGCCCTGTCCGTTCGGAGGCGTCTCGTGGAGGGTGACGCCGTTCTCGCCGCCGTAGTTGATCGAGATGGGCGTGACGGGAGTCGTAGAGTGGTTCTTGAGGTCTTCGAGGGTCATGACGCCGCCCTTGGACTGGATGACTGCGCTCGCAACCGAAGTCAGCTTCTCTTCGTCGGAAAGGCGGACGATTCGCCCGACTCACGCTCGACAATAGCCTCCGCGATCCGTCCCTCATAGAACCCCTTCTTTCCCTTCTCCGCAACCTCACGGAACGTCCTCGCCAAGTTGGGGTTCTTGAAGATCTCTCCCGGACGAGGCGAGTGCGTCTTGCCCGTCTCGGGGTCGGTGATGAGCATCTCGGCAGAGTTGGGGGACTGCTTGAGGAAGACTTCGTAGTTCTTGACCCAGGAGTGGGAGGAGCATTCCGAGATGGGGATTCTGCGCGAGTGAAGGGGTCAGGAGGAGGACTCGTCGAGTTCAGGAGAACGCCGACGCACCCAGCTTCGGCCATGCGGATCGCAGGGTCAAGCACATCCTTCATCGTGACCTTTCCACTGCCGAGCAACTCAATCGTGTCGCACCAAACCGCCGCACATCCGGGAACGGTCGCAGCGTTGATATTGAGGAACGGGATCTCTCGTCCCTCGATTCCGAGTTCGCGGCACTTGCCAAGCGTGAGAGCGGCGGGTGCGCGTCCGGAACCGTTCAAGGCCTTGACTTCCTTCGTCTTCGCGTCGTAGAAGAGGCAGAATCCATCGCCGCCGATTCCGCACGAGCCGGGCTCGGTCAAGTTGAGCGCGGCAGAGACGGCGACGGCTATAGAGTGTGCACAAGCTGGTCAGCGAGATATCTCAGGTCGCAGCGGAGAGATGAGCGAGCGCACCGGCATCAGCTGCGTTTCCACCCTTCCTGAGGATCTCGAGACCTGCCTCGGCCGCGAGGGGCTGCGAGCACGCGACCATGCCCTTTGCGCCTGAGTGCGCGAGTTCGTGTCAGCTCATCGCGCCTCCCCGCCCGGTGAGAGTGTCGGGACGCACCATAGACGACTGAGCGGCGCGAGTTGAACGGTGCGAACGGGACCTCGAGGTCGGGGAGCTGGTCGTGGAGGTAGAGTTCCTTCTGTGATGCCATTGTAGCTAGCTTTCTGAGTGCGTGAGAGCAAGAGCGAGAGCGTTGTCGCTGTGAGCGGAGACTGGACCCGGCAACTCGCGCTCGCTTGGCCTCCGCCCGCACCGTCGGCAACAGCGCGAAACTCACCACCGAGACGTGGCGTGGCGTGGCGGGCGATAAGGGTTTCGCCCGCCCAGCTTTCGCCCTTCCACAGCTCGCCTTGGCCCTCGGGTTGACCTCGTCCTCCTCGCTGGAGACTGCTCTCGCGCTCGCTCAGGCTCCCTGCGACCAGGCCACTGGCTACACGGGCTGCTGTGTGCCGCCGGCTAGGATGGCAGCATCCGGAGCGCGACCCCTTGCGAGAGCTCCGGACGCTGCCTCGTTCCGTAGGCAACGGGGGAGAATTTGACCCGCCGCTCGAGTGTGCGCTGCTGAATTTGGGCGCACTGTGGGCTGCCTCTTGCCGCCGGCAGGCGCTGGAGCACACTGCGACCCCGCAAGAACGCTTCCAATCCCCCTCGTCCTGCTTCGCTATCGCCTTCCATCCTCCGCCTCCTCTCCTCTTCCGCTCTTCTGCCCTCTCTCTCTTCTCTATCACCTCCTCCGCCGTCGCCATGTCTTCCAGCTGCTCCGACTCGATCGACAAGAAACTCGAAGAAGGCGGTCCGCCGCTCGCGACCCTCCAGCCCGTCAACTCTGTCCTCCCGACCCTCGACGAGAAGGACGAAGACGAGGCGGCGAAAGTCGTCGGCTTTGAGCGCAACGAGTACACCGAGGAAGAGGCCCGCGCTGTCAGGCGCAAGGTCGACCGCAGGGTGAGCGACTTGACCTTCGCCGCCTGCACTCGCTTACCTCCGTTTCTTCGGAGCGAGGCTGACTTTTTATCCGGCTTGCTTGGTGCTCGCAGGTCATTCCTATCCTCGCTGCTGTGAGTCGCGCTTCATTGTGACGATGCTCAATCTTTGAGTTGACTTTGACACCGTTTGCCACAGGTCTACTTGTGCGTTCCCGCGGCTCAACTTCGCTTCCATCCGTCTCTCGCTCGTACTGACCACGCCGCCTTCGACAACGCTCCTTCAGCTCCCAATTGTATGTCCTGTCCTCCCCTCCCCTTCACCCCTTCCCACTGACGTCCTTTCCTCGGATCACAGCTTCGACAAGAACTCCCTCACCTACTCCTCGGTCCTCCAACTGCCCATCAAGGGCGAGCACTACAACCTCGTCTCGATGGCGTGAGTCCGCCCCTCCTCTCTCCGCCTCGCTTTTTCCGCGGTCGCTGACTTTGCCCTCCGTTGTGCGCGCTAGCTTCTATCTCGGATTCATGATCTTCGGTACGTCTCCTTTCTCTTCCTCTCTTCCCTCCCGTTTCTCCTCGACTGACGCCCGGCCCTCCGCACGACAGAGATTCCAACCTCCGCCATCGCGCAACGCTTCCCTCTCGCCAAGTAGTGCGTCCCACTCCCGTTCCCTCCGAGGAGTCGCGGTACTGATGCGTGTGGGTAGTTTGGGCGTGAACATGGCTCTTTGGGCGACGTGAGTACCTTGTCCGTCCTTTCAAGACGAGGGTAAGGTCGAGCTGACTTCGTGTGATGCGACTCCATCCGCAGTTTCCTGATTCTCCACGCCGCCTCCGCCAACTTCGGCTTCTTCTTCGCCATGCGTTTCCTCCTCGGAATGGCCGAATGCTGCGTCTCGCCTAGTGCGTCTCCTCTGCTCACTCCCTCCTCATCCTTTCAGGAGACGCCGCTAACCCTGGCTTGCGTGTGGGCGAACAGTCTTGATTGCCATGATTAGTGCCTGGTACCCTAAGCACGAACAGGCGCGCCGAATCTCGGTCTTCTACGTACGTCTCCGCCCTCAACACTCCTCACCCGGGGGGTTTCTTACGGAGTTGCTTTCTCTCGTAGTGCATGAACGGCTTCGCTGGGATGCTCGGCGGTCTGCTCGCTTGGTCGACTACTGTGAGTCTTCGGATCTCGCCGTTGCCTTACGCCCCGTCGAGCTCCCCATTCCACACCTCCCTGCTTCCCTTCCCTCTCGCTCTTCAGAAAGCTTTGACGCACGAACATGCTAACTTACCGTCTCTACTCCACAGTTCTACACCGGCAAGGCGGTCGCACACTGGAGGATGTGAGTCGTCGAACCACCTTATCCCAAACTTGCCGCTCGACCTCCCTCATCTCGCTGACCTTTCTCTTCATGTTCTACGTCAGTTTCTATTTCCTTATGGCCGGACTGGCTTTTATTGTTGCGGCCTGCGTCCTCCTCTTCCTCCCCGACTCGCCCGCAACCGCCCACTTCCTCACCGAGCGCGAGAAAGTCGTCGTCCTCGAACGCGTGAGGGACAACCAGACTGGTACGAGGAACAAGAAGTGGAAGGCTTACCAGGCGAAGGAGGCGTGAGTCTCGCACTCGCTCTTTCGGAGCGGGAGGGGAGCTGACTGGTTTGCGTTTGGCTCGCAGCGTCCTCGACCCGAAGACTTGGTTGCTCCTTCTTCTTACTAGTCTGTCGAGTGTCCCGAACGGCGGTCTTGCGACGTTCTCGTCGATCCTGGTGCGTTGCGAACTTTCCCTGCACCTCACACCGGCGAAAGGCAACCTCGCCTCCACCGATCGTGCTGACTCTCGCTTGACTCTTCGCTTCGCAGATCAAGGGCTTCGGCTTCAACACCCGCCAGACGCTCCTCCTCCAGATCCCGAACGGCGCGATCGCCGTCGTCACGACCATCGGCGTCTGCTACCTCGCCGACCGTTACGCCATGCGCATGCTCCCCATCCTCATCGCCGTCATCCCGACCATCGTCGGCGCCGCTCTCATGGTCGCGCTGCCGCACAACAAGGCGGCCTCGATGGTTGGCATTCTCCTCGCGCAAACCTACGGATCGAGTCTCGCCCTCCTCTACGCCTGGACGACCACCAACACCGGCTCGTCAACCAAGAAGTCCACCGTCAACGCCATGTTCATGGTGACCTTCGGACTCGCCAACATCCTCGGGACGCAGATCTTCCAAGCCCGCGACGCGCCCGGCTACACCCCCGGCAAGATTGTCGTCCTCGCCCTCTTTTCCTTCATGCTCCCGACGGTCTTTGCGATGCGCTGGTACACGACGTACCTCAACAAGCAGAAGGCGAGGAAACTTGCGGCGCTCGTCGAGGAGAAGGGGTGGACGGAGGAGGACGTCAGGCGCGAGGCGGCGAAGGCGGCGGTCCTCGACTTGACCGACCGCGAGAACCCCTTCCACTCGTACATCTCCTAGGCGGTCGACAGCGAGCGTGTCGACGGCTGATGGGACGGTACTCAGCGAGAGGGGGAGAAGTCGCGGCGGGCAGTGCGGTACATCTTGTTGGGCGGTTCTCTCGGGCTCTCTTCTGTTGCGTTAGTATTTTGTGCAGTCTGTAACTTGCTGTGCGCGCGTTGTACAGCGCTCGAAGTTGTTATTCACGATGTCTCCTCTACTTTGGCCTTCTCAAAGTTGAGGGTCTTCTTCCGCTCCTCATAGACAACAGTTGCGCGCTAGCTGTGGCCCAAGCCTGTTGCTTTGGAGACTTCTACAGGCAGCAGCGGGCGCCCTGGGAACAGCGCGATGTCGAGGAAGAGGGATGCGGGCCTCCGCTCGCCCTCCACTCGTCCTTATCTCGCCGCTCTCAACTCGGCCGTGTACGCTCGCTGGCGGCGACTGCGCCACTCCAGCACGCTAGCGACAGCTGGACGAAGCGTGCAAGCGTCTACCACCGTCGCTCGACTCTCCTCGTCCAGCTGGACAGGCTCCGCGCGAACGCACCTCCTCCTCTTCGTCTGACGGCCCACCTCACCCGCGCGGACGCCGGCAGAGTCTTCTCCCGCTCACACTGCCGCCGCAGCCGCCCGGACCGCTGGCTCGCTGCGTCTCAGCCCACCGAATTGCACCTCGCTCCGACGGCGAGGCCTGGCAGCTCTTACCGGTACGGCGGCACAGGCTCTTTATCGCTTTCAAATCGACACCGACAGGCTGAGGAACAAGGAACAATCGCGGCTGGCCAAGCGATCCAGCGCGAGCGGCGAGCAGGAGTCGCCCATCGTTCTGTCAGCTTTTCCTCCTCGCTATCGTCTATCGCCACTCCCTCTCCCCTCTCTGAGCCGACTCTTGCTCTTCACTCCTTTCATCCACCTCACGCCGACTAGACGATGTCGACCCTCACCTCCGTCGACTCAAAGACAACCCTCTCGACGATGGACAAGAAACTCGAGGAAGGCCACGGACACACTGTCCCCGTCAATACGCTCGCGGCCATTGCTGAAGACGGCGAGCTCGACGAAGGAGCCAAGATCGTCGGCGAGGTCGCGCAACCTTTCACGCAGGAAGAGGACGACGCCGTCCGTCGCAAGCTCGACTTCCGCATCCTCCCAATCATCGCATTCGTCTACTTCTCGCAATTCCTCGACAAGCTCGCGCCTTCTTACGCATCCGTAATGGGTCTGCCCATCACTGGCGAAGGCTATTCGCTCGTCAACTCGGCCTTCTACATCGGTTTCTTTGTCGCCGAGATCCCTCAAGGCATTATCTCACAACGCTTTCCCCTGGCCCGCTAGTGCGCTGTTCTGCGCAATGTTGGTCTTACTAAGCGCTGATGTCCCTCCCCCTCAGCCTCGGCTGCAACATCGTCCTCTGGGCAACGTACGTCGACTGCCTTCGCGTCTTCCCGTCCATCTCGCTGACGATTGTCTCGTTCTATTGCGGCAGCGCACTCATCCTTCACGCCGCTTCAGGCAAATTCGCCCCCTTCTTCATCTTCAGGATCCTCCTTGGAGTTTTTGAAGCCTGCGTCGCCCCCATTCTCATCGCCCTCGTCGCCGCGTTCTACAGGAAGAGCGAACAGGCTCGTCGTATCGGCGCATACTACGCGATGAACGGCGTGACCTATATCGTTGGAGGCGCGATTGCATACGGGTAGGTCTGCACCTCCTCCCCTTCGACCGCTTTTGCACATCAAGCTGACATCCCCCTCGTCTACAGCGTCACTCGCTACCAGGGCGATTCTATCGCTCACTGGCGCATCGTGCGTAGCGACTCCTTCGTACCAGTCGACCTTCGCAGGCTGACCTCCTCCTTCCTCGCACAGATCTTCATCCTCTTCGGCGGCCTCGCCTTCGTCGCCGGAACCGTCGTCCTTCTCTTCCTCCCCAGCTCGCCCGCAACAGCTCGCTTCCTCAGCGAGCGCGAGAAGGTCGTCGCGCTCGAGCGCATCCGTTCCGGCCAGTCGGGCACGATCTCGCACGTCTGGAAGAAGGCGCAAGGCTTCGAGGCGCTCAAGGACATCAAGACGTGGCTGCTCTTCACGTGTATGATCGTTGTATCCGTCCCGAATGCTGCCATCACCTCATTCCAGTCGATCCTCGTCAAGTCGTTCGGGTTCGCCTCCTCCTCCTCTCGCTTGACGACTCCCGGCTAACTCCTCTCTCTCGTGCAGCTACACCTCGGCCGAGGCGCTCCTGATGAACATGCCCTGCGGCGCGATGCAGATCCTGACGACCCTCTCCGCGACGTACTGGGCCGACAAGCGCAAAGCTCGCATGTTCCCCTTCATCGCGACCCTGATCCCTTCCATCATCGGCTTCGCCCTCCTCGTCTCCTTCTCCGGCTCAACGGCCCACAACAAGGCGCACAAGGGTCCTCTCCTCGCGGGCATCATCCTCTCCCAGACTTTCATCACGTCCATCGCGCTCCTCTATTCCTGGTCGTCGTCCAACGTCGCTGGATCGTCGAAGCGCTGTGAGTGGGTGTCTACCCGTCCGTTCACGAGTGCGAGCTGACTCGTTCCTTCCTCACGCTTCAGCTGTCGTCAACGCCCTCATGCTCGTCGCCTTCAGCATGGGCAACGTCGCCGGCACCCAAGCATTCCAAGCGAAGGACGCACCCCGCTACCTCCCTGGTCCGTCTCTCCCTCTCGCTCCCACCTCTCTCTCCCGCTGACCCCTCCCTTCGCTCGCAGGCAAGACCGCCCTCCTCGTCCTTCTCTGCGCCCTAGTCCCCATCGCCCTCATCATGCACTTCTACACCCGCCTGCTCAACTCGCGCAAAGAGCGAGCCGTGCGGGAGTTGGTCGAGGTGAACGGGTGGTCGGACGAGGACTTGCAGCGGGAGAAGGACCGATGTGCGTTCCTGGACGCGACGGACTTGCAGAACCCGTTCTTTGTTTATACGTGCTGAGGTGGCGAGGGGGTGGCAGGAGTTGTTGGTTCTGGTTGTCGAGGTTGTGTGTAGTGCCGTCCGTCGTTCTGTATCGGTTAGATCAGTAGAACCACGACAGATTGGGTCGCGGGGATTGAGTGAGTAGCGAAAAGCCGTGCAGCCGCTGTTGAGAGTGCGACAGACAAGGAGGACCGCGAGCAGAGCGCGGTACTGACTGCGGGCGTTTCTCGCTTGACCGAGGATAACTTACACACAGGGACGGTCCAGCCGCGCCGCGCTTCTACCACACCTACGCTCGCTCCGCGCTGCCTCCTTTAAACGACCATCATCTCCACTTCTACCGCACAACCTCTCACGACGTTCTCCCAGAGCGGGTACATCGCGCATGCAACCACGACCAGCCTGTCTCCCTCCCTTATTCGGCGGACGAAAGCAGCTGCTGCGCGGTCGGGCGAGGAAGGGAGGTCTGAGAGCGTTAGAGAGTGAGTTGTGAAGGCGTAGTGGCCGTGGATGTTGGAGTGGAGGCGCAAGGTCGAGATCGTCTCGTACGGATGATCGGGCTGGGTCGCAGGATTGGCGGTCGGAGAAACGGAGTCGGGCAAGGGTGTAGAGGCGGACGACTGTTGATTGGAAGGCGCGGCGGACGTAGACCGCTCGTCTGGTGGTGATCGGCGCGCTCTGGGTCGTCGGATTTCGAGCTCGAACCAGGAAGAAGACGCTTCGCGCGTTCCTCGGTACTGGCTGAACGAGGTGAAACCTGTTTAGTGCGCACGAAGAATCCATCAGCTCTACCTCCCGCACCCAACAGCGTCGTCTTCACGCACCCTGGTCCCTCGAGACCGTCGTGACCCTGATCCGCCTCACCGCGTGCTCAGCGGCGCCAGGAAAAGCGGGAATGGGTGGGGTTTGGAGCAAGTCGATGTTCTGGCGGTGTCCGGCGGGTCCGGCCGACACGGTCACGTCGCCCTCCCAGCTCGAGACGAAGGACGGGTAGTATTCCCTGCAGAACGAGGAAGCAGCGGAGGAGGAGAAGTGGAAGTCAAGGCGGGAACCTCGATGAGCGAGCAGGAAGAGAGGAGACGGACGCAGCGTCGATGATCTGGACTGCAAGCTCGGGCGGGAGGTGCAAATCGTTCTGCAGCACGTCGAGCACCTCGAGGACGTCGTTGTAGGTGGGGCTGAGGCGGGAGGAGGGAGAGGAGGGGGAGGGGAAGCGGGATGCAAGCGACGAAGCGGCGCTGGTGGCAGTCTGTGCGGCAGTCTGAGCGATGCGAGAGGCCTGCCCGCCCATCTGAGCTGGTGTGAACAGCGAGACTGAACAAGAGGCTAGGGTCGCCCGTTGTAATCGGTTTCAATACAAACTCGAGTGTATTCAGTTTTGTATTGGTGAAGAGCGAGGAGGGCGCAGTTGGGCTTATCTCCCGCCACCTCGTCTGCGCGCCAAGGTCAGTCTGCGCGCCATCGTGCTCAGCTGCTCTCTGTACACGCCCGCATCCACCCACCGCCGCACCCGTCCGCGCCGCCTGAGCAACCCTCATCGCCTTCACCCGCCGACGAGCTTTTCGACCCGCCGACCTCGCCAATCTCGCTCGACTCGCCAGTGTACGCGTGTTGCTGGATGGGTCGGAATGCGCGGGAACAGACGATTGCGCGGTTGAGCGAGGCTCTTGGGAGGTGTAGGCAGGAGGAATGGCGAGATTGAGGGTCCGGCGGAGGAGGACATGAGGGACGGGTCATGCGCGCCCGTTTGGCGGCTCGTTGCTGGGTCCAGTCACCTCAGCTGGTACACTGGGAACTCATGCACGTCTGCTGGACGGGCGCGGCGGTTGTGGTGGAAATGTTGCGGTCCGCGCTCTCGTTGCAGGAAGACGGGGAAGGAATCAGGTTGGAGCTCTCGCTTCTCTGGGACGGTCGTGCTGACCTTTGCGTTCGTCGTGTCGCGTCTGCTTTGCTGCCGACTTGCAGGATCCGAGCAAGGTACATCTCGCGTCCCTCTCCTCGACACCCCTCTACCCCACCAATCTACCGACCCCATCTCGCCCTGCCCGCCTCTACCACTCGCACATTCCGCCACCCTCGTCGACTCGTCGCTCCTCACGGCCCCCTTCGAACTCGGCTGACCTCGCTCGTCGTTCCCCAGATGGTCAACGTTCCCAAGACCCGTCGCACGTACTGCAAGGGGAAGCAGTGCCGCAAGCACACCCCTCACAAGGTGACGCAGTACAAGACGGGCAAGGCCTCGCTCTTCGCCCAGGGAAAGCGCCGTTACGACCGAAAGCAGTCCGGTGCGCCCTTCGCTTCCTCGCTCTCCTCTCGCTTCCTCTTCCCCTGCCTCCTCATGGAGCCAGATGAATTCCCTCAACCTCCTACGAGCTTGCAGCTGACAGCCGCACCGTCGCGCAGGATACGGTGGCCAGACCAAGCCCGTCTTCCACAAGAAGGCCAAGACGACGAAGAAGGTCGTCCTCCGCCTCGAGTGCACGGTCTGCAAGTACAAGATGCAGGTGAGTACGCACGTTGGAGCTGCTCGGCGGACGCACGACGCAGAATCGGACGCTGTCAGGCGCTGACTTTGCATCTCCTCGTTCTTCAGATGGCCCTCAAGCGCACCAAGCACTTCGAGTTGGGAGGTGACAAGAAGCAGAAGGGCCAGGCGTACATCACTTTCCCATCCATTCTGGACGATTCTGACCGCTTACGGCTCGTTTCTCGTCGTCCGCAGCCTTGTCTTCTAAGCAGCTCGACGTCTGTAGCGCGGTTGCTGAATTGGGACCAGTCCATCGGGTTACACGGTATCCGAGAGACGTTCTGCACTCACTGGCTGCTTGCATAGCGCCCAGCGAGAGGAAAGCGCACCTTCGCCTGATGAGGACCACAAGCTCGACCTCCGTCCGACGACTTGCTCTCGCGCTTTGCATGCTCGTGCGCGGCTTGCGCAGCTTGGGACCACTCGCTACATACGCTAGACCCGCTCTGCACGCTCGCACGATGTCCGCAACGCCCTCTTCCGCCGACTCGTCCCTCCCGCCCAAACGACCTCTCTCGACTTCGCCTCCCCCGCCGACGCCGCCAGCAGCCGCGAGTGCAGCTGCCGCAGACCCAGCGACGAAGCGGGTCAAGCTGAGCGTCGAAGACCCGGTCGGCGTTCCGCCCGTGCTCGTCGAACAGCCTCTCCCTCCCATCCAGCCCTCCACTTCCGCTCGTCCTCCCGCTTCGAAGAGGGCCGATGCAGGCTCAAAAGCTCGCAAACCTCGGCAGCGGAAGACGAAGGCGCCCAAGCCGGGCGGAGTGGAGGAAGCGGGCGCATTCGATGTGATCGAGTTGCTTGGGAAAGCGCGGGTCGAGGAGATGAAGCGGCTCGAGGAGGAGGAGGGCAGAGATTGGAGGCTTGAGGCAGAGAAGGAGTGGGGGAAGGACAAGGACGGGAAGGACGTCGAGGTGCGCATCGTCGGGATGAACGACCGCTCTCGCTTTGCTTCCTCCAGTCGCCTTATCGCTTTCGTCGACCGCTAAGCGCAGCACAGTGCGTCCGAAGGACAACGCTAAGTCTCCCAACTCTCGCTTGAGCCTCGTTATTCGTGTCCATGCTCTTCAACCGTCATTTTCCCCTTGCTTCGTCCCTTCTTCACATCCGCCTCGACGCATGTGATCTGCTAGCCTTCGAGCTCTCTCGGTTGTCCTAGATACTCAGAGGGTCTGGCGGTTCCAACGACAGTCCTTGCATCCAGCGTTTCAGCCCTCGCCCAACTCACCGTCGCCGCCTCGCGAGCTTTGCGCCCTGCTGCAGCCTCCGCAGATCCCGCAAGGTTCGCTTGGGGGCTCTGGCAATGACTCATCCTCGTCGTCTCCTCCTCTGTTCCCCTCAACGTCCGCCCCTTCTCTCCGCCGCCAGACAACTACGTATGCAGAACCAGCCGCTTGATCCACACTCGCGGCCAGTTGGCGGACTGCGACTCTCCAAGTGGAAGAGCATCGACGATGACATCTCCCTTGCACTCCCCGGCAGCGACATCCCAACCTCGACTCGCCTCGCCAGCGGTTCACTCCCCCTCACCGGCGAGCTCGTCCATTTACGCTTCCATCGTTGTAACCGCACCGCGACTGTCACACATCCTCGGTGACCACGAATGAGACGCGCAGTCTCGCTCTTGATTTGGAGACGGCACCGTTGCGACTGAAAGCAGTCCGGTGCGTCCGCCGATTCCTCTCCTTCCGCTTCCTCCACCACTTCCTCCGCCTCGCCTGGAGCGGGATGAAGTCTCTCTACTTGCTACGAGCTCGCATTTGACGCCCGCCTCGTCACGCAAGACACGGTGGCCAGACCAAGCCAGTCTTCCACAAGAAGGCCAAGACGACGAAGAAGGTCGTCCTCCGCCTCGAGTGCACGGTCTGCAAGTACAAGATGCAGGTGAGTACGCACGTTGGAGCTGCTCGGCGGACGCACGACGCAGAATCGGACGCTGTCAGGCGCTGACTTTGCATCTCCTCGTTCTTCAGATGGCCCTCAAGCGCACCAAGCACTTCGAGTTGGGAGGTGACAAGAAGCAGAAGGGCCAGGCGTACATCACTTTCCC